TTTGGACTTCTGTTTCCTGTTGTAAATGTTGATTTTGTGACTATACTGACAACCAACAATACCAAAGATAAAATACATGCTGAGAGTAGAGAAGAAAATTGGTATCTCGGTGTATTCCGGGCTCGCAAATGCTGCAATTGTAAATGCGATTGATTTTATTCCTTCTTGTTTTCGTGCCCCATGTATACTACCTATCCAACCTGGGTATGTACACAGCCGACAAGAATGTGAGAGAAATATAATGTTTGTAAGAAAAAGATAAATAAGTGAGTTCCTTGTACCAAGCGCCACGCAGCCCATATTAAAGAGAGACAAGGAAATAAAGGCAAAGTAAAGGCAAATTTTGAGCCGTGTAGAACCCTGAGAGTAAATACCCCATACAAAGTCCCACCAAATGAAATTCGTGAAATTGAGACAAAGAAGAGAAGAGAGACTGTGAAGTCGTCGATTTCGATTTTCTAGTGGTTCGTAATCATGCGTTCCCTTCGGGCCGGAGGGACAAGCCTTGGCTGCCGCTTATATCGGCGCCGTGCTCCAAGAGCACCGAGACCATGTCGGTGCGGCCCAAGATCACGGCGCGTTGTAGTGCCGTGTATCCAGAGTTGTCCTTGGCATTGATTGATATGTCGTATCGCTGCAAGAGGAGTCTAAGTGTGTCGAATTGACCAGACTCGACTGCGAGATGTAGTAGAGGTGCACCAGTTGTCCCCGGCGGGCTGCGGCTGCCGGGTTGTGGTTTTACATCAAACATTGACCAAGAAGCGCTTGGGTTCGACTCGGGAGGGGTCGGATAAGCGGCTGTGGGCGTCATATCGTCAAGCGAGAAAGTGTTGTCAGGGATTGGAAGAGTGAGATCCTCCGGGTTGGTATACAAATGAAAAGCGGCGGGAGAAAGCGCCAGTAAAGAGTTTTGGCTGTTGTGGTGATCGAGCATAAATTGTGCCGGGGATGGAGACATGCCCGGTACTTGAAGTGAGTCGGACCGCTCGCTTCTGGAAGCGTTCGACCACGACGAGGATGGGCTATCGCATCTGGTAAACAGGGGCGGATTGCTGCTGCTTCTTAGATGCTGGTTGTGGAGCTGTGACGACGAGATATGAACATTGGACGTTGATACAGCCCGATTTCTGAGAGCTCCAGGTGAAGAAGCCATGAATTCGTCGGCGCCGCTCAAGGAAGGAAAGTAGGACTCGGGCTCGAAGCTCATCGGATGCTCTCCATCGGTAGTGAGTCCGAGACCGCGCAGGTCGTCCTCGTGAGGAGTGTTCTGTGACCATACTGGGTAATATCCTCCCATCCATTCCGGCCCAGAAGTTGTTATCGAGGGGGGCGGAGAGGCGAGGTCAGCTGAGAAAGCCCTATCGGGGTTGGCTGGTGTACTCCGACCAGAGGCAGAAGATTCCCTTGCCGAATTGTCTGCGTTTGAAGATGTGGTGGAAGCGGCGTCAGAGTTTGAAGGTTCCTGTGCTTCTTGCAACTTCTGCAATTGTTTCTTGAGACGTTCAACCTCTTTCGTTCTGTCACGCATGTTTCGGCCTAAGCAAATGGGATTAGTATTGATGAGAGCTGATCGATGGAAGCTAGAGCCTACTAACGGTATGCTCTCTGTGCAAGACGGTTCTGGATCTTCCTCCTCTCTGCAGCATCGGGGAGGTTCCTCCAGTCCTCATCAGGTTTCATGAGATCGGCGTACGATATCGATTGCGGACGTCCGCAACGACTCGGCGTAGATGATTGTGTGTTATTCGACATTATGCTATAAGCCGACTGTTGCCGGTGGGTATGTGGTTTAGGCTATCAACAGTGAGGATGCTCAATGGTATCGGACGATCCTTGGAGCTTTCGAGGCGAGGAGAGGTCAATTGATGAATGGTCAATGCCAAGGAAAGATATGACGGTGATGTTGAGTTGCGAGGATGATCTGCTGAGCCGAGAAGACTGACAAGTTGAGGGGTGAAGCTTGAGGATATATCCAGTTGAAAATAATCTGATTATGGACGGCCAAATGCAGGAACAGGACTTGGGGATTGTTGGATAAGTATAATCACAGTAAGAGAAAAAGACCCTGGTTCCTTGGAATCCTGACCGTTGGAGCAGAGGCTTGCCCAGCTTGAGCTCTAGCTTGGCCCAAAATAACATCGAGGTTAGATTTGCTGATGAGATGCCCACCCCTCCAGCCTGGCCTAACAGCCAGCTGCGAGAGCGGCCAGTGCCACTGTGAGAGAATGGCCCTACGGCTCAGCTGAATAGACCAATGCGGACTGCGGCGGACTGGCCGCCAGTGAATACGCCCACGGCAGCCCGGCTCTCATGCCCTGGAGAAAGCGTGGCAGGTCAAGGTTCACACCAGAGAGCAAATGGCGGAGATCCACCCACCGTAAGCCTGGTCAGCCGGGTCAAGACAAGTGGGAATTGGAATGTAGTGCCAAAGATGCTGTGACGCGGTCACGGAGGAGACGAAGGAGTGCAAGTGCTAATGAGCTCTCGACCGATTTGGTTTAGCGGCAGGGTTATAGGAACATGGGATATATTTGAATTTCGCTACATCGCGCACTATATCCAAGTACAGGCAGAGAGACAGTAAAACGTACCCGAACCTGCTTTGTGATGAAATTCTGGCGGGCATGTAACCTGCCTGCAGTGACCACAAACGTGCATAGCACATGGCAGTATAGTAGACAAGGAAACATTGTTTCATCGCCGTTTGCCACGTTCCTGTATATGCAGGCCACAACAACGTGGTGCTGTCTAGGAACAAGCCATGCATGCCATGATGCTATGAGGGGCGAGCGAGCGTGAGCCAGTGTTCTTCAGTCAGTGCATTGTAGGCCTAGCAAGTAGACGAGGGTTCGGCGCCCATGCTGCCTCGAGCATCCATAAGCTCTTTGATGGAGAGCCAAAACGGAATACGTTAGGCTAGATCGGTATCCCCAAAATAAACTGACGACGACGATGAGAGATCGCGATTACTTGAGCATTGACCATTGTTACTCGGAGAATTTTCAACGTGGAGCAGCTGTCCCTTAGTTGCACTGTGTTGCGATCTTGGAGTAGGACATCTAAGGCCGTGCCTCAATCTCTTCTCCTCTTCTGGGGGCAAGTGCCATGTAATACGTGCGTGGGAATGATCTTGCTTACCAGTTTCATCTTGTCGATGCGGTTGCAAATGTTCGGTATCGCGTCTCAGCCAGTACGAGCGGGGGCCCTTACGGCCTTCAGTGGCTCTCCATCTATATGCGCCGCACTAACGCAGCCAATTTTGGTATGTTTTGGCGAGATCCTCCGCCATAATAAGCCGCAACCCCCAATTTTGTCTACCTTTTTGCCAACACATCGTTGATATCGAACATGGTGAGCTTGGGGGAGAAAAATGCTTCACTGCCCTCTTGCGACTGAAATATCTTTGAACGTCTCCAATCGCTAGATGAAGTAAAAATTGAATGTGTATCCTCGAGGCCCAGCCCTTCATAATCAAGCGTCCTTGGCTAAAGGAAGGACTGCTTTGTGCGTATAGCCTCTAAGCGCAAGCTATCAGTTCGATTGCTTGGCACGTATTCGGAACCGTGCGAAAGGAAGGATCTCCGGCTAAAATCTCCAGCATCTCGAATTTAGCAAGACGAATCATCTGATATCCAGCAGTCTCTTCTCTCCGGTGCCCAGCAGGCTACGGGAGACGGTGAATGCTTGACTTGATTTTGTTGTTGGTAATCCTTTTTCGGCAAGCTTCATCTCCTAGCAAAAGCACGAGCATCAATACAGGGCACAACGATTGCGCAACGCTCGTCGATCTCTACCTTACTGGGCCGGATCCTTTCCGCACTTTGGCATAGAAAACAAGGTCGACAAAATGACTGTATCCTTACTATGGTTCTTAAAACACACACAATCGCGGGGATCTGGAGTCTCTCTGCGACCAGGTCCGGATGCGGCCGGCTGCGCAATCTTCCAGCGAGATCCTGATGCATACAAAAAAGGTTTTCCAATTCGAGTGTAGCTTCACAGAACATTTGTTTTCATTCCATCTGCAAACCCTTGCCATCCGTCAAACACTGGCCAGCGCTCTATGGGCAAAGATCGTCCAGCTAAAGCTACCCATTCGGGTACCGTACACTGGCTGTCAGGCCAATGAGGTGAATTAAGCCTAGGAGCCCTTAGCTACCCTGCTGTAGCTCTGGCAGATCCATCGCCTCCACTAGGGATGTAACCTCGAGTTGAGGCGGAATGACCAGGAGAAGAAAAAGCACAACGCTTGTAAGCATGTTTGTAGCTTTCAGATGCGGTTCTAGGACTAGGGGTCTTCTCAGGGCTCGGGCCATCCTTTTCAGTACCGATTTGGTGGCGCAAACTATGATAGATCTCTACTAAACTGTGAGCATCAATAATACGACATATACCATCGAAAACTAACAGTGATGTGTGTGTGTTTCCATCACCTATACGTGATCGTCGCCAGACACTAGCTAGCAGTATAGTCGATCCGCTACTGCTAGCTCTTAACGACGTGCTGGTATCTAGCGGTTCACCCTGATCCCCGGAGGCTCTTTGATTCGGGGCTTGGCATTTAGTGTTCGCAAGCATTCGCTCCTCTCCCTCCGCCCATACAAACTTGATCGCCGCCCTCCATGATCGAGAAAGCGCCTGCTGCAGACAATGCGGGGGCTAGCTAGCTGACAGATTCTCAAGGTCTTGAGATGAGTAAACCAAAACAAAAGGACGTATTTCCCATCCAATCAGTGAATACTGTGGCTTGCAGGAAATGTTTCTATTTCCGTACCAAGCTGCCAAGGGCCTCGAGATGTAAACATTCATCCTTGCCTCCACGTGCAGGCGTACCTTTCGTACCCTTTTTCTGTTCTCTGGCGTGCTTCCTTCCCACAACCCACCGCAGAATAGGATTGCACACGAGTATTTCCCCGGGCAGCGAAAGCACTGGCCTCAGCTTGATCGTAGTGCATGCGAGCTAGAATTGCGGCTTGGTAACGTTTGAAAGCTCCACTGGCACTTTCGGACACGATCCGCACGGCCCTAGGAGGAGCTCGATTTCATACCTACATTTTACCAGGTACCTAGGTAACCTAGAGCGCTGTCTATACACATGGTGTATAATTACATGTTACTCCCTCGAGCGAGCATGATATGATATATAAAAATACAAGGGCTTCATTTGCTGCATTAAGAAACAAATAATTACCAACTTGAAGATAAATTCCATTTGTCAAATACTGATCATGTTTACGATTCGAGATATGATTTTCGCTCCAGCTGCGTCGTGACAAGCTACAGCCAAGACAAGATGGATTATGTACGTAAAACCAAGAAGACTTTTGGCCCAAAAGGGAGGGCGCAAGGCCACGTGGTAATGAGAGGAACAGCTTCTCCCAGGGCCAATCATGTCCTTTACATAACATAAAGTTGAGACCACAAGTAAGCATTGTACCGGATCCTTGGGTGAGCAAACCCGCCAAGATCGCCTTTGAGGCGCAAGTTATGTGCCTATTCCAAGATACGCTGCTTAGGTCATCTCTAGTTATTGTTATCTCGGGCACATGTGGGCGGAAAATTGTTACCGCTAGCGTTCATTATCAGTGAGTCTCATTCGCTCATAGCAATCATTGTGCACTTAGGATCGATGTGTTGTTCAACCCCAGATTAGATCCTCGGGCTGAATGAACTACACACTACGAGGTAGGCGTACCCGCTAAGCCCACAAAAGTCGGCGAGGCCCTACTGCAGTTTTTGGCGTTTCATAAAGGCTCTGAGTAAGCTGGCTGGTGCAACGTCATTGAAGTTAAATACTTTGCTTTGGAATATCTTGCAAAAGAGGTAGCAATATGGTTAGTAGCTTAGTAGACAAGATCCCAAAAGTCCCGCTGAAACGAAGATTGCTAGAAAGCTTGGCTGGAGGCGATGGCGATGCCGACTAGCCGCTTCCTCTGTAGGATTCTTATCCGATCGATCAGCGTGATCAGCATGGCGAGACACACAAAGAGTTCCAATTGAGATCTAGGCTGGCGGTTGGCTCTTGTAGCAATGCATATATTGTGACACATGGAGATATTGGGTTGCAGATCACTTGGTGCAAGGTGGTCAGCGTAGTGCTTGGCTATAGATATCCGCTCCCACGTGGTTTATCTATGTCCTGTCTTACTGATACGTTTTATAGGTCTTGGCGATACGGGCTTTGGTTTTTGTTACGACTTTTGAACTGTCCTGTAATCGGGAGGTAGATAACACGGCGGGACATGCCTCTGTAACTGTAACGAATTCGGCCACTGGGCAAAAGTCCGTTCATGGGGGTTCGGTTCCGACTTGAGGCACTTAAAAGACGCGGTCCCGAAACCACATGGGCCTGGGTGATTCCCCATTTTTTTTAACGGGTGGCCAGGTTCCAACTAGATTTCTGGTCTCGAATGGCCGTTGCGTTGTGGCAAATATCCCGGACCACGGTCGGATGCCGACATTGATCCCATCGCCATGTTAGGCAAAATTTCGCGGGATGATAACGGATGGCGGAGTGGACGCGCGATTGCTTCAAGTCGACCCTGGACGGTGCGTTGCCTTGGGCATGTCGTGGGCAAAAGGTGATGCAGTGGGATCTAATTGCCTTCCCTTCGCAATCTTTTCCCCCACCTATCACATCAATAATAAAAAAAGACTTGTTGATTAATTCTCATCATACGATGGCTCGCATATTAGAAAGATCCATCTGCATCTCGCGCATATAAATGTCTGCTTCAGTATCTACAGATTTATCGAGTTTACTGCAATTTACTATGAACCAATTGCGTCACAGCAGTAATACCTCTAGCTATCCTACAAGAGTTCTGCAGTATACTCGTCGATCACTGTGGAGTTGATGGGTCAGCACGCACTGACAACCAAGATCACGTTGAGTAATACAAGGTGAATGGCAAGTCTAAAAGAGTCCAGGGCATTCGGGTGCTACCTAAGCTGGGGGGCATCCGGGGCTTTTCGAAGACTTTCAATGCTCCACCAAGGGAGAAACGGCCCTATCATGTTGAGAGGGCCCCTGTCTGTCTAGCAACAAAAGAAGAGACAGACGGGCTAGGAATCAGATCCTACCTGTCTGTTTGAACCATCTAGGTGGCCGGCATGCATCAAGCCTCGCGGGTTGCGACGCCCAAATGGCTTGGATGCTGCCTTCTCTTTGGCTGGACGCGGAATAGAGTTGTCTAGGGCCATTCAAATCAGTGTGCTGCGTTACATCGTCGTGATTCCTTCAGAAGCTACCCTAGTAAGGCGGTGACTTCTGGCCAGAGGGACAGCCAGCAGACAAGAACAATTTGAGGCTGACCTAGTCTAGCACTCATTTCACAGTAATATTCCTTTGATGCAGAGGACTGACTGACTGACCGACTGCTTTGTGCGCAGGGAGAGAACGATCTATCTGTCTGGGCATTGTGTCAAAGGTACTTTGGTATAGCTTGGAAAAAATGCTTGCATGTCGATAAAGTACGAAGCTGAACTGTGAAAGAAAGGGTACGTGAAGTGGCTGTCAAGGAAGCAGGAATGTCAAAATGCTTCAGGTACAGACAATCAAAAGACGAATCTATCGCGAGACTGTCCTGTGAAAGGCTGAGCTGAAGGTTCGGTGTTGGAACCAACACTAGCTCAGCTGAAAGCCACTGGTGACAGCGTTATGGTAGTGGGACATTTCAGTGTCTGCCCCTGTGAAGGCTGGGGCGCAGCAGCACAATTCACAGCGCACACAGCATGATATAGCACGAAACGCATGAGAGCCCTGAGTGCAGTGCCGTCCGTGTCCATTCTGTGCCGCCCAGTGTATCATGCCCACGCGCCAGCAGCCACAGAGAATTCGTAATGGTCGCACCGTTGAGGTGCATTATTGATTCTAAGTTAAGCATCCCGCCGATTTGTCGTTGAGTCAATGGGTTATGTCGGCCAGGCAAGAAAGGTTCCATTGTCGCTGCAGCACTAGAAGCATGCTTACATAGTACATCATGAGTGGGCATTTATTATAGTAAGTCGCCCAGCTCGAAACACGCAATTCTCAAAGTGATTCGTCTCGGCATCACTCACTAGATCCTGTCCACTGGAGATCTTCTCTTGGCCTTTACTGGTTTCTCCTTGGCTTTCTTCTCATAGAACTATACTTTAGACGCGATAATTTCCATCATTTCTGGTTTCGAATATCTCCATCATCAACACAACAATCATCTCCATACTCCAAAGCTGCAACTACAGGCAACCATTTAAAGCAAGCCTTTCATTGGAGCTTTGTGAGCCACACACACCCCCATTGGTTTCGGTTATACACTATAGAGCAAAGATCATCGCATCCATATAATCTTATTTGCTGGTTTCCCCGCGTCTCGAGCAAAACCGACAACACTCTTGTCACAAGGGCTGCCTTCTTTCGACAGATCGCAATGTCTTCCATCCCTCACCTTGTCGCCGTCACGGCCACCAAGGTCCTCCGCAGAGACGACGACGACAACAGCAACGGCGACTGCTATACTGCCACGCCCGGTCCCAACGGTTACGTCGGTGACCCGAACGCTTGCAATGCCTACTACAACTACAACCCGCAATATGCGCCCGCCGTGGCCGTAGCTGTACTTTTTGCCATTTTCTTTGGCGCACATCTCTTCCAGGGTATTGCATACAAGAAGGTTGGTTTGACAAAATCTTCTCGAGTATCTCTTCTAGACTAACATGGGCATTCCAGCGTTACACTTGGGTCGTCATCATGGGAGCTTGCTGGGAAATGGTTGCCTTTATCCTGCACTCGGTCGGTAGCAAGAACCAGCAGAATGTCGGCTATGCCACAGCATGGCAGATTCTGTTCTTGCTCGCTCCTCTCTGGATCAACGCCTTTGTCTACATGACTTTTGCTCGCGAGGCCTACTTCTTCCTGCCCGAGGGCGACCGCAGAATCCGCGGCATCAATGCCACTTCTATTGCCAAGTGGTTCGTCGGCGCTGACGTTCTCACCTTTATGTAAGCACAAGAACAGCGTTCCTCTACCCTTGTCTCGATAGCTGACATTTTGCATAGCGTACAAGGTGCTGGTGGTATCATGGCCAGCCCTGGTGCAGGTGCCGAGACCATCAAGACCGGTTTGAACATCTACCTCGCCGGCATGGGTTTCCAGCAGTTCTTTATCCTGCTCTTCCTCTGGCTCATGATCGAGTTCCACATTCGCTGCAACTCCTGGGGACCCAGCGGTGCCGCTTCCTACGGTGCCGGCAAGCGTAACTGGAGACCCCTCCACTATGCTCTATACGCCACTCTGGGCTGCATCACGATTCGTGTCATCTACCGTATTGCTGAGTTCGCCGGTGGCATCAAGCCCTCCAACCCCATCCCCTTCCACGAGGTAAGCCCCACCACCAGTGAAAATATTCCTACTAGTTGAATCCAAACTCTAACCGCTGCGTCTATAGGAGTACTCCTATGCCCTCGACTGTTTCCCCATGATGGTCGCCCTCCTCATCCTCGCCGTCTGGCACCCTGGCCGCTTCCTCGTCGGCCCCGGCAGCGAGTTCCCCAAGCTGTCCAAGGCCCAGAAGAAGCAGGCCAAGGCCGACCGCAAGGCTGCCAAGTACGCCGCCAAGCACGGTGGCAAGGCCGTCCCCGGCCACATTACGGACGAGTACGAGGTCACCGAGTACGGCAGCCGCCAGTAAATGGTCTAGACGAGAGTCATCTGACCGAGGACAAGATCAATTATCAGTGCTAGATGAGGGCTTATACTGTAATGAGGAATGTGTGTGCATTGAGCAAGGCTCAGTGGGGGAATTAAAATACAGGGTGGAATAGATTGGGTTCGGTGAGATTGTGGGTGCTTGGCACTGTGTAGAATGGTACGGGGCTCTGGATAGAGGAGTGTTTCTTTTCTTGGCGTTTTGGTTACATTTCGATATTTAACTATACTCAGTATTCACGTAGTAGGACTTACGAATTTACAATGCATTGGGATAATTCAACGAAGTCAATCTACACTGCCCATGTCCCAACCAAGTCGGAAGCGAGCGTTGCATCAAACAAAGTAGCAAGTTGCACTCACTCTTCACTTCCTCTCCACAGAGTGTGACAAGACATCAAGACAATAGTCTAGGTGACAAGAAGATCATGTAAAATATCCATGCCTGAATGGTATCCCAGCTATCCGGTTGCTTGGTACATGCAAAAATATGCAAGCTGATGGCCCAGAGCCGACCATGGCTAAAAGCTGGCCTTCCGACTACGCCGGTCCATGGGCCGGGTAAGGGTCCTATCAGATCATGTCCACAACCCCGCTCCCACAGGGCATAGGTATTTTTGACGAATCCTGAATCTTCCTTGTAGTATCCCTTGCAGCATCTCTTGATAAGATGTTGATTGGATGAAATGACACAAGTGTAGGACTCGAACTGCATTTTATAACGGAGTAGCTAGTATGTTGTATCATAACACAATGACAGTGTGAATGGTGCATCCTTGAATATTGCAGCTTTAAAAAATCGCCAACCAATTACGCGCGACTTTTCTAAATAGCTAAATACGTAAGTATCTATTTGGTGGCATAAAGTCATGACATTACCTCTCCGACTGGGGTCCGGATAATCTGACTTGCTTGCACTAGTTACAGTACAACTCATGTATGAAGATAGGTCCATGACTTCTACGAACATCATCTTCACTCCTTCGACCGCCGATCATCAGTGTTCCAATTTCACCGATTTCGTTATGTTCCCAAAATATCATAGGTGAATTGCAGTGATGAATTCGGTCATGAATCTTCTCGGACATCATGAACTCGTATCCGTATCAAATTTGCACATAAAACTCAAGATGATATGCTCAGACTTGAGGATCCTGACGAATGCTACAGAGCCATCGTGGAATCCTAGTACGGGAATCCAATTGATCGCGTGCGTCGTTGACTACTTAGGGAACAATGAATTCATACTCGGTGTGTATTTCCACAAGCTATAGGAGATTTCACTTAGTGCCAAATTTGTCGCATTTGTCTGCTATCTCTGCATGTTTTTCTCTCTTGAGTTTAGCTGATCGAACTAACAGTCCTGCGACGAGGTAGATGGCGCCAGCAAGCTATTTGTTGGTACATCGAAAGTGAGTATCACTTTTGATAAATAGGCTAATAACTTAGGGTAGGAGGAGTGTGATCTGTCAGCTTACTTTTTTACCTAGACCAGTATGCCACGTAAGCTGGCCCCCATTGTGGCATAACGCGTTGACTTTTGCTATGGATACTTAGGGACAATTCTCAAATAGGAACAAGGAGGCTTTTCTAGTTTCCTTTGATAGAGTGCTGACAAGCTTGACAATTCGTGAGTCCAAGATATCTTATCGCGTATTCCCATCCGCACAGGCACCGGCTGGTTCTCGTATTCTGATGACTAGAGGATCTCTCATGTTTATGACTTCCAACGTTACTGATGCATGCTATCAAGCAAATGACCTCTGTAACACAATTCGCCCCCTATTGGGCTGCGTATCACTGCCTGCAGGATTGGTTGTGTGTCCATATGTACACATTGTAATATTGCCCCACAAAGTTTGGATGTCTTCAAATCTCCCCCGATCCTGAGTGAATACTTCTTCAGTTGTTTCACAATAGGACGCTCTTGATATAGGAAAAGTCTACAAGGAGTAGTAGTAATTTTCATCGTACATCAGAAATCAAGTGGAAGCTCTATCCAAAGTATACGGAAATCGTTGAATGTCTAAGGTCTATTATCCTAATGAGAATGATGACGCCCAATGTGGGTGTGTAGTTTTGAAGAATGCTATGTATTTAACAAGGACCAATAAAATTACCCCATGCACTATTTGATATTCAAGGTAGGAACTCTGTCAACGCCTAAATTCAGAAATAAGCCATACGCCACATGGAAGCAGATCAAAGCTCAATGAGTCCAGTAGGATCACCCACGGGATAGGTGCACAGCGTTCCACAATCCATCAGAAACGCTCTTGACTGTGCTCATAAGGAGCGACCACTGGCTGCTCACGGCACCAACAGCCGGAGGAGCAGCCGATGGTAGTTGGGGGTAGCCGGTCACCTCCCAGCACCAGTCTTCAGTGTCGGCGGAGTTGCCCCTTTGGATGGAGGCCATGAGTCGCGAGAGCTCAACCAGCTTACCATTACCGGCTTCGGAGCTGCGGAACGAGTACTTCTCTTGTGTGGAAAGCCTCGTGATGCTGCGCACGGGCACGGCTGCAGCAGCTGTACCAACGGCCACGACCTCGTCTAGATTTGAAATCGACGAAAATGGAACCTACAATTCAACACGTTAGTCTATTATCGGGAAGTTATGTTGCAGTAAATCAGTTATGCTTACCTCGCCCTTTTCGACAATCCAGCCCTCGCGCTCCGCCAACCTGACCATGCTGTCACTCGTAGTGCTAGCAATTGCATTCTCCGTTTGAGGAACAATGAGGACGTCCTTGCCGTCGCTGCGCATCTTGTGGCCCAGGAACCCACTGGTGGAGAACTCCTCAATCAGGGTGCGGGTGGCGCTGTCCAGGTGCAGCGTGATGCCAAACCCCATCTCCTTGGCCTTGGCCGCATGCCGCCAGACAGGTGCGTAGTTGCCGCCAACCTTGTAGCCTCCCATGCCGCGAGGCGCGGCGCGGTCAAAGTCCTCGAGTACGACGCCGTCAATGGCCGCGGATCCGTGGTATGGGCGCGTGGGCTGCACATAGACGGCCAGGATTACCTCCTCGGGTGGAGCGAGAGCCAGACGGGTCGAGGCGCCGAATAGCACGGGTCGAATGTATAGGTACGCCTCCTCGCCAGCGGGGGGCACGAATTCGGCATTGTGTGCCACTGCCAGCCGCAGGCACTCGAGAAAGAGGTCCTCGGATGGCGCCGGTAGAGAGACAGAGCCAGCGGACCGCTGCATGCGTGCCGCGTGGAATCGGGGCCGGAACACGGTGATTTTGTCGCCCTCGGCGCGGAACGCCTTTAGGCCCTCATAGCACTGCTGGCCATAGTTGAGGCCTGGCGAGAGCCCGCTGACGCTAATGTTGGTGTCTGCCACCAGCTTCGGCTCTGTCCACTGGCCCGTCGACAGGTGAAAACGAGTCTCGATGTGGCCATTTACCTCAAGGTCATAGGCGAGGCCAAGTGTCGACCAGTCTACCATGGATGATTAGCAAATGTAGTTTTATACTCGCAAGTTATCGAGGAAATCATACCAATGTCCTTCTTTGCAGCTGGTGCAGACATCTTTGAAATGTCCGAAGGCGAGACAGGGTAAAACGATACAAGACGTCAAGCATGAGTTTCTGCTAGACCGCCCTCAGCCTGCAATGTTCAACAGTGTTTGACAATGCGTGTCTGGTAATAATCAACTTGTATGGGAAATAAATGCGAGTATCTTGTCAAAAGCGAATGTTGATGTCACTCTCAATACTTGTGTTGTTGAATTATGGTATTGATTATAGGATTCTAGATTCTATAGCCTGGCATCACTTATAAACCGTATGTAAAGCGACCAACATTGCAAATATTGCAACCACGCACTGAGATGGTGGTGGCAGTAATGATGACTCTCAACTTACTGGTTTCACTGGGGTTGACAATGGTTCTAGCGGATGATGATGCGACAGAAAAGCGTAATCATGGTGTTATCGAGACGCAATGAGAAGGACTGGACGCCTTTTTGGTGGGCGTGTAGTAAATCACCAACAGTAAGCCCACCATTAGCGAGGACCTTTTGTGGTGACGCCCTAACTACCTGGAGCTGAAGAATTGATTGGACCAATAATGATTTTCCCACTATTCTGAGCATCAAGCAAATCTCTTTAGTTGCGAAAAAGAAAAATTCAAGATCTTTTGTCGTTTGTGGCCTTTTCGTCACTCTTTTTGTCCTTCTCCTAGCAGGTAACAGTCGATGATCTGCTTTTGTTCATTGCAGCTTTCGAGCAAGTCAATCACATCGCAGCGTTTGAGGGGGCGGCACTAATGTAGCCTCCTCATAATGTAGTGTTGTGACTGCTGACTACTAGCGGGACAGCTCCATTTGATGATAATTCAGCGGCATGCCAAAGCCGATTACTTCGTATGAGGTCGGCCGTTGTACAATATTCATGTTCAAAGGAGTGGGAGTTAGCTGCATAATGGCTGCCGCACGGTCCCATGAGCCAGCCTAGGCCAACAAATGCTACAACCCATTTTCAGGGTACCAAAGGGTCCTTGCATGGCCCTAGTTGGAGCTGAACTGAGCTCTGCTCGACACATAAGGTTCGCTGCCAGTCCGACACGCGATCCTTTGATGCAATCCGACGATAGAGTACATACGTAGTGGAGCAAGTGGCTGGACCCGTGGACCTTTCCTCATTCCCTCGAATTGCCCCCGACTCGAGATTCTGAATCATGCTGGATGGACTCTGCCATGAGCTTAGTTACCATGGCATTATTCACAGAAACAAGCCTAAGGCCTATTAAAAGCTGATGAGCAGGATTCTGCACCCCAAAAGTCGGCCGCTTCGTATATGAACAACAAACTACAACATTTTCGTCCTATAGTATATCAAGAGAATGCGTCATGTTGTTTCTAATAAATGCCAAAATTTTGTGGCCGGAATTGCGTTTGTATCAGCATTCAGAACTCGTCCTGTCTGACAGGGCCGTGGATGATCAGGTGTGATACATGGCTGGCAAGGTGTTATCCCTTCCATCAAGGTAATTAGCAGTAAAGCACTCGAGATAATTCAACGAATGGAGACTTTGGAACATTATTTTAGAAAAAGAAGAATAAGAAGAAGCAGAAATTGAGAAGGGTATGTCGAGAAGTACTAGAGTAAAGTATTCGTGAAAGCTGTAACTACAAGGGAAGTAAAACCAAAGCAATCGCCCTAAAACGCCCTTAATCAACAACCCCGCCAAAACAACATGCGCTTCCCAACCATCTACACAACTGCATCGTTTCTACGCGGACTAAAGTCCTATGATACAGATGAAATCTTGTGTGCCTCAACAGAAGATCACCCAGCCGTCAAGATGCATCATTTTTCGAAAACGCTCTCGATTCCTACACTTCAAACGACCTGACGAGGAGCAAATTGGAGCCATGGGCCATTCTTCTGGCAAGTGACGTGATCGTACAGCTGGAACTCGTTGAATCGATGTCTGCCGTGCACAGCTCCCTTCTGTCCGCGTCCGATATTGCCCTTTTCGCCATCAGCAAACTTGAAATCTCCGACGAACAGAATGGTGGCGATTGTGAGCATCATCTCCGTGTTGGCTAGACCCTTGCCAAGACAGCCACGCGCACCGACGGAGAAGGGGTTGAAGACGGATCGGGCGCGCTCAATGCTTCCGGTACCGTCGTCCACCAGCCAGCGTTCGGGGTTGTACTGGAACGGGTCTTTGTAGTATTTGGCGTCGTGGTGGACCGAATAGATGGAAACCCCCGCGTCCATACCGGCGGGCACCTCGCGGGAGTCGACAGTCGCACCGCCGGCCGTGGCCTCGCGCCACAGTGCCGAGCCTACAGGCGGCGACATGCGGAGCGCCTCGTCGATGCAAGCACGTGTGTAGTTACAAGAGGCCAGGGTGGCGCCGAGGCGCACTTCGTCTCGAGTCTTGAACTTGCTGCGCACCTCGGCGGCGGCCTTGGCGTACTCCTCCTTGTTGTCAGCCAGGTAGAAAAGGACTGAGGCAAAGGCAGTCGACGACGTGTCCGAACCGGCTACGATCAGAGTGGACGACTCGGCGGCAATCTCATCGGGTTGGAACCCCTCGCCAGTCTCGGGATCTTTGGCTGCTGCGAGGTTGGCAAAGACGTCGGCATCGTCACTGGTCGCGGAATGGATGTCAATCGAGGTTGTCTTGCCCTTTTCCAGACGGTCCTTGACAACGCGCAGAACGAACTTGACGAAACGGTTGCGCGCGACAATGGCATCACGGAATATGTACTTGTCGATCTTCATTGCTGCGAACTTGGGGAATTGGATCAAGGCCCCCATACGAACGTTCGATCGGTCGATTGTCTCAACCACATAGCGGAAGCGCTCATTGCCCAGCAAGTTGTATTTGGCACCGAAAACTACATCGGCCATGATATCAAAGGAGAGATAATTGCCTGGTCCTGTTGTCAGTGGCCTGATATCGAAGGAAACCTCCCTTCATTACTTACACCACTTGGCCATATCCTTTGGCTCGCTCCAGTTGTCGGCCCCATCGTTGTCAGAGGCAGGGAAAGCAAGGTCACAGAACTTGTTGATATGGTTTGCGATTCTGTGTTCATATCCTCGCTGAGCTTTCTCCGAAACTCCCTGGGCCATGATTCTGCGTCTTCGGGAATGGTCCTTTCCCCCACGAATAGTCAGCGTGTTGGGAGCTCGGTGAACCATTGGTGCGTATCCTTGAGACTTGAGGAACTTGGGTGCGGCAGTGAGGCTGTAAATGTCCCGAAGACCTTCGGCAGTGTTGAACATCAACTTGTTCGGGCCGTATCGGACATAGTCACCTGCGACAGTCAGCTGCTTGCTCGCTCACTCCGACATGTCTGTTTTCAAACGAACCATATTTCTGGTGCGACCTCCACATGTCCAGATGAATATCTCCTTTCCAGCCATGGTAAGACGCATACGCATTGGTGAACTTGGCCAGGAATGGACCCGGGTATCTTGCCAGCGGATGAAGAAAAGCGAGGTAAAACAACCTTGTCAGCAGCTGTAAACAATATCAGCCAAGTCAAGTATCAGTACTTGGAGGTCAATTTCACATACATAAGTGGCTGCAATACCGACACAGGCCAGCACAGCTGTATGTCCTAGTGATGAAGAGGCCATGGCCGCGACAATCACCTGCGTTGGCATTGCACGAGCCAAAACAAAGCAAAAAGTCGTTGAGTGAACAACAAGAAGGGTTAATTTAGATGATCGGTGATGCAACAGGCAATTCCCTTTGGTCGAGGCTGGTATCTCTCTCTTAGGGTCGGTCAGTCAACCACTGCTGATTTACATATCACCTCAATTGCAGCGGCGGTTTAGTGGCATATATTTGAGACTACAGCGTGCCTAATCACTCCGGGCTTTCACATGGCCTCCACGGTCAGTCTCTCGCCTCGTGATGGCAAGACCAAGTGGAATGTTTATGGGCCGTTCATGAACCAAATTCGTACAGATTACTATGGTTTTTCTTCTTCGCTTAATATGTCGCTGGTGGGTGTTTGTGTTGCTGAGAAACAGTAAGCAGCTCCAATGACAGCCGAGTGTCACAGAATGGACCCCGCTGGTTTTTGCTGGACAGGCCGCTAATCGACCACTGCTACAGTGACTACAATGCGCTACCAGGCCGATGAAACTCCTCAGCCGACCGACGCCCTAGAATATTCAGCTGAGTGAAGCACTATTCTGGGATAGGCGGGCGCACTAAGCAATGGCCATGGATGATACCATCGCCGTGAGCAAAAAAGGCTTTATGCCCATGGCCTTGCCAATGATTCTCCCTTTTCAACATACGATCTAGCATCATTCCATTCGTCGTCATCCTCTTCACTCACTCTATCACTGCATCTCTCATGCACCTGTCGTTCAAATCAATGATACCCTAGATCTTGACAACTCGAGCACGGAACTTTGGTCGCCGATCTTAACATTTTCTTTCTCTTCATCTTGGGCATAGCATATACATTTGGATTAATCGTCATTACCTCTGTGGTTCCCTTCTTTCTTCTCATTGTTTATTTTTTCCCCCTCTCACGACTAGTGAGTGCATCATGGAGCATCCTCCGCAGTATACTCCGACCGAGCAGGAGCTCACACAAATTCTTGTCACTGAGCTCTTGGCGTGAGTCTTTCCAAGTTGCCCCTTTCTTTTCTTTTTACACAACTCTGCTAACACAATCATACACTTCCAGGCACCAGTTTTGCTTTCCAGTACAATGGTACGACCATTTTCCAGTAATCTGTACAATAAGTCACTGACTCTAATTCCCAGGATCGACACACAAGATACCATTCTCCGCGACTTTGCCACGGAGAGGATGGTTGAGATTGGACCTGCAGAAGTGTGTAACTCGCCATGTAATTGCCGATCCACAAGAAACTAATCATGTAACACAGACACTGGTGAACATGGCCAAGAAGACTCTCAAGGCTGGATATGAATCTCAAGATATTGCACGTGGCCTGCAACGTGAGTTGCTCAGCTACAAAAAGAATGTCGACGCTATATACTACAAGATACAGGCAGAAGAGGCTGCTGCTAGTACATCCAAAACGCCTGCAGTTGTAGAGGCCGCCCCAACTCCCGCTGCTGCCGTATCTGTGGCTCCTGCTCCGGCAGCACCTGTCCCTCAGGGTGTTTCGGTGCCGGACAAGGCTCTCGAACCCATAGACACTCTTTCTACTCTTGTGGCTGTTGCACTGAAGAAATCGGTCGGAGATATCTCCAAGGACCAGACTATCAAGGCACTCTGTGGCGGTAAGTTGCACTGCACAAGAATGTAATTTTCTTGTACTAACGAAGCACAGGGAGATCTACTGTCCAGAACGAGATCATCGGTGATCTGACTAAAGAGTTTGGATCTCTGCCGGATCAACCAGAGGATATTGCTCTCGCAGATCTCGGTATTAATCTGGCTGATTCTGGTGTCGGTAGCAAGTTGGGAGCATGCACCAATGCTCTAGTTGGTAAAGCCGCATCTGCCAAATTGCCCGCAGGCTCCAACATTGCCAGTCTCCGCAACTACCTCGATGGCCGTTGGGGTTTCAAGCAAGGCCTCCAAGACCGCGCACTGCTCCTAGTTGTCGCTCGCCAGCCGAGCTCTAGGCTGCCTGGCGAGAAGGAACTTCACTCGTTTCTGGATGACGTCGCCCAGGATGTTCTGCGCAGTGTCGGCGTTGACCCTGCCAGCCTTTCATCCGGTGGCACACAAGGCCAGTCTGCTGGTACCGCCACAGTCTCTTCCGAAGCCCTGCACGCTCTACAAAAGGAGCAACGCGGTCAGGACAAGACACTGCTTGACTTGTACGCAAAACGTCTCGGATTCGACCTCCAGGAGGCGGGCATCCAGGGAAAGAAGTCAAAAGCAATGATTGAAGAACTACAAAGTAAGATCGATGCCTGGAGTGCGGAGCATGGTGAAGCTTATGAGCGTGGCATTGCCCCAAAGTTCGACACTAAGAAGATCCGAAAGTACGACTCGTACTGGAATTGGGTCGTGCAGGACATCTTGTCTCTCTTTGCCACTGCCATGGCCGGCCAGGCCGAGAAGTTCGAAGCTCAGATCAGAGAGCGCTTGTCCAAATTCCCGATTCGAGTGACGCCGCAACTACTGGATGTTACACGCTATCTTTTGCGCACGCTTAAGGAGTTTCCCGAGAGCCCGAGAAAAGAAGTTACTCAGGAATGGTTGCAAGACCTGCAGAGAGCTTGCACTTCTGCCAATGCTAAGCGACAGCCATCGTTCAAGAACTCAGTAGTCTCCACCGTGCCAGTCTTGCACATTGATGACAAGGGCAAAATCTCAGTCCATGAGATGCCTCGTATCTCTCGCACCGCGGACGCAATGTCCGTCATGTCTCTGGACGATGGTGATGACGCTAGCTCCAACATTGACGGCTTCTCCTACCGATCAGGTATATCCACTCCTTCAGTGTCCGAGGCGGTTTTCAGCCGTCACCCTGCCAGAACAATGTCGGGCGCCGACTCACCTCTCAGTTCGACGTACACAAGCCCAGTTTATGTTGAAGGTGGCCCATCCCCGGCGGGGAGCTATCCCGGTGCTTCGAGTCTGAAATGGACCCCTGAGCTTCAGACCAAGGGCCGAAGTGGTTGGCGCCGAAATGACGACATCACCAACGGGTACCTACGATGGTTCCAGAAAGCGTCTACCGAAGGTGTCTCGTTCAATGAGAAGGCGATACTGGTGACTGGCGCAGGAAAGAACTCCATCGGCTCCGAGATTGTGGCCATGTCGCTGGCTGCCGGTGGAAAAGTGCTAGTCACCACCAGCTCCTACTCAAAGGCGACTGTGGACTATTACCAGGACCTGTATCGCCAGCACGGTGCCCGACAATCGCAACTTGTGGTAGCTCCCTTCAACGGTGGTAGTAACCAAGACATTCAAAACTTGGTCAATTACATCTACGACGATGCTTCCAAAGGAGGTCTTGGATGGGATCTTGACCATGTCATTCCTTTCGCCGCTGTTGGTGAAGCTGGTCGGGCTGTGGATGGAATTGATGACAAGTCCGAATTGGCTCATCGAGTGATGCTTACCAACTTGGTCAGGCTGTTGGGTGCGGTCAAATCAAACAAGGCACAACGGCGCATTGAGACCCACCCGACTCACGTTCTGCTTCCTCTGTCGCCCAACCACGGCATCTTTGGTCAGGATGGCCTATATGCCGAGTCAAAGATTGGTCTTGAAGCACTGATGAACAAGTGGTGGTCTGAAGACTGGAATGACTACTTGACACTATGCGGAACTGTCATTGGCTGGACTAGAGGAACTGGTCTGATGAGCAACAACGATGTCCTTGCAACTGGTATCGAAGAGGATCTGGGCATTCGCACGTTCTCGGCTTCTGAGATGGCTTGGCATATCGTTGGTCTCATGGACTCTAGCGTGGCGTCTTTCTGTGACCTCGAGCCCCTGATGGCTGATCTGACCGGAGGCTTGTCAGCCTCTATGAACTTGAAGCCAGTCTTGGACCAGATTCAAGACAACATCAACTCAAAGAGCGAGATCAAGAAAGCCATTGCCAAAGAAGAGGCCATCGAGTCGGGCGAAGATATCTCTGCTGTTCCGGAACCCAAGAAGCTCTTAAAGAAGGCACAGATTCACGTTGAGGAGGTCAACTTGCCTGATTTCAAGGAGCTCAAGCCTCTCGCAGCTAACCTCCAGGGTATGGTTGATCTAGAGCGAGTTGTGGTAGCTGTTGGATTTGGTGAATCTGGTAAGCCATGGCTCTGGATTATTGATATTGTTTCAACTAACATCACTTAGGTCCCTGTGGTAGTGCCAGAACACGCTGGGAAGCCGAATGCTCTGGAACATTCTCAGTCGATGGTTGCGTCGAGCTTGCATGGATCATGGGCCTCATCAAGTACCACAACGGCCCGCTTCAGGGTAAAGACTACTGTGGCTGGATCGATGCAGAGACCAAGGCTCCCATTGCCGATTCTGATGTCAAGTCCAAGTATGAGGACTACATTGTTGAGCATACTGGTATCCGTCTTATTGAGTCACAAGAGCACGACCTTACAACCCCCGATAAGCAACAGGTCCTCCACGAGGTTGTCATCACAGAGGACCTGGAACCCTTTGAGGTTTCGCTTGAGACCGCCGAGGACTTCAAGAGAGAGCATGGTGAAAAAGTTGTCATCACCGAAACCCCCGATGGTCAATTCTCCGTCTCTCTCAAGGCGGGTACAACTCTCATGATTCCAAAAGCTGTGACTTTCAAGAATGGAGTCGGAGCACAGCTTCCAACTGGTTGGGACCCTAGAATCTATGGCATTCCCGAGGATATCATTGGCCAGGTTGATCCGATCACACTTTACGCCCTAGTCTCAACCGTAGAGGCCTTCTTGTCGGCTGGCATCACGGATCCCTACGAACTATACAAGCACATTCATGTTTCCGACCTTGGCAATGCAGTCGGTGCCAGTCTTGGAGGTGTCAAGTCTCTCGAGAAGATGTTCAAGAGAAGATTCCTTGACCGCCAAGTTCAGAAGGATATCCTGGCAGAAACATTCGTCAATACCACTGCCGCGTGGATCAACATGCTTCTCGTTGGCTCTTCTGGACCCATTCGTACGCCAGTTGGTGCCTGCGCCACCTCGCTCGAGAGTCTTGACACTGGCTATGACCTGATTATGAATGGAAAGGCCAAGGCAGTGCTCGTGGGTGGCACAGACGCCCTAGAACGCGACACCGCGGGTGAATTCGCCAACATGCAAGCCACCATTAATGCTGAGAAGGATGCAGCTGCAGGCCGCACACCCAAGGAGGCTTCCCGACCTACAACCACTACACGTGGCGGTTTTGTCGAGGCCGAGGGATGCGGTATTCAACTGCTGACCACCGCAAAGTTGGCGCTTGACATGGGCTTGCCAATTCGTGGCATCATCGCGCTGACGCACACGGCCTCTGACAAGATCGGTCGATCTGTCCCTGCTCCAGGCAAGGGTGTATTGACGATCGCAAGCGAGAAGCAGAACAAGTTTATGTCGCCTCTCCTCGATATTGCACACCGCCGTAGACATCTCTCTCATCGCCTTCACCAGATTGAGGAGAAGCGCGACATGGAGCTGACCTGGCTCAACGAGCGCCTTCTTTCCATGAGGGGTCGCCGTACCTCGGTTGATACTGTTGTCGATGACAACATCACGACGGACGAATTTGCCGAGCAGTGCCGTCGCGATATTGAGGCTGATGCACAGCGTGCCTTCAAGGAGGCACAGAATACATATGGCAATGAGTTCTGGAAGCACGATGATTCCATCTCGCCGCTGCGTGGTTCCCTGGCTGTTTGGGGTCTAACCATTGATGATCTCAGCGTCGCCAGTTTGCACGGCACAAGTACTAAGAAGAATGACACCAACGAAACGGGGGTTGTACAGAGTCAATTGTCCTTCCTCGGTAGAACTCAAGGCAACGTTTTGCCCTGCGTTTTGCAAAAGAGTCTTCTGGGACATGGAAAGGGTGCAGCTGGTAAGTTCTTCCTATTCAACATGATAACTATCCATGACGTGAATGCTAATTGTATATGATGCAGGTGCCTTTGCCGTAAATGGATGTCTCCAGATGCTCAACACGGGTCTGATTCCGGGTAACCGCAACGCTGACAACATTGACGCCGACTTGCGAAGCCGAGACCTGCTCTTCTTCCCGTCGCAGACGTATAGCACACCGACGGGTATCAAGGCCTTTAGCGTAACCTCGTTCGGTTTCGGACAGAAGGGTGCCCAAGTTATTGGAGTTCACCCCAAATATCTCTTTGCTACAGTCACCGAGAAACAATACGAGGCCTATAAAGTCAAGGTTGCCGCTCGCCAGACCCAGGCTACCCGCTTCTTACAGGAGGCCATCTATGGAGGCAAGCTTGTGCAGCTCAAGGATAAGAGCGTCTATGAGGATGAGATGCTAGAAGAGACACTTCTGAACCGATTTTAATAGAATTCAAATGGCATAAAAGGAACGGGTTTGGACAGGGACAGGCGTTTCGGTGCATGGTTTATCAGTGGCTCAGCGGTTATCATTTCTCATGTATAATGTAATTTCGTTAGATTTATCGAATATTTTGGAAACAAGTCAGTCCCAAAGCTCAAACATGAATTACATTAATTCTTCCTGTTTTGTTTCTCACGCCACTTCGCACTCCACACAAGCCTCAGGTTCGGTCCCCCTCCAAATTTTCTTGATCTTCAAGCCATTTGCTGCAAGCAGATTCTGCCACTGCCTTTCTGTTCTCTCCAAACCACCAATGGGGAACATTGATATGTCTCTTGCCGCCTCGTAGATTCCAACGTTGAGGTCCGGAAGCACCAAGTCCACTAGCAGTAACTTGCTCCGCGGCCGCGCCTTGAGCACTGGCAGCAATTGCTGGAGGAAGCGGCTGACATCCTCGTCGTTCCAGTCGTGGAAAATGTGTCTGTAGTAGTAGACGTGCGCATCCTTGATGGGCTGGCTTGTAAACATGTCGTAGGGCATAAACTCGACCCCTGGGGGCGGACGGGGCACCGCCTCAAACGTCGAAGGCAGATCTTGCACAATGAAGCGGCCCTTGAGCTGTGGGTTCAGCTTGCGCACCTCCTCCATGACGTGGCCCTGACCGCCGGCAATGTCCACAATGGCAACGTCGCCGTCCTGAACGTCCAGCTTGCCGAGTTCCTCGCCAAAGGGGTACGCGGTGCCGGCGAGGGTTCCGGTGCTCAACGACTTCATGCCCTTGACCATGTTTTGTGCTCGCTGCGGATGTGAGCCGAGAAAGGTCCACAGCTCTTCGCCGTTTGCCCACTTGAAGGGCGTGCCCGACTCTCTGGTGGGTGATTTGAATCCATGTTCCGCCAACGTCCGCGGCATGGCTACGATGGATGGAATAACTTCTTGAAGCAGGAAACTATTGAAGGCTCTGTGGTTTTCATCCAAATATGGTTTCCCCAGAGCGGTCAGGGTATACTCTGGCCCGGGCGAGTCCTTCAAGATGCCACTTGCAGTCAATTGTTGGAGGAGGCGCGCTATACAAAGCATTATTATCATGTTTTTCATCACTCGGTGCTTGACAGATAACTAACTCATCATGACCTCATCCCCCCCAGTCTTGTCGACAATCGTAGCCAGGCTTATAGTAGTGCTCTTGGTAAACTCATCCCATAGACCCAGGTTAGTAAAGATTTCAATGACGGCGCTGACGTTGACCTGATAGATGCGTGGCCAGACATCTTCGTTTGGATCTCCGAGGGACGATAGGAGCTTCATGGCCTCTTGGCGAAGATGGCGACGCGCGACGGCTTCCTCGCCGTCAGTCAAAGCCGCCTCGAGCGTGCCCATGGCCGCTGTTACGTTACCGACCGCCGCGGCCACTTCGCTTTTTGGTACAAATGATGCCATTATCAGGATTCCAGATATGCGACGACTCTTTTTCTTTCAACGATGCACTTCAAAGAAAGAAGCTCAATCTGCCACGATACAATAAATTCAAGAACTGCCACGACGCTGGTGTACTACTGGACTCGCTCCTCTTATTCTCACATTATCTCATCTTCAAAGTTCCACGACGATAATCCGGTGGTGTTTCCTCCCCAGCTCGCATGCAGATGCTCCACAGAGTTGCATGACATACAACAAACAAACCAACAAATCTGCGCAATACAGGGGATGAGGTCGTAGGCTAATCCGTTTGCAGGAGCATGTCCAATATTTCGATGGGGCACGAACGAACCGGCCCCGTCTTTCCGGACGGGGTTCGCACACTTCTTTTCCCCTCCTCGGCACCTGGGTTACATATACTACTTGGCCGCCGAGAAGTTTGCTACGCATGTGGCCATGTCCTGTATTCACAACTTATGATGCCCACGGATTGGTAAACATGTTGATCATTTAGCATTTGATTACGTTGATTCCGTGGGGGAATTGATAAGCAATCAACTCAGGCTTCACTCTGCTTACCCCCAGGCAGTGGATTACAGTATATATGTAATTGCAATCAGACCCGAGAAGAACCATCGGGCCGGGTACCTGGTGCTGGAGTGACGGGAGGCCCCCTTGCTTCCCGGCATACTTCTTTTGGCATGAAATGCTACCCACATGCCAATAAGCGAATAATGATTGAACGACTTATCAATTCCATGCAAGCTGGGATGTGCAATTCTGAGATTGCCAACTAAATCAATGATTCGACGCTTGCCGACGTGGGCACCTATGCAAGTCCGTTGGCCAAGCGGATGACTTCCTGAGGTAGACTACCCGTGGCCGCAATACCCGAAGGTGCATAATTTTTGGATATTTCATGAAATCAGAGGCTTCGTTGCAAGATCTCGTCTATCGAGGGACTCTTGATGCCCAAGCGCACAATATCCAGGTGATAGACTGAGGGTGTAGGTTTGCTCCCAAGAGGATTCTTGGCATCCTCTCAGGGCTCTGGATCAGGACACGCATGATTGACATTATTCTCTGCGTCGATTTTGTGAGACAGCTCAAGGGAACCATGGAGATTTCTTCCATTCAATCACGGCCACCCTTGTTTGGGGAAGCAAGGGATGACTAATTTCTGATTGCTGAAATACATAGCCAAATATCTTCTCGGGCAATTTCGCGTAAGAAAACCTCACCAACTTTGGGTGACAGCTTCCCTCATACCCCCCTAGCCATGAAAAACAATGCACAGGCAAACAGATTTACAGATTTTGGCTGTTCAGGGCCCCTACATGTTGATTGGACATAGATGATAAAAATCGCTCTTCTCGGTTCAAGAATAGTTTCCCTGATGTTATCTTGGTCCTGGTACTTTTCCTGACGCCTTCAAGATGGCGGTCTCAGAGGCAGATTTCGCACCTGGAACAGAAAATCATTTATCAATGCGAATAGGCTGCTATGTACTTTTCGGTCTTTGCACAATAGCTGTCATGCTAAGGTAACGCTGCCATTTCAAAACGTAAAAGTACTCCATCAATGAAGACCTAACGAAACATTACAGAATTTATGTGCGCACAATACGATCACGCAGAATCGGCCTGGACGACTGCTTTATACTAGCCGCATGGGCGTCAGAGGTTGTTGTTATTGCTTCCGTCAAGCTACAGTTTCAATCTGGCATTGGCTGGCATATCGCTGATTTGGCGAAACTACCCAATGCCACTGAAATACTGTCAAGCATAGTATTGGTGGGTTCTATAGGAAAGAAGGAGCATTACACTAGGATGGCAGCTAACGACTTATAATATATTAGTGGCCGTGGTTGGCTCAGATTATTTGTATTTCTTTTAGCTGGGCTGTATAAAGTCTAGCATCGTGTCTCTATACCTGCGTCTTGCCGTAACCCCGGCGCAGGTCAAGGTTCTATGGGTAGCACTGGTCGTCATCCTTGGTCAGGGTCTTTCGTCGTCTATTATAGGTGCCTTAATAGAAGCTATGATCTTGAAGAGATTTAGCCAGTAAAGCTCGCTGACAATGTTTTCAGGCAGTAGCAGCATTTATTTGCGATCCCATTTCCATAATCTGGGAAAATTCCGCAGAGTTTGGCGGACCAAAATGCTTTGATATTCTTGCATTCAACTATTACAATGCAGCATTCTTCATCATATCTGATCTCTTTCTGGCAGTTGCGCCGGTCATGGTTTTGAAGGATATGCAAATGAACAGGAAACGTAAAAGTATGAATGTAGTGGACCCCATGGCGACGGCAGTAGACTCGTGGCTAACAAGGTTTAGTTCTCTTGGGCATCATGTTTAGTCTTGGTACCCTTGCGATCGGTGGGACAATCTCCAGACAGGTAACAAATGCGATTGCTATAAATAATACCGACTTTGCCTGGTGAGTTGGCCATATTTCATGCAAAAGCATCTCCCTTTTCTGATCACCAGATCTCTAACAAGCTGTTGGGGTAGGTACTGGGCGCCTGCGGAGCTGTGCTCGGTGCTCGAGTCTAGTCTCGGCATCGTCTTTGTCTGCGTCCCGGCGATTGCACCAATGTTTGGAAACGTCATGGGCTCGACCGCAAAGAAGTCTGGACAAGACGATATCAATCTGGACAACTCGAGGAATCCCGGCACTTTTGGCAAGATTGGTAGAAACCCAAAGAGACGAACTGGGCCGGGAGACGAGACTCTGCTGTGCGAAACACGACTCACTCATCTCGGTGGCCACGAGAGCGACATGGCATCTCAAAGGTCTGGATGCGAGACAGAAGACGATTCCAAGATCATTGGTATTGCTTGAGCGACCACGATGTATCCTTTAAGTCGGCGTACGGTCAGGTCGCACAGAAGTGGACTTGTGCTGCCTTGCGTAAATGCGCTAGATTGGACTGCCCAGAGATGCTGCTTGACCGACGACGGGGGGGGGGGGGGGGGGGGGGGGGGGGCTGAAGACGAATGTGAAATGAATAGGTGCAGAGTAATAAATTTGATTCTACATATTATGCAACAGATATAAATTACTCAAAGATGGATCGCTAAAAACTACGCTTTACGCACTCTTAATTTATCATTGTCGCTGAGGCGTAATATACAAAATACATATCCTATGGATGATGTACTTTGTGTGATTGCAGTGCAGTGGAAGAAAGATCCGGAAATAATTGAAATCCGTCGCATGCGCACAGCCGACGGTTGGGTCGCGGTTCGGCGATCGACTACTACGAGTATACGCTTATCAGCATCTAGAGGGGCACGCCATCGTCACTAAAGTCTTCGGGCGAGGCACCGATAGCCATGCCCGATAAGAGGCACTCCTACCACTCCGATCCCGGCCCGGCGGATGATGTTAACCACATAAAACACATAATGTTTGAAAAAAACATTAATACAAACTTGAGAGCCTTTTTTGGATTTATCAAGAGTTTCAAACAACGAGGGCCATTTGCGCGGCATAATCTGTACTGCTTACTACAACGACATTCCTTAGAGGATTGATTCACTGGAACCGCGCCGTCGGCAAAACCCGCTAATCCTACACGTCTAGTACAACAAGCAAAGATGGAGCCCTGGCAGCTTACAGCGACTGAGGCGCTGGCCAAATTCAAGGACGGCTCTTTGACAGTCGAAGACTATGCAAAGTCTCTGCTTGCTAGGATTGAAAAGAGAGATGAGGCCGTCAAGGCATGGGCCTACCTGAATCCGGAACTTGTGATTGAGCAAGCAAAGAAGCTTGACCAAGTGCCGCCGGAGAAGCGAGGTCCGCTGCATGGAGTCGCCATTGCGGTAAAGGATGTCATTTATACCAAGGGTACGTTGGCGCAGTAATTTTGCACCGGGATAAAAATAAAACAAAGCATGGGATGAAGCTCTGACTGTGTTACTAGATATGCCCACACAATTCAACTCGCCAATCTACGAGGGAGATGCACCAAAAGTAGATGCAGCCTCCATCCTCACCCTGAGACACGCCGGAGCCTTGATCCTGGGCAAAACCACAACCACCGAGTTCGCCTCGACGCTGTACGGTGGCAAGACGTCCAACGCGCACGACCCCAGCCGAACCCCGGGTGGCTCGTCGTCGGGCTCGGGCGCCGCCGTGGGCGATTTCCAGGCCCCGATCGGACTGGGCACGCAGACGGGCGGAAGCACCATTCGCCCGGGCTCCTTCAACGGCATCTACGCCTTCAAGCCGACCTGGAACTCCATCAGCCGCGAGGGCCAAAAGATCTACTCGCTGCTCTTTGACACCCTCGGCCTCTACGCCCGCAGTGTCGAGGACCTGGAGCTCCTGGCCGACGTCTTTGCGCTCGAGGACGACGAGCCCGCCGCCGGTGCGCCGTTCGAGGTCAAGGGCGCCAAGTTCGCCGTGGTCAAGACCACGGCATGGGACCAAGCCGGCCCCGGCACCAGAGCCGCCATGGAGCTCGGCGCCAAGCTGCTGAGAGACCACGGCGCCGAGGTTGAGGAGATTGAGCTGCCGCCCGAGTTCAACGAGGCGCCAGAGTTCCACCGCATCCTCCTCCACAGCGAGGGCAGAGTGTCCTACCTGCCCGAGTACAAGACGGCCAAGGACAAGCTGCACCCGTTCCTGTGCGGACACGTGGAGAATGAGCACAAGATCTCGCGCGCCGCCCAGCTCAAGGCCTTTGATGGCATGGCTGCGCTGAGGCCCAAGATTGACGCGATTGCTGGCCGGTACGCCGCCATCTTGACACCGAGTGTACCCGATGTCGCGCCCGTCGGTCTCTACAGCACAGGCAGCGCCTCTTTCAACAGCATATGGACTGTGAGTTGACATGAATAGTAGTAACCTTGAATCATTTGACTAATGCTCGATAGGGTTTCCATACACCAGTTACCAATATCCCTGGATTTAAGGGCGAAGCTGACATGCCGATCGGCCTTTCTCTCGTTGCTCCTAGGTACCATGATAGACATCTATTGGCGGTCTCAAAGGCGGTTGGCAAGATATTCGAAAGTGAGGGAGGCTGGGAGCGAAAGAATTTGTAGGACAAGCTTTCTCCAGATATGGAGTGACAAGATGAACCAAAAAATAAAAGAAGAAAAGAAAAAAGATAGAAAGCGTTTTCTCTGATATCTGATCGAGCCACTTGCATAACCTATCGTGAGGAGCTTATAATGAGGGCTTCGATGCACCTCAGCGCGTCTTGTTGGATCAAGCGTCTCTCTATTTAGCAGCCAAGCCACAATTCGTCGTCATCGTCCACAAATGCGTAGCTTGGTAGCTCCTCCATGGGTGATCTGATGGAGTTAGTTGATTGCAATGAGAAAGATTCAGCCAAGAGGTGATATAACTCACAACAGTTGAAAATTGGTGTTGGGATCATACGGCGCCCATGGTGGCATTGGTTCGTCAAACTTGAGGCTTGCGATGACCTCGTCCATCTGTATGGGAGGTGTGACTTCACCATCACTTGCTTCTTCATCCTTGGTTGTAGAGTCAAAGTCTTCGGACTCTGTTTCTTCGGGCTCTTTTACATCCTTGTCTTGGACCTCAATCTCGGGGAGCTTGTTTGTCGTGTCGGGCATGATGAGTTTTCGATAACGATCATCTGCCTTGAGTCGCTTCAGAGTGACAATGGACATGCCAAGCTGAGCGCCTGGTCTGGCTATAGACTTCCAGTCGCCTTCTTGGACAATGTACCAACTTTGCGAATCCCAAGATTTGGGCGTAATGAGCCAGAATCGCTGTTGTTGTACTGCCAAGTGGATAGATGAATCTGATTTGAACGCAAATTCGAGGAAGCTCAAGAAGCCCTTCTGACACATCAGTGGCTCGAACTACATCAGAATGCCCCTCTAACTACTACTCACGTCAAAAGTATTGCAGACTTCCAGCGGTACCGGATAACGGCGACCGAGGGCATCCTGAAATCGCATCGGTTTCTGGTCCCAGGGCTCTAGTGAATTGGTGATATGCGCCTTGAGGTCCTGTGAACAGTATTTGGCCTGCATCAGCCCGAGCATATCACCATGATGCCGCATGCGGGTTTCAAATTGAGTTATCTTGTCCTTTTTGAACAGCGAGAACTGGACTCGGCGCACGAGCCTCACGCGCTGGCGACGGTCATTGAACTTGTCGAGGTATTTTTGAAAACTGTTGATACATTCATGGCAATCATCAATCACTTGTCTCATGGCCGCCACATCATCCTCGCTCATGGCGGTGCCTCCACGAAAGGCCCGCTCAATCGAGGCGCACACGCCGAGGAAGGTTTGGAGGTCCTTTTTCGACACGGAAATGTGTTGAGCGATACTTCCATTGCTGTCAATTGCATCGTACAACTTGTATGCAATCTGCGTCAAGGTAATTATATCACCAAAGCTGCCAAACGTAAATGAAGCCATTTGGCGATGCTAGTTCGCGATAGAGATGAGAAAGACTGGGGGATTAAACAGTTTCACTAGCCTTTTCCACCCACGACCAAAAATAACCAAAAATAACGTTAATCGCACACAATGGAATCTCCAGGGCTGTGAGGGGTTTCTTAGAAGCGCCCGCCCGCAATGGTTCGCCAACTTTCAAGGAATCCTCAGCTGAACTGACTTGCCTTGGCACCATGGTAAAAGACCCAAGGACCAATTGCGCGTTCCCCTGTCGGTGGCTTTGAGCCTGCACGTTGCTGCTCAGCCCCAGAGACAGCACAACCACCTTGGCGAATCATGTCATAGACGAGACATCAGGTGGTCCAGCGTATCAGTCTCTTGGATTGGCTTGAATGCATAATTCGATTTTTATAGCATCTGCTTGTTTCGTACACTTGGTTGCCTCCAAGGAAACTGTTGAAAACCTCACAAATTGCGAAGGAAATCGCTAAACATAACTCCATTTTCATTTGGTTTTTTTTTTAATAAAAAAAAAAAAAAGGTCCCACAAGTAATGTAGTTTTAGCTATTACAGTGTGGAAAACATAGATAAAAAGTATATTGAAAATAATTGAAAAATAGTTTATGCTTATTTTATTGATTGCTGTAAGGCGGCTTTGGCTAGGTGCTATCCAACTCGCTTTTAAAAAACTACGGCCATGGAATCTTGCAACGCCAAAATACGGTTGCTTATCTTGCGCCGTCTGGTGCTCCTCAGTTTCGCTCGTGTTGTCTAACCCGATTTTTCCCCTTGTCCATTTCCTCAAATAGGGCTACCAGAGTCTTCCACATCTCGATTTGGTTGAAATTGAATCCAATTGTCTTATTCAACCTTGTGAAAGACATCCTTGAGGTAATCAAAAGCTCCGAGCGGCACACCCTGGGTCCGGAGAATGCAATACGCCGAGCCCAGGTGAAAGTGGAAGTTGGCGAGACAGTACTCTGAAAAGTAGGTCTGGCCCGACTCAAACCGAAAGTTGCCCATCTTTGTCTCCATGATAATGGGCGAGTCGACGCCCTTGTCAATGCTTTCCGTGTCGGCCTTGCTCAGGTAGTCGACGGTGCGGTCAATACGGCCGCACAGCTGGTCAAACGTCTCCTCATTGTCCTCGACGGCAACGTGCTCAACGCCGGATACCCGCTCCACGAAGAAGGCGACGGTATTGCAGCATGATTGCACCTGATAGGCCAAGCTATATGTGATGATGTTTCAATAAGCCGATGTTCCTTTTCTGGCTCGCTTCTGGATCTGCCCGTCACTCACCCTCGCATGTCTGAGATCAGACGGTAGTTGATGACCTCTTCATGCTTGATGGACTTTTCATTTGCAAATGTCTCGGCTTTTCTCACAATGGCCGAGAGGTTATGGAGGTACTTTGTGAAAATGGGAATAGACTGCTTGGAAAGAGAAGTCATGGTGGCGGTCTGATAGCTGCGCAGTGTCCACAATGGATATAAATTGAATGTAAATTGTAGGTAGAAAGCTAGAGTTGGAAATGGGAATCGGCGTGGTATTTGAAGATATTGTAGGAAATAACAAGACGCAACATGCCAAGGTACAGACTTTATATATGACATGTGAAGCACCAGCACATAACTCCCAACATAAGTGCTCGTGTAAGCATGGGGCGCCTTTCTTTCCGCGCAATACCACAGACTGACATGATATGTAAGCACTACACAAAGCTAGAAGCTAGCGACGACCACATTGTGTACACAGGAGACCGACCATAACGGGCCCCACAAGCCTACCTAGTTGTCGTGGCTTACAAGCGAAAAATATAGACGTGGTTCCCCCTGGACGATAAAACTCATCTTGGCTTTGATGCATGCGTTATGTTTGTGTTGGTTCCCCGCCACATTGTGATATAAAACTTACCGCTCCCCGTTTCGTTTGTCTAAAAGCAAATGTCGTCCATGTCCGTATCTGATAGGTAGGCAGCTGAGTAGGTAAGCAAGTCTGCGAAGTTGCTCCGCGTAGTTAAAAAGTGTCCGACTTAGGTCTCACGGATCGCACATTCAAGGCGGGGTAATAAGGGGACTTCATACTACAGATCAGGCCGATCTTACAAATCAATTCTACATTTCTAGACGCTACAGATTAGTCGCCCAAAGCGGTGCACGACAGAGACCCCCCGTCCAATAACGAATAATGTTGGGCTGTTACAGCTTCTCATCGTCTTTCAGAGGCTCAACTGGAATGGCGGGGCCTTTGGGGATGATAAGGACAGATTCGGCGGTCACGATCCTCTGACGAGAATTTGCGTAGCCGGCGCTATAGTGGTCGATGTACGGCTGCGTGGTTCGGTAGAATGCACCGTTGGTCCGCTCAGTCTGGTCCCAGTATAGCCGCCTCAGCCAGAGGTGCAGGTGCGGATAGTCGTGTCGAATGGTCTTCAGGTTGCACATGAAGACGGTGTGGTAAGCGACATCGAGGCGGACAATGGTAGGATAAAGTCGCACGTCGGCCTCGGTCATGTAGTCACCAAGGAGGTACGGCTTGCCATGCCCCGCTAGAATGCCCTCGAGCCTGTCGAGGGACTCGAACAGCGCGTACAGGTTCTTCTCGTACACATCTTGGGCGGTGGCAAAGCCCGTCTTGTAAACACCATTGTTGACCGTATTGTATACCCAGTCATTCAGCTCATCAATTTGCGCCTGCAGCGCCTCTGGGTAGAGGCCGCCGCCGGGCTGGTTGACCTCGCGGTACTCCTCGGGCAGCAGGTCGTCAAACTCGCTGTACAGCATGCGTATGATCTCGCTACTCTCATTGTTGACCATGGTGTCCGTCTTCTTGTCCCAAAGCACCGGCACCGTAACGCGGCCGCTAAAGCCCGGCTCGACTCTCTCATAGATTTCTCGCAAGAGCTTGATGCCTGGGTGCAGCGGGTCTTCGGTCAATGCGCCCTTAAAGGCGCCATCAAATTCCCATCCCTTGTGGCCCAAGTCGCCGAGCATGTAGAGATCTATGATGTCCTCGAGGTGCTTGTATGCGCGAACAATCAATGTGCGATGTGCCTATAGAGCCTCGTTAATCTTCTCCTGGATGCTATGTATTAATTTGCAAAGACTTGTAGATGCACTTACCCAGGGGCACCCTGGTGAGAGGTATAGCGCATAGCGTCCCTTCTCTACAGGGAATTTGGCGTTTGGATCCCGGGAAACAAAATTGCGAAAAGTGGAATCTGGACGGACATAGTGGCCGTCCTTTTGGTAATTAAGTCTTGGAACCTATCATACTCAGTCAGCTTGATGCCAGCAGTATTAGCTCAAGAATGTTATGGGTGAGATACTTGCCTTGGTATTTTCTGCCATGTTCGTATCACACTATCACAATGGTCGGGAGATAAGTTGTAGTTGCTAGTCAAGTAGAAGATCACCCAGCCGACGCGAAGAAATGAACCTGATATTGTCTCTTCTGTATGGATATTCCAAATGTGAAGAATTTCGAGTGTATTATATGTTAAAGATCAAAGGCAGTATGTAAGCATGACTAATTCTGTCTTTTCTCACTGCATATGTCGTAATTGCTTGCTAAAGCCAATTGAGTGCAGTAACCCACTCAACAGTCACTGCGCCTCTCTCAGCGTGCCGCCCGCCCTTCTGACCGTTTCCCCATTCTGACAAAGGAACCGCGCGGGTATTTTGCTGTCAAATGCGGTCCTTACTGCGGTGTCTTCTGATATGAGAATGGTAGAAAATTTTCATCTTTCATTCGTAGAATCTTGTTTCTTTCCATCATGACCATGACTATAAGCATATCAAGTATCAGACATGCTTCCTTGGACATGCCGCATAAACTTTCATAATTGCCCCATCCTAGAAACACATATAACCATCCATTGAGGTCATCAGTAGTCCTATAACTTTGAGTCTCTGTTCCGTCGTGCGCCTTCCTCCTCTGGCTTGGGAATAAGGTCATTATTCTCGGCCTTCATACTGATCGGATCGCCTAGTTGACTGGGGTTCGCGTTGGGACCATGTACTTTCTTGGCCGCCTTCTCCCTCAACGTCTCTCGGTGGCTTGATCTGACGCTGCTATCTGGCGACGGCGAAGAAGCAGACTGGCCCGCGCCCTCTTCGTCTGGGCCAGGCACGTAGTCGCTTTGCTCGGCCTTGAGACTGATGGGGTCGTCGAGCATGCTCGGGTTCGCGTCCGAGCCGTGGAGCGCCCGGGTAGCCTTTTCGCGCAGCTTCTCGGGCATCTTGGCAATTTCCTCGGCGGTGGGAATATATGGCTCGGGCAAGGACTCGAGGGCCTTGTCTTCGGCGAGGGATAGTGTCTCCTTGATTCTCTCAAAGCCCGAGACCAGAGAGTTCTTCAAGTATGTGATGAACATTGGGAATCACAAATATTATTCGACAGATGGCCTGGTTCGGTATATAATTTGCACATTGATTTCTTATTACACAGGTAGACAGCTTGTGATGCTAGCTAGACTTCATTAATCATTACATTTGCTGGTGAACATAAATACCGAGGATAACTCAAGCATGTGGCAGCAACTACAGACAGAGCCATGACCTCATTATCATATGCCTCAACCTCCTCAACTGTGAAAACCCTTTGAGCTTCGGTTTGGGAGGTACGTATTAGTCAATGACCTCACGAAGACTACTATGGTGACGCTCTAAGGTTTCGCGGGGATGGTCGAGGGTCCCCCGCGTTTCAGTGGGAGGTTAGCGCTGTCAGGCCTAGAGATCAACGATTAGCGCAACGCAGGGCTGTCTGGAATGCCCCGCGGTAAGGCCCTTTAGTGGCCTGTGGTCAGATCCGATTGGTGTCAGCCCCTCCCCATGGAGACCTACCTGGCGATTGCTTCACGCAAAGCTGTAAATAGACCAACACTATCAACGTTTGGAACATTTCGAAGAACACCTACCAGCAGAAATAACAAAAATGACTGTCAGTAAGATACAAAAGTATGTACACGCAGTCAGTCTCCTGAGGGGTACTCGAATCGAGAAAAGGCGCCTGGAATCATTAGCATCAGAGAGAAATGTTCAAGTACTGTCCCAAAACTCTAGAGAGAAGTGTACAAACACCAAAGTGCTCGAAAAAGTTGTGGCATTACGGGTATATACAACGTTATCATGACATATGTACAGCTCCTGTTGCTAGCAATCATTCCGCCTCCGACCATGGGGTCTGATACGTATAGACTCTGGTAGGGGCTTCTGTATGCGTCCAATCTCTGGACTCGTTCTCCTAATAGACCTTACCGGACTACCTTCTCGCCTGTTTTTTCTTGATTTTACGTACTCATTGAGTACTTGTGTATATAATGGTGACGATGACTGTTGACCAGCCTTGGTAGCTGCCGTCGATGTCTTAGTCTGCTCTTGTAATGGATACGACTTCAGGTTAGATTCATCCCGAGGAGTTGGCGTTTCCGAATCTTCCTCCACTGATCCCACCACGGCCCGCGTCGACTCTACACACTCTGCAGGTGCGTACGAGTCACGATGACCGTGAGAATGCGTGATATCAGCGATATCAGATACAGATGAAAACGGCGTATCATCAAAGTCATCATCTTGCGATGTCTCATCCTCGTCGCATTGGGAGGGTAGCGCCGAGTCCATGGTGGCATCGAACTCCTCGTTTGCATATGCAATGGCTCGAGTAGCTGTCAACACACCAAGCACATGATCCTCAGGATCAGTGTCAATGGGCGATACAGCAGACGAGTTGCTGCACATGGTCATGGAGCGCGGCGATGGGGGGAGATGACTTGCGGGTAACGAGGTCGTGTGAATGGTGAGAGGTTCATGTGTAAGAAAGTCATGGTCGTCATCATCAAAGAAAGGCGTGCCCGAGTCTGCTGTAGAGACGGAGTCGATGGTGTCGATCGAGTGGGCAAGAAAATCGGAGACGGAGGAAACAGTCGTCGAGGTCTGCGCGTCGTCGTCGCCATGGGTATGGTGCCAGGGATGCGACTCGGGAAGATATGAAGCAAAGTACCTCACGAGGGAATCGAGCGACCTGGTGCGAAACAGCTGGATGGCGAACTGCCACTGCTCGGTGCCGATGAGCTTGGGGTTGGCAATGATCTCGAACGAGGCGGACTCAAGAGTCTCGTTCAGCTCGCGCAAGCGTAATTCCTTGCGGTCGGCGAGCAGGGCGTGGAACTCATCCTGGGTGCTTGCCGTATTCGAGATTTCCCATACATCGTGGTGGAAGGCCTCGGGGTCTTGTATGGAGGAAGGGAATGTGTTGTACTGATCATGGAGAGTGGTGAAGAGGTCCTCTCTCTTCAAGCCAAACTTCCAGGCGGGCCATGTCCAGCCCCGGTCGTCCATGTCATACGTCTAGTAGGAAAGTATCTATGGGGTATCGAAGAAAAGAATCCTGATTGCGCCAAAACCGGAAAAGAGAAAGATGGAAAATGGGGTATCAGAAAATCGTCAATGTTGCGCGTGGGCGGTGGTTGTGAGCGAGGAAAGCCGCTCGGGGCGTTCGTTCATAAGATGCTGCTGCTGCTTTTGGGTCTCATCGGTACTTTCGAGTGACTCGAATCGTCTAAATACAGCGTGTGGAACCCATTTCGACTAAATAAATGCAATTTTTGAAGCTGCTGAAAGAATCGGAGTCGCAAAAATATCGTCGTCTTTTTTGGCGGGCGTGTATTTTGCGATCGAGACTCTGAGACTTGCAACAACAACAACAGTGTGGACAGGACAGCAGCGCAGCAGCCCTTTGACGGAGGGAGACTCGGGATGAAAGGGCAGGTGGGCGACCGGCCCATCATCATTCAACTGTTGTTGGCCTGAGGCATCTAGACTAATGTGGCCATTTTGGGGCTCAGGCAGCGCTAGCGTCAGATTTCGGGCACAAGATCGCTGCGCCCAGACGCAAACCGCCAATCAGCACCCCTGAAAATGCCGGGTGTGGAACATGGCGCCCAATCATCGCTGACGCATGATGAAAACATGCAAAACCCTTGCGGAATCCTGCAGCTCATTCGCGACTTTTCATTCACACCATCTCACAAGTGATGCGACAGTCTAGATCAACAGTAGGGTGTATCTACTTGACACTCACCACCAACAGCTCTTCATCAAAGCAAGGAGCCGAGACTGCATCAACGCGAAAATTACTGGACTCACTCCATACAGTAATCACGACACCTCCCTCTCCCATACATTGAAGCAATTCCAGAACCCAGAAGCCCCGGCCCTGCCTGGACAACAGCCAGTCCGATCCAGGACAGCAAGACAGTAAGCGGGAGGTCGTCATTGTTCTCGTATCGGCTGGTCACATCATTCACACTCGTTGCCAGAGGGCACTCGAGGCAGTCTCAGGCATCTTCATCTGTCATCCATTGCTTTCCTTCTATTGTCACGTGGTAGTATTTGGTCAGTGAGGCCGCCATTCACTAGCCTTGGCTCTGGCTCGCTGATTATAGAACTTCCCATCTGCTGCCCTCAACCACCAAACAGCTGGGCGACTTCATTCGCCATGATGTTTCGTACCTGCTCTAGTAGGCGCATTAGAGACGAACCAAGGCACACATCCACCACCACATTCAGGGACAAACTAGCAAGAGACATGAAATTAAGCTTTGACATGATTCAAACATTTCCTTCTCTCCACCATCACCAAATACCCGTATCGACATGATGGGCCGTAGCGATTATTTATATAGCACGGAACGTCGTATTTCACTATAAATAATCGACGATTGGGCACATCTCAAGTGAGGGCAATTTTCATCGCGTGTGCGGCAATGCGGGCTGCTCATGTCATGCGGCGGCGCGCAATAGCCTTGTGAACGGCCCCCGTGGCTCAGCGGATCCTTCGAGGCAAGCCGTGCTCTGGTTCTTCGACTAACACCGTCCCATGTCGACCAAATTGCCCCATCGTCTACAGTTCAGGGACAGTGTGCAGTGGCCTGCTGTGCAGGTCTATGGCGGCTCAGTATTAAAACCCATGCCCTCCTGTCCTAGCAGAGTGCCCGATGGGTCACCCTAGCCTGTGAGAAACAGCAGGTCTCCTCCCAGCACGTCGGTATGCGGGATCAGCCGCACTAGACTTCTGACTGTTTCCATGACTCTGCTTTCTTCACCTCAATAATCTCGAGGCCCGTATCTGGACAGAGTCGAGGTCTCAAGGACAGTTCATCTGACGGATCTTATACTTCCATTACGTAGGACACAGACCTAGGGTTCTCTTTTCTCACTGCTTCCTAGACACAGAAACGGTCCCTTCAAAGTGTAAAAGCTTCCCCACATCTGCAGCCTATCTCATTTCTCTCCTCTTCCTCTCTATCTCACCTTTGCTGCCTATATCCTCGTACTAGCAGCTTCCCGGTCTCGCATCTCCAAACCCTATTTCTCATACATGTCCACAAATCCAACGCTCTTCCCCAGACTGCTGCCTCGTCATGGGGGACGAGTACCCTTCAGAGGAGAGGACGGAGCCGTTCTCCGAATCCGAAATGCTTTTGCGCCTGTCCCGGAATGTCGAGGTCTCCAAGAGTTTCGAGAGCTTTGAAGATGACACCGTTCCGCTGGATGACTTGATCATTGACGACAACCACCACCAACAAGGAATCCGGATCTTGGTCAGACCTCTGACTCGCACTCGCTCAGTCAGTCCTGGTAGCGACAATTGCGAATGGTTGGCACTTCGCGCCGAGGTGGCCGACGCACAACGGCCAAAATCCAAGGTCCTGGCGGTGACTCAGACCTCAAAAGACATCAACTTCTCGCTAAGGATACCCGGTGAGACTGGTTTAGACGAGACCAGACCACCCATTTGGTGTGAACTCTACTACGATCCAGCGAGCGACAATCAAATACTTCTCAATAGATCAGATATTCCTATTGCCCTGGCGAGACTCTCACTATCGCTCGGATCTGACGATGGTGCCACTTATGACCAGGAAGTAATCCCAGGAACCACAATGGAACTTTCACCCGGCTCGTGGCGGATAAGCCTGTACGGGTCAGACATACTGGACTTTCGGATTCTCGCCAAACGCCCCGCTGCGCTCTGGATACCGCAAGAGGACTCCAGCCCTCCATCATTTGTCACCAGCAATGCTCTACTCAATTCCTCCGGGAAACGTTCATTATCCCCCGATGACTCCGATGACGAGGATGCTAGCACCGGAAAACGTGTTCGGACGGAGGAGTCAATCGGTAAGGACGATGACGGCGTGATCATGTTTTATCCTCGCCCCACTGCCGAACCGCTCGTGTTTCCACTGCCTCACTCTCCCAAAGGCAAGGAGGTTTCGATTCCTAGTGGCCATGCACTCCTCCAAGTGCAAAAGGATGAGACTGTCTCCATCCCTGGCGGCGAACTTGATCAATATTTCTTGACGAAGCGTAACCAAATTGCAACCACGGCTGCGTCCTCTGTCTTTACCGCCGAGCACTCCCAGGTTCCAGATGGCGTCATCACCGTCAAAGTCCTCAAGACTCGTGGTACCAATCCCAATGCCAGACCTCAGGATAACCACCGAAACGTCATTCGGCAGGCTGATATCTGGCTGCGCGAGTACCGAAGCCAAGAAGATATGAAGCACAAATCCATAGTAAAGCTCTATGGAGGTGATGCCCGATATCTGTCATTATATATGGAACACATTGATGGCAAAGATCTGGCAGCTCGAGGCGTCTGGCGCGACACGGCTAATGACGTATTCCTCGGCACTAGGAATGATGCACTCAGGATCCTCAAGGACATTGCGGGCGCCCTAAACTATGTGCATCAGAGGCGGCGGGTGCACAACGATATCAAACCTGCCAATATTCTTTATTCACCCGACCGTGGAGCCGTGCTGTGTGACTTTGGGCTGTCGACGCGGACCAGTGACCCGGCAACCAATGGAGGCACACCATACTATGTTCCACCCGAGTTCATAGGACAAAAGCTACGTGGCAGTGCCTCTGACGTATGGGCGCTCGGAGTTACCATGCTCTACGTGCTCAAGAAGATCACGTTTCCGGACGCCCGTGGCCGTCAAGGACATCCCAAGCAGTTGTATTGGATGATTGCAGAGATCAACAGACGGACACACCACTCTTCGACGAATAAAACGCCATCTGCTGTATACCAAATGCAACAGTGGTTGAGCGAGGTGAACGCAGCAAAGGCCAAACTCAATCCAAGGGACAAACTACATGTCTTGGTTTCACAAATGCTCACCCCGAGTCCGAATCAGCGCATCACCATGGCAAAGGTGATGAACGAGCTTTCCAAAGACGCCACTCTAGACAACTGAGAGAATCCCTCACATTTTAAACCCTCTGATCTCATCATTGATTCAAACGATTGAACCGAGAGCGGCGCAGCGAGCATATTACCTATCGATCTTCTACCTATGTACACATCTGTTCTTTCCTGTGTATACATTCGTCTTTCCCCGTTGATTTGTCTACGCAGCAGCCACTTGTGGACAACCCTACACATTGGTTATATCAGGCCCATACTACCGGAGCGGATGGGTGTATTTCTTTTCCGCATATCGAGTGATTGACCATTGGAAAAATCATTATGTTGGCGCATGATCAAGAGCATTAATTACGACCTTGGGCTCTTGTTGAATTTCTCGATTTGCATTTAGACAGCAGGAAGCATTCCGCGACGATAACGTTTGATCTGTTTTTGGATGACGACCATGATATAGGAGGATTCAATGTGCGTCATCTCGAGCTTTGCATTGCATTTCCTTTAGTCTTTTCTTTACGAGCATGGCTGACCGCGTTGTCGCTACGTTAGATAAATGCGCATGATACCCCCATCTTTTTATATGAATATTTTTGTCATTATACATCATTGGTTTCTGTGAGCTCGTCGTCTTGGTCATATTGTAGAAGAGACTTAAAAGTCTTGAGCAATGATTGAGAGAAGTGTAGACTTTTAAATACCCATGCCCGTAGCAAACAACATCGCCACTCCTAGGAATACAGCCAGAGCAGCATTATTGGCAGATACAGTCTGGGCGCCACTCGTCGTGTTAGATGCCGATCCAGAACCCGTCGAATTGGCATCAGTAGACTGATTTGCCGAGACGACGACCGAAGATTGCGTGGTATTGACACAAACGCCATCAGCAGGGCCCGGGGCGTCGGTAACGAGAATAACATCGGCGCAGTTGTACAAGGCACTGCCGGAACGGCCCGAGGTCACGACCTGGATACTGGCATTGGTGCCATTGGCGATGCTGCTGCCGCTGCCGCCCTTGGGAAGCTCGAGCCGCGGCAGGCAAAAGGTGCCGTTGCCCGTCACGTTGAGAAACTCGGGCGTCAGCGAAATGTTGAAATTGGTCACATTGTTGCCCAGTCCGAGATTGACAAAGACGTAGGTCCAGGCGTGGTGCAGCTCGAGGGACACGGCGCCGCCGGTGAGGGGCCACTGCGTGCGATTTCCTGTTCCGTCGGGAACGTTGGCGCCTTTGGGGAGGAAAGTGCGTTAGTGACTGTTGTTTTGGGGATTGAAAATGATGGAATCGCTGTGGGTTCAACTCACAAGGGTAGTCGTATTGGGAGTAAGGGCCGTCCTCGACAGTTAGTGTGTCGGCACGCCACTCGGGATATTCGATGCCAAAGTGAGCGGTGATGAGCTGAGCGGCAGCGAGAAGGAGGTAGACGGAAAACTGCATCTTTGCGTTTGCTCAATGTCTTGTTGTCTGGTTCTTGACAATTGAAATGAGGCAAGTGTCATTTGAGTAGTCGCAAACAAGACCAATTTGTGGTAGAAGCTCATGCGGGCATTGGAGATTTATAGACAGTCAAGACCCAGGCAAAGAGAGAGCTGAACACCCCAAGGTTGATTCTTGTGCTTCAAAGATTGCCTGTTGTTTGCATTGCGCCATGTCTAGAGCTGCAGTATAAGCCGGCCGTCCTGGCTCTGCGGTACTAGAAGCACAACGTTATAATCAAGCTTACTTGACGCCAATCAGAGTGCGGCAAGAGCAGCCAGAGGCGGGACAGTGGCGTGTGGGCGTTGTAGTATGTAGTGGAATATTTGCTCAAACGCTCTCATACGCGTAGGGAGCTTGAGGTAGTACATTGAGTTGTCTAAAGATGTCATTGTCCGTGAGTTATCAATTGGTTTTCTTTTCTGATGATCGAAGAAGCTGGTAGTCCGATTGCTAATTCTTGGACGTGACAGCACTTGTAAATACTGTATGGATCTAACCGTAGGTATATATAAAGAATGTATACGGACAATCACTTTCAATGACACACTTCAATTTACCCCTCGGGAGAATAGACCATCTCAAAAAAGGTGTCGCGACTTTTTAAACTATAAGTATAGTAGGTCTTGGTCATTCATCAATCACGGGATGCTGGAACTCGTCGTTCCTCAAGCAGTATATCCGAGGTGTTGTGGAGGCGAGAGCTTGAGCAACACTAGGCTTTCAAGGACTTGGCGGCGGTCGCTCGAGAGGATGGACGTACTGCGGCCTTGTACAGAATGCGCAACATTGGGAATTTGACTGACCCAATTCTGATACTGATTGAGGTTCTGCATTTTATAGTCGAGGAAAATATAACGAATGACAGCAAAGTATGGAACGATATTGTGGACGCGAGCCTTACCATGGTGTCCGTATTCCGTCTGCGGTGACGAAAGCCGGCGCCAGGTCTGGACAGCGCAGAACGCAAACTGCCCCTCACTTTCCGGGGGCCGGGCCAGCCTCTTTTGGACTCTCTGGTAACGCCTTGTTACGGAATACCATGAGATATAATTGATTCGACTCCTTCTCAAAGACTGCAAATAGCCAAAACATCTCAGCACAAAATTGTACTCATCAGGTCATCTGTAGATTTATCGCAAGGCTTACTTCAAAATGGCGGACGAGGCTGGGGACCTTCAGACCATCCGCCGGAAGCTGATTTCTGGCTCCCATATACTGCACTATCACAACGTCCTGGACGCGTACGGGCACCTATCATGTCGGCACCCATCCAACCCTGATGTCTTCATCATGTCGCGAGAGGCCGCACCAGGCACCATTTCGTCGCCGGAGGATCTCGTGGAATATCATGTGTCCAACGCGGAACCCGTCAATCCTAGTGCAGCCAAGGGCTTCGTGGAGAGGCATATCCACAGCGAGATTTACAAGCAGTATCCCACCACCAAGGCTGTACTTCACAGTCACGCCGATTCTGTGATTCCATACACTATTAATGGCGTGCCCATGTAAGCAGGCCAATTTCCAAAAGTTTATCGTGAACATTTCCTTGGCTGACTATACCTAGGCGACCCTGCTACCACATGGCAGGCTTCTTAGGTCATTGGGTAAACGTGTTCGATATTGCCTCGGCGTACCAGCCCGGCGACAAGCGGGACATGCTAGTACGGAGCGAGCACCTAGGCGCGGCACTGGCGCAGTGTTTCGCCTTTGAGCAGTCAGTGGTGCTGATGCGGGGCCACGGGTTCACGGCCGTGGCCGACAGCATCGAGGAGTGCGTACTGCGAGGCGTCTACACGCTGCGCAACGCGGCCATCCAGACGGCGTCGCTCACCACGCTCGCCGCCTACGGGAGCCGAGACGGGCCCCTGCAGCCCATCAAGTATCTCAGCCCCGAGGAGGCCCAGGCTGCGCGGGAGATGACGGCGTGGTCGGCGCAGCGGCCCTGGAAGTTGTGGGTCAAGGAGGTGGAGGCCTGTAGTTTGTATCAGAATATCGCTTGAGAAGAACAATATTGAGAGGTTCATTCGACTTGTCGTATTGAAGTAACTGCACAAGTAGTACATTACCTTCAAAGCAGACTACTTACTTGTAAGCTTTGAAGTACATAGTCATCATACTTTGAGCACGGTTGGTGATAGGAAGGAGTCGCTTGCCCGTCCAAATCATCATGCTTGCCAATGAGTGTCTTTAGAGATATTAAGAGATCTCCATTTCCGGCTTCATCATCCATATTCACCGTCTCCTCGCCCCTGTAGCAAAGGAAACGGGGAGAGGGACAGGAAAGAAACAAGGGAGAAAGAAAAAGAAAAAGTGAGAGGGGCTATTTTAGACTCTTACAGAATATGCAAGCAAAATAATCAAGCCGCCTGGTTCATAGATTGGACAAGAAGCATAATTATTATTGAAACGCTGCATGGTAATTAACATTAGACAATACAGTGAAGAGGCTTGAAAGGCATATTTTTCATGAGCCTAGCAGACTCAAACTTGTTGATTTTGTCGACTCGCTTTTCCCTCACAGCAATCGTGTACTCTTCAATAGTCTCTCTGATTTTACGACCAGCAGCCTCAGCACCTTCCCAACTGAGAGCTGCGTAATGCTGCACAACTTTAGGCAGATGGCCATAAGGAACCGATAAACATTTGGCCCCAACGATGCCCATTCGTTCCGCTCCAGTCTTGCGAATGACGTAGAGGTAGAGATATTCCCATGCTGTCCTGTTGCCATCGATGCTAATGCTGTACATGCGAATGCACTCAAGAGTATCCGTGTGCAGATCTAGGAACTTTGAAAAGTCGACCCCGTCTTGAATACAATGCTCCAGGCGGAGTTGTTTCAACTGGGACATTCTAGTACCGTCCTTACTGGCCAATGCAATTGGGTAATCGATAGCTCCGACCATGACCAAATTCTCGAGGTTCATGTACGATGTGAAAGGCAGCTGGTAATGCTTGTTGAGACAAATACAGAGCTCCAACGTGCGTATACTCCGCAAGAGATTTGGGTTCTGTGGGAGAACCCTCCTGGGTTTGCCGTCACAGAGAAGGCACATCGTGTCTAGGGAGTGAGGCAAGCAACCAGCAATTCTGAACAGGGAATTCATAACCAAGCTGTGGCCCTGCTTCAGGAGAGTGAAGTGGGGGCGTGTCAGTTTATTGACGCGCATGACGACACGTCGCGTCTTTCGTCTTTGCCAAGGATTATCAGCATCCACCTCCAATGTTTCGTCGTCGATCTCCAGTTTCTTGAGCTTTGGAAAACTGGAGAGGACAACTCTGAGGGTGTTGTCAAGATTTAAGCCCCAGATATCCCTCATTCTGTCGTTGTACCGCTCTTCTTTCCTGTATCTTTTTCCGACTTCCTTCTCTGTGGTCCTCAAGGACTCGTCAAAGTAATAACCCATGGCGTCAAAATATTCCTTCTTGTAGGACTCCCAACTCAAAGGTCTTCGAAGGACTAAGTAGTTTGTGGAAATGACAAGATGACGGACAGTTTCAGCAAGGTCTTTGGTATTGGCGATTTTGGAAATTTTGTCCATGTGGCCCGGCGAGATGTGAATGCAGAGTTTTTGATGGCTATACTGCATTCCGACGGCGTTGAACATCCGTGACACAACTCTCAATTTTGCAGCGTCGCGCTGGGAAAGGTGGGAGAAAATCATGAGCATGAGCTCTGTCGGAAGTTTGTCCATGATGACTATGTACTGGGTTGCTTAGCGATGCTTATTTGTTGGTGTGTAACATGCGGTGACTGAAACGCTTCGAAGACCTGGTCCCGTCCGACCCGTTAGAAAGGGGGTCACGGAATGAAGTCATTGTCCACCGCATTACTCACCAAGGTCTAGTGTAGCAATGTTGAGATGAAAACATATGTTATAACACTAAGAAAAGAGCCCGGCTTTGGCGGCGCGACGTTTTCCGATCAGAGTATACTGTGAAACTGCTGGTGAACAAAATCAAATCTCTATTTGGATGGCGCAAGTGCACAAAAACAATCCGCGTGTACACTTTTCGGCGCGCCGGGTATGAAGGAAACTAATCTCAAGGCTGGGCAAGTTTGTTTGCAAAAGAAATATGGACAGGAGCTCCTTGGGTACCAGCGATCTCTGGTGACTGAGCAGGAGCGATGACAGATGAAGATGTCAAATCGTGGCGGACAGAACGAGTGAAGGTACACAATGTATGTTTTGCCATCAAATCTTCAAGTCTTCTCAAAGACCGAGGGAACAAGAAGACTATCTACGCGAACACATATGCACGTAGCAACGTTCAAAAATAGGAAAATTGTGTGACATTTGAGAACTACACCCAATGTTCACAATAGGTATTGAAGGCTACCGTCTAAGCCAAAAACCCTTGCCGATACGGGTAGTTCTTTTTAAAGGCTTCTGCAATTTCAGACCTGGTTGCGACCCATACGCCTTCCTTCTGGCTGATGTACTCTGCAAACTGCTTCAACGCAGCAAAGCGCCCGGGCCTGCCAATAATCCGGCAGTGAAGGCCAATGGTCATCATCTTGGGCATGCCTTCCTGCCCCTCCTCGTACAGCACGTCAAATGCATTCTTTAGATGAACAAAGAAGCCCTGGGGGTCGCGGAAACCAGAGCCTGCCGTGTGAAATTTAAAGTCGTTGCAGTCGTACGAGTACGGCACCATTAAGCAGCCCTTGGGGTTCGCCGATTCCTTTTCATGGTTGAGGTCGATCCAGTAAGGGACGTCGTCGGCGTACGTGTCGCTCATCCACTCTAGCGTCTCGCCCATTTCCTAAGCATCCGTTAGCACGAACGCACTCGGCACCACCGGACAGGATCAGCACTTACCTCGTATACCTGAGGTACAAGGGTGCGCGAGTGAGGGCTGTTGCGGCCATAGTACCAGCCCCTTGGTGCATACCCGCTAAGACTCTTCAACGAAGTAACAGCCTTTCGGATGTATTCTTTTTCCTTGTCGACAGACATGTCGTGATACTCAATCCATCGGTAGGCACTGGCACAACAATCAGTTCTCCATCAATTGGCCGATGATGCTACGAAGCACGCAATACTTACTGAGACGCAATATCATGACCTTCCTCCACACACCTTGTGACGACTTCTGGTTGTTCCTCAACCGCCTGCGCGACGGCATACAGAGTGAACTTCATCTTCAAAGCATTGAACATCCTGAAGAGTCTCCAGAAGCCAACGCGGCTTCCATACTCATACTCGGACTCGACATTGTAGTTGCGCTCGTTTACTCTGGGAGGTCCTCCAGGGTTCTCACGCAGATTGGGCTCCGATATGCCATCGCCACGCAGCACGCTACGCTCGCCTCCCTACAGACTTTTATTAGTCTAGTATGCTCGTCCCCTGGAGTGCAGAGCCAGTACCTCTTCATAGTTGATCACAAACGACACGGCAATCTTCGCATTGTTGGGCCATTTTGGGTCCAGCCCCTTTTCGCCATAGCCCTTGAAGTCGCGATCGTACCCATAGAGGGGATGCGCGTGGTAAACTTCAGGCATAATGCCGCGGTATTGACGAGGAAGGCAATGGGGCTGAAAATTTGTTCGACCTTTGGTCACGGAAGAAGAGAAAAGGGCTGCAAAGTGATGCGATGGGAATGAATGTAGTAGATTATCGATTCTTCAATGTCGACGACAAGAAAGTCATCGGCCCCTCCTACAGAATGCCTTATGTTCATCAGCCCATTTTGACCGTATCTAACCGTCCATGTCAATTGGCGACAATAGTCTAATTGGACTGCGACGGTGAGCGAACACCTTGGGCGTAGCAACCCCCGTCTGTCGGACCTTACGCTTCTGTCTCTACTATGCGGATGAATGTTCCGTGGCGGGCTGCATTACGGCAACGAGAGCTCATTCGATGGACCTCCGCATTTCAAGCCCCGATAGTGGTGCGGTGCCGGCAATGGTAGATCGTCGCGTGTCGGTGCAGGCCGAAGTACACTATGCACAATTGGCGGAGGTTGCGCTCCAGGCGGCGGGTGTCCGACGGCGTCTCCGATTTTCCTTCGGTGTCTGCCGATGAGAGGGGGAAAGCTATGGTTCCATGATTGCTCTGATTCGCTGTTTCTGGTGATTTGCATCCTATAGTCATGCTCCGGTCTACACGAATTCCTTTTCCGGGGACGGTATTCGCCATGATTCCTGTAACCAAGTATCAATCAAGTTGTGTATTTGAATCAGGTTATGAGCAAGTAGGAACTTAGGATCACACTCCATGTGGGAAAGGCGTAGCTCAATATAGATACACAATTTATGCATGCCGATAGTCGACGCGCTTTTCAATCGTATGATGAATGCAGATGAAACACTTCTCCCATCTTACTCATTTTCTCCAAGGATTTAATTGTGCTTGTGTTCTTAGCGTTTGCGAGTCTTTTCATAAGTTTTTGTCGATACTCATTATTGGCCTGGCTTTGTTTCCCGCATCAATACTCACGTTCTCGGCTTGGAATCAGGGCAGAAAACTTAACAGTGTCGACCTTTTCGTGTTCCTCTCTGTCTCTGCATTTGGTCTGACCAGGCGCGTGTTGCCATGACTCAGGGACAACATAGTCCCAAGACCAGGGTTGACAGCGATTGCAGGTCGGAAAGGGAAAGAAAAAACTCAAGAAAGAAGAATGAGCTTGGCCACCGCGAGCATTGAGCGATTCGCTGATGTCACCCTCCAAGATTTGGTGGCTGGGGTCGCCCCAAATCGCTCACTTGTATTCCGGGGTATTTTGCCAGGGATGTGAGTATAAACTTCCGTCGGTCCCGCATTACCGTCCGACCATTTGCGCAATTCCCATTGGTACCCGTGTTTTGTATAAAGAAGCTTTCCCGTGTGACTACCGTATGAGCATGATGTTTGCTGTGAGTTGACGTTCTTACAACTTCATTGTCTCCTTGCCCGTATTACGTGTACATTCAAATAAGTATAGATGGACGCAACAGCTTTGTCGGCCTTTTTGTTATTTCTTTGCCTTAATACACCTCGCCAATGTTCAACTGGCGTTGTTCAAGATTAGGAACATCAAAATGAGGGCTCGCTGTTGTGACGTTTCTGCCACTGCTTGGCCCATGTTATACTGCTCCAAAAATGAATGCCTCGCATACATCGTGGCTCCCGAAAGACCGCTTAATAATACAAAATGTATCCGCACTGCAAGCTAGAAATGCCGGCGCTATGGGCTAATACCCGCTATGGAGCCTTTGACCCCAGGTGATCGGCAGTATGCACTTTGAAGTTTGGCCAATGCTCATGCTTGCACTGCTTTTTACTGAGTCCAATGAGTCGTACTTCGTACACTGCTTGAAATCCGCCTGTCTGTGGGAAACGAGTTGAAAACTTTCAATTTGCACGTCCAATGGGTACACTTCCTGTAAGTCCGCGAGCGAATCACGGTCTTACTGCTCCAGCTCCACTCAAGATGTTGTTCTTGAAGAGCAGTCAACTTCCCGAACCACCGAGCTTTTGCGTGACGCTTCACACAGGGCCGCAATACGAACACAGAGCTACGATATACCATGCACTGATTTGCCCTACACCGTGTGTGATCGCTTTGTCGAGTCCAGCATGCTCTTTGATTGCTCAGAGAACGGAGGACGGAGAACTTGATTGAACTATACGCCGACGTTCCGCGGAACCATTTAATATATAAACCTGCAAACCCACAATCGTTTTGCATTTTCGTGACAAGATTCTATACACAAATTCCCCACGCAGATATGTCTCTTCAATTATTGCTACTTCCCGTGGTGGGAATAATCATCTTTAACCTGCTGCGCGCACTAATCACTCCACTACGGTCTGTTGGCGGACCATTCTTGGCGCGCTTCACTGACCTCTGGTATGCCTGGCGTGTACGTGTTGGACGATTTGAGTTTGAAAATCTTGAGCTGCATAAGAAATATGGTAACGCAAATTCCGCCACTGACTATAACAAGGATGACAAAAAGCTTCTAACGAGTCCCAAGGAACAATCGTTCGCTATGGCCCCAATCGATTCAGCTTCAATGATCCAGAGGCCTTGAAAATCATCTACGGTCCAGGTTCGCAGTTCCGCAAGTCAGACTGGTATAGCGCCCACAACGTACCCAAGCCAGAAGCTTATGAGAGATGGAGCATGTTCTCGACAACGGATCCCAAACAGCACTCGGAGCAGCGCAAGCCGTTTACCAACGCCTATTCAATGACATCTCTCGTGTCATTCGAACCCTATGTTGACGACTGCGCCAACATATTTGAGCAGCGGCTGACCGAGGTTGCCGGCACTCCCGTGCCCATCGACTTTGGCCACTGGCTGCAGTGCTATGCCTTTGATGTCATTGGCGATATTACGTTTGGAGAGCGATTCGGCTTCCTCGACAGCGGCCGCGATATAGGAGGCGTCATGGCGGCCCTCGACGGCTTTTTCGGTTATGCCAGCACAGTCGGGGTCTTTCCGAGTCTGCATCCTTATCTTTTCAAACTTCAGGGACTACTCGCGGGCAAGGAGGGAACGGGCTTCAACTACGTCAACAACTTTACCCAGTCACAGATCAACAAGTTCCGCGATGATCCCAAGCGCGCCGAAGTGGCCTCTCTGCAGGATGAAGGTTCTATGGAAACGCTGCTGGCCAAGTTCTTCAAGCGAAACCAAGAAGACCCCAACCGCTTCACTTCATACCACGTTTTCATTGGATCCGGACAGAATGTCGGCGCCGGTTCCGACACGACGGCCATTAGTCTCTCGGCCACGTTTTACTACCTCTTGAAGAATCCCTCTACGCTCCAAAAGCTCCGTGAAGAAATCATGACCAAGGAAGAGCAAGGCCAACTTTCGGAGCAACCAACGTTCAAAGAGACTTTGAATATGCCATACCTGCAAGCCGTGATCAAGGAATCCCTGCGACTGCATCCGGCGACGGGTTTGCCCTTGGAGCGTGTCGTCCCCGAGGGCGGCGCCACCATTTCCGGACGCTTCTTCCCAGCAGGAGTGAGTAATCATTTCGAAATTCCATGAGTCGGATATGGACCGCGCTAATTGACATGATGCTTAGACCATTGTCGGCGTCAACACTTGGGTCGAACATCGCAATCCCAAGATTTGGGGCGATGATGCGAGCGAGTTCAAGCCAGAGAGATGGCTTATTGACGATGCCGAGAAACTATCTTTTATGAATCGCCACTGGATCCCCGTAAGACATTCCGCAGCTTTCAAAAATGGTATCGTGTTTTGCTAATCACTAGTGATGCCTTTTTATTAGTTTGGCGTTGGGTCACGAGTTTGCATTGGCAAGAACATTTCATTACTCGAGATGCAGAAGCTCATCCCGCGGGTGATTCGCAAATTCGATTTGGAAATTGATGGCCCTAGAGACAAGACCTGGAAGACAATAAACCGGTGGTTTGTCAAACCGCAAGACTTTAAGGTTCAGGTCGTTTTGAGAGAAAAGCAAACTAGATAGACACTGCAAATAGCAGTTTTAACTGGTTTGACTTGGTCTTCCCAAACTCATAAACAATATAAGTTTGATGCGTTGACGACAAAGAGGCTACGCATTCGGGACCAACTTTTTCTAACACCTGTATAAGCCCCCTTGCACATCAACCGGATTTGCCTGACCTTTACCAACCCAAGTACACAGCAGCATATGAAAGAAATGGGCATTCTTCCACAGCGAGACAAGGAGCCTGGCGTACAAAAGCTCTTGACGCTATACATCAATTTAATAAACCGGTAGGGGACGAACGCACCCAACATTCAGCTGTGGTGGAGTCTGTTCAGTCAGTCCCATTACGTATTCACTATCCGTCGCTCTGCCCTAAGGATAACATGACTAACATGAACATATTTGTTTCATCCGAATTGGTGTAACGGTCAACATTTCGCGTTTTCAAGATGTATATCTAATGATCCGCGGAGCTCGGGGTTCGATTCCCCGATTCGGAGTTCTGAGTATAATGTATTTCATATTTCTTTTTCTTTTTACTATTCCCAAATCAAATAATCATTTGTTATTTTTTGTTCATTTGCCGTAGACCCGTGTGAACATGCGACTTGAAAAGGTCTTGATTCAATGCAAAAGGTATCGCATAAGATTTTCACAGGTGTGAGTATCAGTATAGTCTGACTTGCTGGAGCAGCTAGTGGTCGTGTGACATATCTCTGGAGCCAAGTCATAAATGATGCCATAAAGTCCCAATTAAGACCTGTCTGAGAGGTTGGTCATAAGATTTTGTATAGGCAGATCACTTATCCGGACAAGACAGGGTGCCTGATTGCTAGTCTATTAGCGCCGCATGCCTCTCGGAGCGTCTGACCGAGACAAATGCTCGCGAGCCACGACCGAGGTTGTATTGCGCCAATCGCCAAGTTCTAACGGGTAAGTACATAAATTCAGACCTGATGAGGGGGTGATATTTGCTGACGATCGGCCCAGTATTGGATACTAGATACGCAAAGAAAATCATGGCAATGGTCGCACAGAACAATTTGCTGCTCAAGGCAGCTTCTAAGCAACTCTGCAAGGTCAGTCGCTACTAGGTATCCGCCGAGATTGAATACTATGGAAACCGAAAGCTGATTAGTGCACCTAGGCTTTCGGCATCAGACTCGTAAAAGACACCCAGATCGTCCAATTAGCCAAGAATGCTTCCTTTGACGCCCTCTTCATTGATTTAGAGCACTCGACACTCTCCCTCGAAGATGCGGGCAACCTCTGCCGGACCGGCTTGCAGCTTGGCATCACTCCGTTTGTGCGAGTCCCCTGGAAGTGTGGGGACGGGTTCGTCCAGCGTGTGTTAGACGCCGGGGCCATGGGCGTTGTGTTTCCGCATATACAGTCACAGAGTCAGTTGTAACATGCAGAGGTACAGACGAGACACGATACGATATACTAATTCATAAATACCAGGTGATGCCGAGCAAGCGGTTGCAATTTCAAAATACCCTCCATTCGGAAGACGGTCAATGACGGGGTCTTTGCCCACGTTCGGACTCAGGAAAACACCCGCCAGTACAATCATGGCCGAAAGCAACGCCAATTTATCCTCGGTGCTCCTGATGGTGGAAACCAAAGAGTGTGTAGCCAACATTGATGCCATTGCGTCGGTAAAAGGCGTAGATGTCCTTCTCGTCGGTTCAAATGACCTGTCTCTCGAGCTAGGAGTGCCTGGGGAATACAAAAGTAGAGAGTTTCAATCGGCACTGGAGACAATCAGTCAGGCGTGCAAAAAGCACGGCAAGATGCTCGGATTTGCGGGCGTCTATGAAAATCGCGAGCTGCAAGAATGGGCGATTCAGAAGCTGGGTGCTGGTTTCATTCTCGGACAGCAGGATTCGGGGCTTCTGGCCAGAGCGTCTGTGGAAGTGGTGAATGCTCTGGAGGCGATTGAGGGCAGACAATGAAGTAGCAGATGGCTCTAGTCCTATGGGATGTTGGATATGTGTTGGCTGCTCGATGCAACTGAAGCAATGTCATTGGATGTAGAGGATCATTCACTATACATGCCGCACCGAGGAAGCAAATATAACCATGTACGAAGCGAGGTATATAGATCAACCAACCTCTTATCGCAACACAAATACCTACACTGCGAGCTTGGTGGTTTGAGCGCTATTAGACTTGGCTAGTCGGTGTCCCTTGGACCAATAGCCAGTGCTACTAGGCCTTGCCGCCCCCAGGCCCGCCTATGGGTCCTCGTTAGCCTCATGATTTAGGTGCTAAAATTGGGGGTTTGGCGTTGCAAATGAGCCTGTATTCATCAGCCTTTGGGCGTAAAACAATCCACTGTCGCACCACCCAGAGTTCAACTTGGGTTTCCAAATGCATTCGCGCGCAAACTTGCTTGCAAGATGCACATCAATCAACACGACCGATAGTAGACTACCTCATACATTGCACTTTGATATCCAAACATCCATATGATTCTACCATCAGGATGAGCTCCCCGCAGGCTCTTACCAACGGTGGCACCACGTCGGCGTCGTCGCGCCCCAAGAAAACAAATCACGCGTGCCGACGTTGTCGAGAGCGCAAGGTCAAATGTTCAAGTGACCACCCATGTCGCGCCTGCACCAACCGCCGTGAGGAATGCGTCTTTGAACAAGAAGACAGAAAGGTCGTTGTTTCCGAAAGGCAAGATATAAGGGCCCAACCCATAATACTCCTCGAAGCTAATAATGCCTGGCAGATATCTGGCCGAGTTGAAGAGGAGATCTGGCGATGATGGTGAAATTTCACGCCCCAAGCGCGCCCGTAAGCTAGACTCAGTATTGATTTCAATGCATGGCAAGATGGTAGCTAACCATTCAAGGCCATGTGCCGTCACAAGAAACTGATGGCTTGCTGCCACGAGCTCCGACAGATTGCTCAGACGAACCTGGTCGCCTTGAAGAAGTTTCCCGTGATACTCTCAATGGCAACAAGAGTACTCAGTCCGTACCTCCTATTGTAAATCCCTTGGCTAGCGGTCTCGCCGAGTTTGTAACGGATAACAACGGCAGAAAATGTTTGTACACTTCGAGTATGACTACGGATCAGCTTCACTAACCTTGTAGCAGGCTTCCTTGGGCCTTCCTCAACTTGGGCTTATAGTCAGCAAGTCATGCAGATGATTAAGCGACACTTGCCTGATGGCGAAACAAGGAAAGTTCCCTTTAACCCAGACGGCTCCGCCTTTGTCATAGAGTCCCCGGCCATCAAGCCCACTGGACCTCTGACTATGCAGCAACTCCCGTCACTAGACTTTGGCTTGTATTTAGTAAATGCAGTCAAGTTTCGCCTGGGTCAGCTTTATCATGTGTTTGATGAGCAAACCTTCATGCCCAAGCTGTATGATTTCTATTCAAACGGTGGTCCGAGCCGCGAGCCTCTACTCGAAGATAGGCTTTGGTACGTACAATACCTAACAATCACGGGAATTGGCCATGCCCTCCTTTTCGAGTTCATTGAGGAGAAGCCAGCTGGTTTCGTTCTCATCGCTAGAGCCCTCGAGCTTCTTCCGGATATATTGCGCCTCTACCAAGATCCCTTATTATCAATCGAGATTCTTTGTGGCTTGGCACTATATCTTCAGTGTATGGACCATCGTAACAGTGCCTATGCCCATGTGAGTACCATGGAAGCGTAGACTAAGACTCGTGAATCTGACTTGTTACAGATAGGGCTGGCCCTACGCCTAGCTCTAAGCAAAGGATTGCATCGTGAGATGGCATCTGTTGATATGAACCATGCTGAAACTCGGCGCCGCCAAGCTATCTGGTGGACCGTCTATATCCTAGATCGAAAATTTTCATCTTTAATGGGAGCACCGACCTCTATACACGACGAGGACGTGACAGTCCCTCTTCCTGGACCTGTCAATTCACACGCCGTCAAAGGCCTAAGTGTACATGTTGCAGTATCCAGGCTACTTGCCCAGGTCGTCAACTGTAAGCCTGGCACGACACTATTCATTCGTTCCATCTGCTGACGTTGTATGGCAAGCTATATATGGTGTGGATGGCAAAGTTGGCCCATCGTTTCTGAGAAATATGCAGGGGGTGCTGCGAAGTATGGCAGCTCTCGTACCCGAACTGGAACGAGCTTTTGAAATTAAACTCGATAGCTCCAGGCCAATATCGCGTGTTGCTGCGACCCTCAATCTGTATTATCACCAGGTATGGCTGCCCCTCTTGACAGTTTTTCATCAAAGGTTGAATGTTCAATAATTGACCACGAGAAAAGTGCATCGTACTTGCGACGCGGCCACTACTCATGTGTCTTTTGCGAAATTTTCTCGAACAGAGAAACTCGGAGAAAGTTTCACGGAAGGAGGTCACAGAGCCAATTAAAGCACTTCTCAAAGCCTCGCGGGACTCGGCCACAAAGTCTCTCGCTATTTTAGCCGTTCTGCAGTCTCAGCAGCTTCTAGGTAAGTATCAGTTTCATTTCTAAATAGTCAGCCCTCGCTTATCTCTGCGTATCAGACGTCTTTGTGCCTTTTGACTTAGAAAGCACCTTTTCTTGCGCATTCGTGCTGTCTCTCATGTCCACACTACCTTCAATTCCTGCACAGGACATATTTTATGTTGATAAAAGCTTTGCAATACTCAACTACATGATACAACGGGGCAATCGCGTCGCTGAATATCGGAAAGGCGAACTGGAAAACCTTTTTGGATTTCTAGAAGCGCTGCGAAACAGTACCGATCAGGTGAATCATGCGGAGTCTAGCGACAATACTGCCGAGTCTATGCAGACACCTGGTATCAGTATAGCCAGAACGAACGATGCATTGATGCACCCACCAGAGTCAAACATGGGCGCGCTAGAAAGCACTCTGGGGCCTTTGAATGGACTCTCCCCAGATACGATGCTTTTGATAGCAGGCCTTCTTGATTGGGAGCCGACGGATGATCTCTTCCAGTACCCTCTCTCTACTGAGTGGCTGTGGGCGGAGCCTCAAGTCCTGCACTATACAGCTGATGCTGCCACCAAAACTACAGAAGGTGCTTCTGGGAACAGCTGAGACGCACTCAATAGATCTATCAATGCAATCTCAAAGAACATTATACGACTTTGGCAGGCTATCCCAGACAGCGATTGTTCCTATCTGCATGTCCTTCCCCTCGGTCGTCAAGTTAGTACCCTGGCTCTAGAAGTGTTCGGTCTGAATTGCCGAACTCTATGACTGTGTCGATTTTATGACTACTAGGTACCTGGGCACCTGTACTGTTTCTAGTCAGCGACTCGGTCATTGTTTCCGAGCTTCAAAGGCTTCGGTGCCCCACTCCGAACTAGCTGATTTAGCTACTACTGATAACGGTGCTGTATAGTCCCAGCAATGGCTGCTAGGCTAGGGATTATATCTCCATGGTTTGGGCCTCTAGGCCTTTGCATGTGCCAAATCCACGACTCAATACATCCTCACCAAACGAATCACGTCAACTGTTTTCGACATGAACAGCGACCCTGAGAAACAGTCACCGCAGGAGGATGGCCTCTCGCGAAGCGCTTCGAACACGAATGGCCGCGAGTTGCACAAAGGCCTTGAGGGCCGTCATGTAACCATGATTGCCCTCGGTGGATCTCTTGGTACTGGACTCTTGATTGGAACGTACGCATCGCTTTTTCCTATTCTTGGAAAGCTCCAGCTGATTTTTTTCTCATAGAGGCTCTGCCCTAGTCAAAAGTGGCCCAGCGGGCATCTTGATAGACTACTCCATTGTCGGTTGCCTCGTCTTTCTCATCATGGCTGCTCTCGGCGAAATGATATCGTACATGCCGCTCTCCCAAGGCTTTGGTGGCTATGCCAGTCGCCTCGTCGACCCTTCCCTCGGCTTCGCGACCGGATACTGCTATTTCTTCAAATACCTTCTTGCCACTCCAAATCAGCTTTCGGCTTTGGCTTTGATCGTCAAATACTGGGTCGGCGACCGCGTTTCGCCCGCTGTCTTCATCACTATCGCTCTGGTCCTTATTCTGTTGATCAACAGCATTAGTGTAAAGACATTCGGAGAATTCGAATTTTGGCTCTCGTCACTCAAGGTGGTCATCATCTTGGGCGTTATTTTCCTATTATTGATTCTGGCGGCCGGCGGTGGCCCGACGGGCGATTGTCCCGGGTTCCGCTACTGGAGCGACCCTGGCGCCTTTGCCGAGTATAAGGTTGACGGAGCCAAGGGACGTTTCCTCGGGCTTTGGAGTGCATTGGCGACCGCCGTCTATGCGTTTTCAGGCACCGAGCTTGTCGGAGTCACCGTGGGTGAAGCCAAGAATCCGCGCTTGAACATGCCCAAGGCGGTCCGCATGACCTTTTTTCGTATTCTCTTCTTTTACATCATTTCTGTCTTTCTGCTCGGGATGGTAGTTCCATATAATTCTACTGATCTGGCTTTTGCTGTGGGTTCCAAGACCTCGGCGGCGGCCTCGCCCTTTGTTGTGGCCATCAAACTGGCCAAGATCACGGGCCTCGATCACGTCGTCAATGCCTGCCTGCTTGTTTTTGTCTTCTCTGCCGCCAATTCGGATATTTATATCGCTTCTCGTACACTCTATGGTATTGCAGCAGACGGCAAGGCACCCCGCATCTTTACCTTTACCTCCAAAAACGGTGTTCCCATTATTGCTTTGGGCGTTTGCGGCGCCTTTTGCTGCCTGGCTTACATGTCCGTTGCCACGGGTGGTGCTACGGTATTCGGATACCTAACCAATGTTGTCACCATTTTTGGTATGTATACAGTCTTGTCTCTCAGTAAATTCAAGATCATCAACTAACGGTCCAAGGCCTCTTGACCTGGGTTTCGATCCTGGTTACTCACATTTGTTTCCGCCGTGCTCGAACGGTCCAACGCATCGACGCTGCTTACATACCGTTTGAAGCACCCTTTGGTACCATGGGCTCTTATGTTGCATTGGTCCCTTTGATTGTTATTATTTTGACCAAGGGCGCAGATGTCTTTGTTGGCCAATTTGACTACAAGAACTTTATTGTGGGATATATTGGAATACCCGTTTATCTTGTCTGTATCTTTGGTTACAAGCTTGTGAAAAGGCCCAGTCGCGTCACGTCGGCTACTGCAGATCTGGTCACCGGCGTACCGACCATGACGGTAGCCGAGGAAAGGGCACAGTTTGAAGCGGAAAGAAAGGAAAAAGAAGCTGCTCACTCCCACTCCGGCATGCTGGTAAAAGTCTATAGGAGGACATTTGCGTATCTGTTTTAGTTGGGAAGAACGAAAAACCCAAGGCAGGAGAGAGTGAGAGTGGACACTTGGAATTCAACAATTTAAATCGTTCATGATTGATGTTCGAAGGTTCAATGTTGTAACTATGTTCAAGTTCATCCAACGAGATACTTGCACTATCAGCCAAGGAAGCATTCCTTTGCCAACCACTCCCCCGTATTCAAGCAAGCTCGGCCGCAATCACGCTCTCAACTGCTCGGAAATGTCTGGCTATACTCACGACTTTGAAGCCGGCCTTGGCCAACAGCTCCTTCCAATGCCCTTCGGTTCTTTCCAGGCCCGATACAATGTTCATGAGCTGCAAATCCAGCGTGGTCATGAGACTGCTGGCATCCCGCGCGGGAAGCACGATCTCGTAGATTAGCAGCTTGGAGTAGCCCTTTGTCATGGCGGCGGCTGCATTCTGGAGGATGCGCACGCACTCGGCGTCGGGCCAGTCGTGGCAGACGGCATGGAAAAAGTAGGCGCGGGCGCCGACGAGAGGCTGCGGCGTAAAGAAGTCGTAGGCCTGCTTGACGATGCGGGCGTCGAGGTGCTCGATATCCGCGGCCACGACGTTGGGCAGGTCCTGCACGAATAGCACGTCGGGCGGCAGATCTGGGTGGCGGGCGAGGAGCTGCGCCGTGTCGAGGCCGTGTAGGCCGCCCACGTCGACAAACAGAGGCTTGGCAAGATCGGCGTTCTCTACAATCTTTCGTGTGTCGTACACTTCAGTCCAGTGCATCTTGTGGTTTCGCAGCGCTGTCATGAGCCCTTCGAAACTGTCCGCCTTGTGAGGCTCTCGCTCGCACAAGCCAAAAAAGTCAACGCCATTGACGTCGGTGTAGTTATCTGCCTTCTTGGTGTCTAGGGGCTCATGGTAGTTGTACTTTTGCAGGAGCCTTGGCAGGTTGACGCCGGTGATGATGGAGTGGTCAGTTCTATTCAAGTAAGCCTTTCTTGTTCAACCGCGTCAGTGACCGGGGAGACGTACCCAAAGTCAAGGATGTGGTGCAGATGCGAGGCCTCGTTACCGAGGGCCAATGAGAAGGCCGTGGGTCTCCATTTGTCGACGTCGGTTTCTTCTACTACATTCAATGCTGCGCAGTGTCTCAGGAGGCGTCCTTGAATCCAGATGAAAAGTGAGTACAGGGTTCCCAGCAGGGGCAGGTGAGAAGAATCCTACGCAGCAAATTGATATCGGCGTTGCCCTGTTGCTGACAAAGGGAAACAATATGTTCCAAACTTTGTTCGTCGGCAGTTTTATTTTCTTTGCATAACCGATACCACGCAGACCAGAGCCCGAGGTTACGCAGCGTCTGCAATGCAGCAATGAGCACGGGCGTCTCAAACGTCAGCGTCCACCCGCGCTCAAAGGGGGTCTCGATGCGGCTGAGCAATCGACGGGCCGCTTCCTTTGCTGCATAACGTTCTGTGTCGTTGGCAAACGACTCGAGCTGGATCGAGTCCAGGATCTCGGCCGCCTTGCGGACCGGTGTAGACATCGGTGTAGAGATTGATGAGCAGACAAGACCTGTCTGTGCGATGAAGGGCTCATGTTTGGCAATTTTAGAACGAGCGTGGTAAGAGACATTCAAATACGGACCATGAAGTAGAATCAGTATCAGATTCCGGATGCCAGGTTGTAGCTTCCGCTGCCAACGCCTTGCCGACAGGACAGACAGGAATTGATCTTCAAGGGTGCTGGTCTTTTTCCCTTGGCTGTTGTATGCTGCAGCATGCGATAATATGCACATAGGCGACGCAGACGTGGATGTATACATACTCCCTGCAGTGCTTGAAGGGCTGTCATCCACACTTACCATACGGCACTGGTTCCGGAAACGAGCATCCTTGTTCCCCGCGGGTGGGCCTTCATGGGATATCCCAACGGCTCGGCTAACATAACCGTGGCAAGGACACATCCTATTCGCAGCTTTCTTCGCAGCAACGGAAACACAAACAGAGAGAAGGAAGAAGAAGAGGGAGAGAAAACCCCCCACGTCCCAACGGAGCTATAAGCAGCCACAGCACAACCGAAATGCAATACTGTTCGTTTATACGTTTCCACCTTGTCAATTCCACCCAGAGAAGAGTTTGAAGACTGAGACAATCTCGAATTTGATCAATTAAAGTGTGCAAGGAGATATGCGCTATGTTATCTCAAGGTCAGCTTGAAGATCCAAAAGCAATGCGTGCCCGTTACCATCTGTGTTGCACATGCCACTGGAAAGTTTGCAAAGATATATTATTGGATAGCAGGAGCCGGGGGGTTCTAAGTGCAGTCAGGGAATCATGAATATATGCAGTCCAGTGGAGTCTGAGAGACGGGCCCTGCCGCTGATGGTTGGAAGTGGCTTTTCAAACCTGGGGATCAGAAGAGGTTTTCGTCAAGCCAAAAGCACACATTTCTAGGACTTGAATATGCTTTATACCCGGAAAGCAAGCCAAGGTTCCTTGGCATGCAACCATGACTGCTTTACTCGGGACTTTCAGTCTCAGATCGACCAGGCGGTCGGCCGACATAACGCCAAACCCGTTCATCTTCTACCTCTTCTGTTCCTCTCATTACAACCCATGTCAGTAGAATTGCACCATTGTGTCTGATATACCTAGGGAGGTGATTTGCGACAACAATAGACATTCGCGGCAAATGTTTTCAACTATACTCGAGGGAACACTCGACGTCAACACAAGGGTCAAGCCATAAATAAAGGGAAACCCCATAAGATGCTCACTCACATTGGTTCCTCCAGATTTCTAGAAGCATGCGTAAAGGGTTCCTGTCCAACACTCTGCAATAAGAAAAAATGGCCGACAACGCACTGGTGGAATGCCGAGCGGAATACGCTATCGGGACTCTAATATTTATACTAAGATGGTTTGCGCAATGGCGGGTCCGCGGAGCGCTCAGCTGGTCTTGGATTGACTGGTTTTCAATCTCCGCCTGGTTCTGGTTTACCAGTCTCTATATTGAGCTCGAGGTCATTTGTACGTCATCGCGAAACCCGTCCAAGTAGTCGATAAACACGGTAGAGTACTGAAAAAGACAATCAACAGGTGTATTAGGGGCTCCAGTAGGATTTACTCAAGAAATGCGCGAAGCCTTGACACCCCAGCAGCGAATTTCTTACGAGGCGGGCGCGAAGATCATGTTTTCATGCTTTTTCATACTCATCTTTCTAGTTTGGAGCTTGAAAGGCTGTTTGATTTTCTTGTTCCTGTCCTTGACGTGAGTTGAACCCCCGCGGAATCGCAAGCCGCGGCTGGAAATCTAACGGCAAGCCCAGACGCGACACCAGACTATATCGTTATGTACAAATTGTGGGCATCATCACAGCCTTGGCATGTCTCATGGCTACCATAACACAGGCGACGCATTGTTTGCCTTATCATCGAAACTGGCAAATACTGCCTGACCCTGGCAGTGAGTTGGGCCTACCGCAGACTGTTGATAATAGCAAGCTGATCCGGGTTCAGGAGAGTGCTCGACCGGCTACACAACTAATATTGTTATTGCCACTGGAAACGTGCTGTGAGTGTTCTTATTAATGTCCAAGCTAATACTTGAGACCATAAGCTAATATGAATAGTACCGATGTGCTTTTACTGGCTGTCCCCTTTTTGATGCTCCGTGATGTCAATATGAAATTTTGGCGGTAGGTTACTAGGAAAGATTGGGCAAGGACATGACTGACAATTCTCCCTGCAAGAAAAATACAGATTGGGTTCCTGCTGTCGTTGGGTCTATTCGTCATTGCAATGGCCATCACGAGATGCGTTCTCTCGATCGGAGACACCGCTGCTGTCGCCTTGGCATCCAGTTGGGCGCAGCGAGAAGCGGTAAGCCTTTGCCTTTATCCTTTTCCAGGCCCCATCAATTGGCAGATATTATCTAACACAAGAAAACAGCTCGTGGCTATATTTGCCGTCAATGCACCACTCATCAATCCGATACTGAGCATGGACTTTTGGAGAGTCACGAAACGATCATCACGAGACGCACCTGCCGACGACTCGGACCGCCAATCAGCTAGAAAAGAGCGACTCGGCAAGCCGAAATTTAATGACTTTACATTATATAAAATGACAAACCTCGAGACTACGAGCCGAGAAAGCACGACGGATTTGGTTGACAGGACAGCCGTGTCATTGGAAAGTGCGCCAGGTACTGCCAAGACTCAGGTCAGCACGTGTTAGACGATACATTTTTCGTTCCCTTACACATCGTTATGCTTCATGAAAATTATCCAGACGAGAGTTCGCTACGTTTTCGATGCTAGTAGGCACAGATATTATAGCCCTGGCATGGACATCATTCAGGGCATGGACGACCCGCTCGTCGTGCAACTCATGGTTCGTTGCCCTTCAAGATCCATCGTACACTGCTGCCATATGACAGCATGTAGTCGATGACTTTCTTCATCAAACTAACATGAGCATCAGTGGATGATCTGATAGGAATTGTCAAGGCCTGCCTGACTGCCGGTGAAGCGGGCGCAGTGTCTGGCCGTCTCACTGCTCCGGGAAGAATGATGGCATCTCCTGGCGTCCAAACCTTGCTTACATCCCTTCCCGTTTGTCAAGCCTTCATGGTATCAGCGCTTTATAGCCAGCAGTGGATTATTGCGCAATGGCTTATTCGGGGCAGCTTTGCTCCGCCTCAGGATCGCTGTCTGCTCACGATGGAGGATAGTCTTGCCCCGCATAGAGGACTGCTAGTAGATGATGCTGGCATTTGGCGAGTCGCGCATGTTGCAGTATCTGTAATCGGCCAGCCAAATGGTCTGAACAAGGACATGCTGGTCAAACCCGCCATACAACAGATTGTTATGCTAAAATTTGCTGAGAGGTGGCACTGTCATGATGAGGCTCCATGATCAAAGCATGGTAGTGAATTGGGTCCATGTATGTACCGAAAGCTAGGAACTCAGACCCCCAGGGATAGGGCGGTGCAGGAATCTAAAGGTGTCCCACCCACCCAAATCCACAGCGCTATTCTGCGCGGCTAGGGCTAGAACGAGGGGTGGGTTTGGTCCTTTGGGCAAAAAGGACCTTTGGGAAAGCCACACGGGAGTAAAATGGCAGGGGCCTCGCCAAAACCTTGGGCCAGCCTGGGAACAGACGCTGCCCACTGCACTCCTGGTATATCGTCCATAGCCCGCTCGAGTCAATGGGATGGGCCAGCACTAATTCTCTTGGCAAGCAAGCCACTGTAAAGTGCACCAACAGTGGTCTCTAGAGTTCTATATTGTGCTGTAGAGGTGCACTAATTCAGTGTCACTTTGCCAATTACTTACATACCCCGCCACGAGAGCGTCGTGCCTTTCATCACATCCTGACATGCCATGCTTATCAACGTTGCCCTTCATCGCCAATCCAGTACATGGCTTGTGAAGATCGTGGATATTCCTGACTGTAGACCTGCCTCTCTGCTCGGAAGCGCTCAGTGCACTTTTCAACCGGTCGGCCAATTTTCAGGTAGATCCACCGCTCAGCCTGGAGATATGGTTAGTGTCTGCGTGTACACGAATGACCATGAAGCAACGACGGACATTGCAATACTTGAAAACCACCCAACCCAGGAATGTGAGCAAGAGACATATCGAGACAAAAAGAAGGTACCAACGCCAGTCGGGGTTATTTGCAAGGATGTCGACGTTCATCCCAAAGATGCTCTGAGACTGGTCAGTCGTGGAATCTACTCGCTGGCGTTCAACAACTTGGCATGGAAGTTTAACTGACAGATACAAACATGGCTGGCAAAAATATGAACTGCTCAGATTAGCGGAAACTCATGGATGTCTCCAGGGCCAGATGGTAGTCTCCTCATCGTTATCCAGCTCAAACGCTTCATACTAGCTGACATGGATGTCGATTCCCGAGCTTCCCTAATTGATACCAGGTTAAACTCCTGGAGGAATGTTAGTCCAACAGCGTGGGTATCTGTAAGAATGTTTACGCACTATTTGGATTATGCTCTGCGACAATTGATCGAGCCCATCAAGCTGTTGGCCAATGGCCTTGGCGAAATGGCGAATGATACCTGTACATTCCTCGAGGCGATCTTTATGGAAAAGAGTACAATACTGATTCCGGAAACGCTCTGCTGATTCAACTTGTTCATTCAGGCCCTGTCGAAGGTAGGACAAGCCGTGCGCGCTCGTCAGCAAGTCATCGATGAGTTTAATATCTGTCCCTCTTGCTTTGAAAACTCTTTGCCGCTAGATCCGACACAACTTAGTCACAACAAGATATGTAGAGTGCCGTCTTGGGAAAGATACGAACCAGTTCAGTCAGCTGCTTGTTTGCGTGACTGCAAGTCTCTGTCCAATCCCACACAATTTGATCCACGAGACTATGGAAGAAGTCTAATCCGTCGTGTGGTACCGAGCCAATTGGCAGCGTCGTTCGGTGTTCGATGGTACTCCAAGGGTTGTTGATAAATTTGGACGTGGATGTCTTTTTCAAGGTCCATTCAATTGAGTAAGACCATGTTTTGTTGCTCATATGTTCGGTTTCTTTCACGGGAGAGTACCAGGCGACGATGTGGTACATTTTGTGCTCTTCTTTGTGCCCCAGGCTTGAGAACTCAAGGCCGCTTTTCTTGAATGCTGATCGCGGATGAACGAGCAGGTTCGGAGTTACAAGCTGGACGGGCGGGCTTGGAGTCACACTACTCAAAAGTCAGTTCCTCATTTGAAAGAAAAAGGCGGAAAAAAATAATTTGCTTCCTACAAAAGCCTCCGTCTCAGATCGGCATGCGAAGAGTCGGGCCATACAGGCGGTTTGGTTGGTGGATGAAATGTGATTGTCTTTTGCCCATCCTGCTCTTGCGTCAACATCAAATGGTCATTCTGTTTTGAAAAAGCAGAATACCATTGGCTGGCAGAGATCATGGTTGTGTCTGAGCCAGCTCGTAGAAGCTCATGAATAGACTCGCAATCCCTGATCTGGACAGCGTGCTCGAGTGGACCCAATCCATCTCCATCTGCCAAAGTCACATCGGCATTGTTTTTTATTAGCAACCGCAGGATTGGTCCTTGTTGATGGATGACCGACAGGATAAGCAGGCTTCTACCTTGTCCATCTGCCGTATTCACATTGGATCCCTTTTCGAGCAGCAACTGAAGTTGTCGATGTTGTCCATGTTTTGCAAGAAAGCACAAGGATACGTCTGCATGTTTCTGTAGCAAGCGTACCACTTTGTGATGTTCATTATCAAGGGCCAACATCAAAGCTGTGTTCTGATTGTAGTCGAAAACATCCGGATCAACTTTTCCCAGAAGCATTTTGCATAGGGCATCTGATCCATTTTTGGCAGCGGCGTGCATGGCAGTTTGACCGCTTTTATCTCGTATCGTCGTGTCACATGCTGCATCAAGCAACTGAAGCACTGCTTCTTGGTGCCCCTGATGACATGCCCAGAATATAGGTGTTCGGCCATCCGTATCTGCATAGTTTACATCGACCAAGTCAGTCCTGACGAGATGTTCAATGATGCGAGAATGGCCACCTGCTGCGGCCCATGACAAAGGTGTCCGTCGCAAATTGCCAGAAGAATCTGGGTCGATATCACTCCGCTCGAGTAGTCTCTGTACAAGTGAAGACTTGCCTGCTTCCGATGCAATGGAGAGTATGCCGCGACCAAGGTGGTCGATCGTTTCTACCTTGATTTCCTGTCGAGAAAGTAAATTGTTTACCACATCGTAACGTCCCTTGTATGCAGCCGAAACTAGCGGTGATCTTCCCAACGTACATTGAGCGTTCCCGTCTGCATCATATTTATCAAGAAGGGCGTCGACGATGACCAGTTCGCCAAAGTCACACGCATAGAATAGTACTGTTCTCCCCAACCCATCCCTCCAGGAGATAAGATGGCGTGAAAAATCGAGAATAACCTGGGTGAGGGCCAGGTCCCCGTTTTCAATGGCGGCCAGCAGAACCTTTTCCCATGACACTTCACCAAATCGCTCGCATGGCCCACGCTCAAGAAGTAGCAGTATGGTCTCCAGATGTTGGTTGTTGATAGCCCAAAGGTAAACATCCACAGATGGTAAAAAGGTTAAGTCGCGTCTGAGTAGTTCGACAATTTCTTCGGACCGATTTTCGACAACTAAAAATGACAACTCATCAAGCATGTATGTATTCCACTGCTCTGGGGTGGACAGAAGCTGCACACTATCATCATGCTTACTCTCGATAGCGTAGGAAAGTATCGTGGGTTTGGTCTTGTCTGGGAGTTCCATTCGAGCCCATGTTTTGAGAAGCAATCGTACAACTGCATCAAGTCCCTGAAACTTGGCGTCTCTGAGTGATCTCTTTTTATCGCTCTTGCTTTCCCAACCTATAGAAGAAGCATAGCAACCATACTGCTCGAGTAGCAACTCGACTACAGGTGCATGTCCTCGCGCGGCAGCGTGCAGCAAAGCTGCGTTTTGATAAATATCCGTGCTTTGGAAACTAGACCATTGGCTGAGAAATAGCCGGACAATGTTTACGTGTCCATGTTTTGCAGCATGTAACAACGGTGTCTCCAGGTTGTCGTCTTGACAGTCAAACTTGGCTCCCTTTGCGAGGAGTAGTTGAGCCAGGGCGTTCTGATTCTGCTCCGCAGCGTACGATAGCAGCGTACGCCCATCGCTAACAGGGGTATCTATGCCGAGGTCATCATCTTGCCATAGGCCGTCAGAGCCTAGTAATCGACCCAATCCAAAGATTGCACTCAAGTGTACACTCCTAAAACCTTTGGGGGTTCTTTGACTGTACCCATGGTCATCTTGATCTTGTGGAACTGAGAACAGGACTTGGCTTGACGCTTCAACCAAAGAGCTATTCTTGAGAAACAGCCTCACCCGGTCAATATTGGCCGTGGATACAGCATGGTGTCCCCAGTAATTACTGGCATAATCATAAAATGGGTAGGAAGCGAGCCGCTTTTGGAATTCGACATCGGATCCACATTCACCGCTTTCAAACGCGGTGTATGAAAGGTAGGTTAAGCATGAATCCGTAATCATTGTTGCCGGATTTTGGATCCACATTGCTCCTTGATCCGCCATTGCCATAAAGTACTCTGTTGCTGTGTGATGCACAAGTCGCACTTGATCGAGCTCTTGGTCTATGGCAAGCAAGCCACAACAACTCCACACAACGTCTTCAATTGTCGGCGGTACACCTTTGGATGATTCCGATTCATCAGTTTGGATACTCAGTGCGTGTTGGAGTTCTATGGTTGTCAATGGTCTTTGGGCGTAAACAACCCAGATCAGGGTTTTGATAGCCAGTTCTTTATGACTATGACGTTGGCTGTTGATCCGTTGCCATGCATTTTTATAGATCGAGCCCTTGTCGACAGAGGATCCGCGGGACTTTGTTAAACCCTTCTTTTTTCTGGTCTCCGCCAGCGAATCTATCTGTAGTTTAGCATTGAGAAACCTGTCAAATGTCAGCCATTATCTTGAGTTTGCGCCACGAGTACTTACACTCCATTAGCATCTCGAACAGTATTTCTCACGATTTTGGATTTAAACGAGGATTTGGACCACACAGACTTTGGTATTCGATTCTTACTTGCTCTTACAAATTGTGCAATGTCTTCATCAGATGCACGGAATTCCACCCAGTGATGGCCAGAACTGGCTTCCGTGATGCGTGGCATTGTACGTGAAGTCACAAGCATATTTGCCCCAGCCTGAGCTTGTAAATTGAGCAAGGCTGTCATGGTGTCTTTGTGGCAGCCTTCTGATAATCGACAATCGTCAAGGCCATCGATTATGATGAAAACCTTCGAAAAGGACGACGCAACCGAACAGAAGGCCTCGTGTGCCTCGTCGGATGTTGGCCTTGTGTATTCCTTCTCGTGTCGCTTGAATAGATCCCAGACGGGTTGGGGCATTGTCGGCATGCGTCGCAGCAGCAGCCAGAGCATAGCAAGGATTACATGGTCGACTGACTGCTCCTTTGTTCTTATGCTGTCGCAGTAGAAATAGCAGGTTGCAACATTATCTGCCAGTATATAGCTTTCTTGCAACGATGCGATCACTGTCGATGCAAGAACAGATTTCCCAACACCGATATCACCGTAGTAGAACAACTTTTCTCCTTTCCTGTTGGTCCATGTCTCATAGTCGGGTGAATCGAGAAACCATTGGTATGTACCAGTCGCACGTTTGCTCATATGGTCCGATTGTACTTTAGTGTTGTACTCATTCGGCACCAACCAATCTAGAACTTCACAATTCGGTCTCGTTATGGCTTCATCCAGTGCATAAATTATAGAAGTGATGCGCTCTCGAACTTGAGCAACCTCGTTGGGTTCATCCGACGGCGTTCCAAAGAAAAGGTTTGATGATTGCTCGCTCAAAGCATGTTCAGTATCAGCCAAAACATGTCGACAATCGGCTTGGATTTCGTGAATTCGTTCTTTTTGAACATCTGTCAGAGTAGATTCTACAGTGCGGGAATGAAGCTCGAAAAGAATGCCAACGAGGCTTCGAATTCTACCAAGTATCGCGTCAGTGACTATAGACAAATTGGGCAGCATAACTTACTCTCCCAGGATCTGTTCAAACACCTCTGGAGCCACCATTAACTCGAGCTCCACTGTGGTTTTGGCCTCATTGGCGACCTTGGCAAGTGCCAGAAACTCGTCTGTAATGCTGAGTCGGGAAGCCATCCTCGCAAACAGACATCGTCACGTCGCGATGAGATGATGAAACGAGTCTTTTTGCCGAAGAAACAAGAAACAAAGGGCATCCTTCTAAAGCGGACAAGAACGAGGCAGTGGGAGATTGGTTAAGCGCCATAGAGAGGGGTTCTCGTCAGCCATGCAGTTCAGCTTACCAGGGTGCTATGCAGCTGTGATTCTGCCTTGCTGTCTACCTACCTTAGTATGTATGTAGGGTAGGTTACCACGGAAAGAAAAATAATGTGGGCGGTTGTGATTGCCCAGTCTTGCCATTGTGGAATGCCTCATTGCGACCTCATCTTGAGACCAATTCTCCAAATGCCGAACACATAAACCAGCCTCATGGCAAGAAACCGCGAAGCTGCCACCGAACAAAGCTAGGTTAGGTAGCTATTGGTCATGAAGCTGAGTAGACCATGAGACTATACGATTCTGGTCCTACTGGACCTTTGTCCCATATCGCAATGACTGTCGCAAGTTGATCTTGGAATGCAGGTACTGAGTCGGGAAAAGTAGAAACAAATAGTGTACATACCTAGGAGGTGTTTACAATCAAGTATTCTGAGTAGGTTTTTAGATAGGTAACCTAGTAGTGTACATGCCTACATCGGCACTGCGGCAGGTAACGTACATTCGCTAATGCCCCGCACTACTCTGTGAAAGACCGACCGCTGATGGGCTGGCGGCAGTCTTCCATGAGCGAGCCATAAACACTGCATCATGCAGGTAAAGGTACAAAGCAAGCGTCGTCCATCCATGGCCTGCCTGTAATTGAAGTCAAGTTACATGAGGAAATTCTTTGCTACACAAACAATATTTTCCCTATTTCTCTATAAAATATGATTTACAAATCAAACTACAAATTCACCTACTTACATGTTCATCTTATATATTCCCAACAGTGCCGGCCTTGTCCGATCTCCTAGCCGGCCACAATTGCTCGAAAGCGCGCCCGACTGCTACAAGAATCAGCCCCACATAGCGTCCAGTAGCAAAGATCAAACTTGGCCGATCTCTGGGGAAAAGCTCCAATGCCTGCTGAAAGGGCCAACGACTTTGTAATCGTTGTTCTGTACGAAATCAGTGCACAAGTCGCAAGCAGGCCTTTCGCATACATCCCTAAGTAAGGACGCTAGCCATGTCTTCAAAGCCGTGTCAATGAACTCCCCAGCGGCAGAGAAAGCGATCGCGCCTCTTGCCGGAACTTAACCTGCAATGTATATGCATGACTTTTGAATTCGTAGGCGGCCACTTCTTGCGGGTTCCAGGCAATGAGCAGCATGAGCTCGACGGCGGCTCAGTACACCCGACGATCCTACGTGTGCAAGCAAGATACCGGAGACGGGGACACTCTAGAAGCGTGAGGCTGCGATATGATGAAGGGGAGGACCGAGACCCTTGACATGGATTCGCGCGCTCATGGCCCCTATATTGAGCTTCAAGGCTGAGTCACAGTCCTGGCTGACTTTGCATCAGCTCGCAACATTGCCTGCATCTCTTACTTGTGTCGCTCGAAAGGCTAGGAAATCATCACCACTGCCCAATTTCGCAGACTTGCCTTTGCTGATGCATTCATCTGCCTTGTACGACGGGATCAAGGCAATACCACGACGCGGTTACTAAAAATACTATCAATTTGGGGGCGGTCAGAGGCGGCCCGTGAGTGGTGAACCTGTAGCATCAAGCCACCAATACATGATGCTATTCATTGACCACTAAGCTCGGCGAGCAGCCAAAGCTAGCGGACTCTGAAACAAATTTGTGAGTGCATCTCCTGGATATAATCTGCTTTATCTAGGTTAGAGGCTTATCCGGTGGTAAACGCCTTCAAAATCCTTCTCAGACATGCTAGCCAATTATAAGACACGAAACACTGTTTGAAAATAATAATAAGTAGGCAATGCTGGCGGGCAAGTCACGACCCCGTCAACATATTCTGAACCTTTGTCTTCACCAAGTCGTCGAATAATAGTTCTGGCAATGTCGAATAGCACTTACAACATAGTCCCAATACATTGGGGAAGTCGAGGTATAGGGATACCCGATTGGTTCTCCGAGTTCACGCTGTGCCTCTCACCACTTATTGCCCACATTCTTTCCGGAGCACCCAGACCATCCTACCTGACCTCCAATCGTCCCAAGTGGCACGACCGTTTGTGCCTCCTCAATCCCATCTCCATCGTGTGGAGATATGCAGCCATTACTGAACGACGAATCCAGACCAGAGACTGGCAACCCAAAGACATTGCTGTCGCGAATGCTGTGTTCTGGACTCCGCGGGGCTGGGACGGATCAAAAATAATGCGATGGCGTGCGATGTCCTACATGTCATATCTACCGCAGCGAAATCGAGTCGAATTTCTCTCTCTGGAGATGCTCAAGACGATTATCCTGTTTCTCCAAGGCGTGCAAGCTGTGACGGCAATCCTTTGCAATTATACATCCACTGGCGATTTCACAAGCTTTGATACCATCAGCGGTCTATTCATCCCACTTGGTATAGCAGGGCTACTGAGAGTCTTTGCCGCACCGTGGCTGACGGACGACTTCAACTTTGGCATCTCTTCGCATGGTGCCGAGCGCCCTCTTCGGAGCACGAATGGACGTCGAACAATGCCCCTGCTGATGCTGGACGACATAGGCTACGGATACGGGCAAAAAGAGCAATATCAGTCATCAGGAGCTGCAGACGGCCATCCTTGGCTTTGTGGCATCCTCAGAGGTCTGTTCATGCTACCTGTAGTCGGTAGTTGGGCCCTGAGCTTCATTTATGTGACACCATGGATTGGCAGCTTTGGTCTTAAGGGCGTATACACAACAACAGGATTTGTTTTTGGCCTGTACTACATGTTTCTGACGACGCCAATGCTCCTGATAATTGGATATTACTTTTGCAAAGGCCCCTTGGAAACGACCATTATCCCTTGCATTTCGCGCGTTTGGTACAAGGTTTACTGTGTTGCTCTCACTCTTTTCACCATTATTCTCGTTGTCATTACTGCCGTGGAAACCCGCAAGACTGTTTGTGGCAAGTACACAAGCCATGCAACTGGATCCCAACATCCATGTGCCACAGGAAACACCAAGTTGATAGAGATTGGACCAACCTCGGACCAAGGCTTTGGCATTATCCAAGCCGTGTCGGGTCAGACTGTGGTGACAAACTTGACCGGGTCTTGTATAGGTACACTAACCCCGATCAACCATTGAGTAGCTCCTATGTCATGGTCTCGATGAATTGCCAAAGCTGGTTGAAAACGTAATACAGGTATATTGGTGTCATTTCAATCGCTACCTTTGACGGAAAATTGGATTGATGCCTGCCTCTGCGAGGTGATCTCTTTGTTAGTGATTTTATGATGGGTTTTCGGGATCTACACAACTGCTCTGGTAGCATGCATCGAAGGAAGTCATATTCGCTGAACCTTTTTTCCTTCTTAATCACGGTTATTATACCTACGCTAAGAACGAATTGAAATACGCAGTGTAGGCCGATACGCCATAATGGTCGTCCTCCAAGAGCGAGCCACAGGGACTACGTTGATCGCGGAGTTTGTCCATGACCTGCAATTCAAGGTAATTCTTACTAAACAAACAATACTTTTCCCATTCCTCTATACAATCTATTTTACAAATTGGATTACAAATTCACCTCCTCACTGTACACTCGCACTCTGGCGAATTGCACCTTGTTTATCCAGCCCTGACCCTTTGCATTCGCCACAATCTGCACCGAACTTCCATGCTTCATGGCCTTGATACATTGCGCTCGCACGGGAAAAGTCTCTTCAAGGTCGCTCAGATTCCATACATTGGTATGCAATCTGGGCTGTCTAGACGCGTGCACGTTGTGCTGCAGCGCGAACTCGTGCTCCTTGTCCTGATTGCGGATGCGAACCACAAAGGAGCTGCCGTGGGCGCTGCCGAGATATGTGCCCTTGCCGGTGCCGGCGCTCCAACCTTGGTCGCTGGAAACGGTCTCAAACACCAGACTGCGAACCGGAAGTTGGCACGTCTCGTCAATGGTGACATCCAACACGACATGGCCCCACGACTGGTAGATGCGTCCGCCTTCCTTGAACGACGTTTGCTTTATCAGCGCCGGCCCCGCGGGCTGGGCCTCGGGGAGATTCTGGGGCATCGCGGATGATTTCGGCTGAAATGCAGGCCATCGCAGTCGGGTGACTGCTCCATGGCTCTTTAATATATCAATCAGCTCCCGATTGTCAAGCTCGTAGGCGTAGTCGAGAGCACGCTTCCCGTTGTGGCAGACGAGGTTCACGTCCTGTCCTCGACGCAGTGCCTGTTCAAGTTGATGCGCGAACCCTCCCTTGACGAGAAACTCTAGACCCTCTGCCGTCGCTTGCTCATTGCGACTTATCGCGTCAGCCACCATCTTGGCAATCTCGATTCGATCAACCCAGTAGATACCCCAAAGAACGGACTCTTCATTGTCCTCTTTTCTTGCCGAGCAGTCTGCGCCAGCATCGAGAAGGGCTTTAGCACAAGCTATACTACCGCAGAAGGCAGCATCGTAGAGCGGAGGTCGGCGGTCCCGGTTTACCGGCTCCTTGTCATTGACATCTGCCCCATTTTCGATCAAGCAGCGCGTCATTTCCAGCCGACCCTGAGAGACTGCGAGTCCCAGAGGACTTATCGAGACGGGATTGTCATTGCTGTGGCATTTCTCGTGCTCGAAAAGCCGTTGGACGAGGGCGAGAAAGTTAAAGTTGACTGCCCAATGGAGAGGACTCAGGTTTCCTGGGCTCACTGCAGCAGTGCGACGCAAAACCCAGGTCTCGCCCCTCTGAGCGACTAGATCTGCGGCCTTCATCTTGATGTTCCTATTCCAGTCTTGTGAGGGTCCCGTCAGAAAGTCAAATGTCTGATCCCATATTGCAGCGCTCCCTCGTACGTCTGCCAAGTAATCTCCCCAGTATTGCAATGCGTACTGAAGCAGTGGCAGTTGTCTGTCGAGAGTGTCCTTTTTGGAGCCAGTGCCGGAGGAACGCTTCATGCATTCAAAAGAGAGGTACTTCATCAGTATCGACGCCATGTACTCGTTCGGACATCGGTTGGGCCACCATTCCTTGATGGTCTCTGGGTGCTTTAGGTGGTCCGCCAATGTCTTGTGCCCTACAGTAACCTGCGCAGTGGCAGAATCAACGACCAGGAGTTCGGAACACAGTGACTCAATGGCCTTGAGCGACATCAACCCGTCCCGATTGAGATCAGTGTAGCTCTCATCCTCGTAAATGGCAAGAACATGTTCCAACTCCTCTGGTCTCAGCGGTCGCTTCGCGAAAGTCACCCAATAGAGCGCCTGAATAGCTTTACATGGCAGTCCATCTTGGGGTTCTGGACATTCTTTTGATAACCTTCGAAGACCGGTCGCATAAGTGCCGCCTAGGGTCTTGGGTAGACTCTTGAGGGTCCGATCTAGTTGAAGGAGATCTTTCGTCTTTAGAATTTCGTTCATGTAAAAGGACGCCAAAAGGAATGATTCTTCGCCAATGCACTTTGGAACAAGTACATCAACAACACGTTGGATCGAGTCTTGCTGGTTCCCAATCTTCCAGTAGTTGATTCTGGCTTGTTCCTCTACATACTTCTTGAGGTCAAGCTCGCTGACTCTGAGTTTGTAGTTGAAGAAGGTGCAGTGATGGGCGTGGTGGTTGAATATCGTATGGATACTGATATATGGACGGGATGCAAAGAGAAGATGGCAGTTGTTGGATCTCTCTTGAACTTCCATCAGTAGCCTTACTATCTCCTGTTGTAGTGGAGTACTAGATGGTACTTCATCGAGTCCGTCAAGGATCAAGACCGTCGGCCTGGAGTGCTCAATGTGATAGCAGAGAATATCCATCTTTAGTCTAGTTGCATCTTCTCGTGATAGCATCAGGTGCCCACCATTCCTATGAGCCATGATCAATTGCTTCAGCGACTCTTGCGTAAACTTGAGCTGGGACAGGCCCTTTTCAGGGACAAGCTGGGACCATAAACTCATGATGACATCCATTGGGTCTTGTACACTTCGGAGTTCCTCGTCAGCGCAGTACACAACCGCAAATTCATAGCGGGACCGATTTTTAGGATCACGGAACCACTGTTCAATGACCTTGCTGTCTTTTCATCAGATATCATTTAGTGTTTGGTATAAACCGAGTCGACTTACATTTGTCCAGTCTTGCCAGAGCCCTCTATCAGCTCGTTAGTAAGCGCGCTTCGACTAGTACTATGAAAAGTTGAGCACTCACGATTTCCGTTGCACCAAAGTACACCATTCTTGGCAGACAACCAAGTCTTGAATTCCTGCGAATGTAACAATCCTTCTCCGGTGCCATTTGCAAGGTGCTGAATATAGTTTGTATCGTGAAGTTTCTTTGCAAGACTGGGCTCAAGCCAGTCCCTTATCCGTTCTCTTTCGTCTTGTCCAATCTTGGCAATATCCTGCAAGGATTTGATATCTTGGGCTGTTTGCCTTAGACTGGCAATCTTGGCTTGGACTTCGGCCTTTTTCGTCGACCGTTGAAGTCGCTTGAAGTATTCCTTCCAACGCTTGGAGCTTCTGCCGAGTTGGGATTGCAGACCCTCCAGCTTGGGATCGACTAGATCAATAGTCCACTTGAGCTGTTCATGCTCTGAAGTACTCGCAATCACCAGTAATTGATTGTCTCTAAGACCCATGAACATGAAACGAATTAGGTCAATTTGTTCCAGAAAGGCTTGTCTTTCTTTTGGTCCAAGATGGATACCTTGGCACCACTCCACCAAATCAGAAAGCCTCAGAATAAGAGACGCGACATCACCGACCGATGCCATCGCGATTGAAGGCTAGTGTTCGAATGGGTCGTATAGACTCTCGTCGATACCGAGTTCTGATAAACTCAGGTCCTCTGAGAGCATCTGGGTTTGAAATGTGTGTCTCGACTCAGGACGACGTTGACCGAGTACGTGCCGCATCGTGGCAAAAGAGCCAAAAATTGAAAAAGGCCCAGAAGACCGATTGTGGGGAGCTTTCACCATATCCCGCGATCATCCAAGATGCCGTGATGCACGTTGAAGGAGGCATCGAAACATCCACTTCTGGAGTGGAAAGCTCTCCCCAATTGAGGTAGCCATGCAGCTGCCACGTCAAAAATGCTGGACAGAATTCCACAGCACCAGTGGACCTTTTACGCAATATATTAGCAATGATAGCAGTCTCTCCACATGCCACGAATATACCAGATACTTATCATCACATTAGCAATCAGAAAATGTACAGAATAGATGCCATTTTTTCATGACAAAGGGCTGCGGTGCAAGCTGCGAGCTGCAAGCAAAGGTCAAGGGGCCGGCCTTAGTGGTGTTACTGTTTGCAACCTGTGAGTTGCAGTGTAGGAAGCCCACTACGGCAGTGGCTAACTCAGTGGAACGTCCCAATTCCTGGGCAGCTTCTCCACCAAGCTGGCACGGCCGAATGGTTCCATCAGAAGAGATTCGAAGAAGAAGTTTATACTGATAAACCTACATATATCCATGAGCTCATAATGGCGCATGAAAGTAGATTTGTGATACTGCTCACTTCCGACAGTAACAGGAGTATGCATCATCTTAGATATGGCAGTGCGAAGCGTAAATCCCCGGAAATGTCCGATGCAAACCTCAATACTATAGGTGCTAGAGACAACAGCGACATGTCTAAATGCATAAGGTAGGTAGGTGGAATATTAGATCCAGTAACTACCTAATAATGAAAGTATACCGATATGTCGCTGATAAAATAATATTCAAGTACCTAGGTAATTTTGGGGGGATGGTTGGTGGTGAGTACGTGGCCTGCGAGGAATACCGCACAATCTGCCTTGCAGACACAAAAGGCGGGGTCAGTGGTCAGGCAGACAGCATACTGCATACTGCACAACATTCCTGCTGCATTTTGCTTCTCTTCCGTTGTGACAGCTCGTCTGATTTTTTGTCAATGGTCATATTCCTACCCTTTCTCTATCAACATTAAAGAGCAAAGTTGAAAGGTTTCCTCGCCGACATGAGCACCGGATCCGTTGCTGAAACCCAACAGAAGCCGTCACAGGCTCCTGCGTTCAGCTACGAACCTCTCGAAGATGCTGCGAAGCAAATTCGGCTTGTGGAAATTGTTCAACAAACAAATAATTGTCTCGCGATACACCTGAGTCAACATGACGTGCTCAATGCACCAGAATACAATGCAATATCATACACATGGAGTGATGGCGGAATCATCCGCATGACCGACATCACCGTCAATGGTCAAGCGATGCGCGTCACAAAGAATTGCCGGTACGCTCTGGAGCAAGCGCATTCGCATCACCACCAGCCGCCACCGACCCAATCTTACTTTTGGATTGACTCTATCTGTATCAACCAGAACAGCAATATAGAGAAGCAGCACCAAGTCGCCATGATGGGTTGTATTTATGCACAGGCGGCTAGAGTCCTGGCGTGTGTGGGCCCTCACCAAGACAACAGCGAAGATCTTGCTAAGATTTTGGAGCCTATGAAAGATTTGCGTCAAAAACATCCTGCACAACTAAATCACTGGTCGAAAACGAACGAATGTAACATTGACAAAGCCGATCCTATCCTGAAATCAGCATGTCTTGATCTCTTTTGGAACCCAGACACCCCAGATTACGAGGCAATCTGGGGTTTTGACCTGAAACTTCTCAATTTCTCCGAACGTTATTACTGGACTCGACTGTGGATCATCCAAGAAGTCGCATCTGCCAAAGAGCTTGAAATTCTTTGCGGCTCTGATAAATTTTCAAGATCCGACGTATATCTACTGCATTGGATAGCTGCATATTGTTCAGGTTTTCCTGGTAGGTCTAGCACACCCGTGGGAAGGGAAGCCTCACCAAATCTTCAAGCATTCTATGGTGACTCCAACAATCAGTCTTTCTCACACTTCAAATTTGTGTTGAGTTGCAACTCGATAGACCGAGTCCCTGCTCTCACAGCCCTCTCATTCCAAAGTCCATTCGGCTGTTCACGACCAGAAGATAGGGTCTACGGAATGCTCTCTCAGATACAATGGCCCGAGACTGACCCACCCATTCACCTTGAGCCCATGTATAAGCCGTCAGTTAACTTTGACCTTGCCGAACTATTTCTCAGCTTTCCTAAGTGCAGTCATGAGAATGTCATGGGGATTTTCAAGGCACTCGAGATCTGCCATGATCTTGATAAAATTGAAGAGCTCGTCGCAGCTAGATCCCGCACATCAAAAGAACCCCAGAATAGTTCCAAGTCTTCAATTTGTCAATATGATCTGAACATCTGGACCTACGAAGTCATAACCGAAAACAACATGGGTCAACTTACTGCGAGACTACGTTGCAAAGATGGAGTTATAAACTATTCTCCTACAATGCTCAACATGATCGACAATGCACCAAAACTGTTATACGCGGAGTCACGCATTGCCGCAGTACTCTGTAGTGAAGCTCGCAAAGGAGATCTTCTAGCCAAAATGCCTTTTGGAGAATGCCTCCTTGTCCTACGTTACAGCGGTAGTTTCGACGAGTATCACATTGTTGGACAAGGTCTCCTGCTCGAAGGATATACCATCCCTCGATTTCGGATTCAAGAAGAAATTCTGATGAAGATAATGGACAAGCACAGGAGATCTTTCAACCACTATCTTGCAGACCACACATGGCTTGTGCGTGAGGGTTTTGAGAGACATCGGCGGGATCCTGTCTTGTGTTCGATGTATCTCCAGAAAATTTATGAAGGTGAACGGGCGTTACAAAACCATAAAGATGACCTTCAGCTCCGAAACGAAAGGCTCGGTATTATTGACACGGGTTTAGGAATGGTTCGGAAGCTCCTGCAAGTCCAAACAAGCTTACTAGGCGAAACAAGGCGTAGTCGGTTCGAATCTCGCCGAAACGAGACACCAGCGCCCTTCATTCTAGAACTTGAACCACTCGAGCTACTGCTTCTCGGATGTCAAGACTTGGAGAAAGACGGATCTCGCAACCGAAGGAAGATGATACAAAGACTCAACACGACCATACACGGCAGAGCTTTTGGTCCTCCCAGACCAGAGGACTCAGAGTGACCTCCAAGGGGTTGGAAAAGAATTTGGCCAGACGCATCGCAGATAATGGTGCCTGCATGAGAATGTGGGATCATAGTCCTACTCCACCCCATGTCTGTGTCTGGCCTCCATCATTTTGATAATATCTATGCCTTAATCCCAAAATTGATACCTATACATCCTACTGTGACCAGCTACCACTTATGCAATCGAGGCCTGCATACGAAATGTGACATAGCAACGAAAGGGATGCGACAGACTGTTTCATACAAAAGTCTTCGTCTTTTCTCCACACCAGTCTACGAACTTGGTTGCAATTGTCGCTTCACCATCAGCCCCTACCATTGCAGCCGTGATTCCCGCGGGGAGACTTCCGAACCTTCCCCAAGGATATATGTAGGCTCCGCTCTTGTCAGGGGTGAGCTCGGGGGAGATTGCAGCAAACAGCTCTGTATACGCGCCATGAATCGGCGTGTATACGAAAAACGTCTCCTTTTTTCATGGCGATACAAGTCAGCAGCATTCAGGCGAAGAAACATGACTCGAGGGCCGCAGCGTGGAGCTGACACGACTTACCGTTACCCAGCGGTCCAGGCCAACCCAGTGACGCTGGAGCTCAGTTTGTAAGTTCCCGGGGTTGAAAGAAGCATGCACAATGCCCGTTTGCGGGGTCCTTTTCGCCAGCTCGTGCCCCAAAAAGACGTTGCCAACCTTGGTCTGGCCGTAATTTTGCCTGAAGCCTAGATCTTTTACGCTGCCATCCTCGTTCAATTCGACTCCATGGGGCTGTGGACAGGAGATGTGCACTGCGATTGAACCTGCCCAAGCGACGCGTACACTTGCTGTCGGAGAGGAGGCGGCCGTCTTGGCCAGGAGAGGCTCAAGGAGCTGATAGAGCAGATAGTGGCCCAAGCAATTTGTGCCCATTTGGAGGTCATTTCCCTGCGCGTCAAAGCTACCATCTGGAGGATACATGACCTGTCATCATGTCAGTATGGCGTGATGTTTCTTTGGAAAATGCAAAGATTAGGGAGACAAACACCGGCATTCTGGACGAGGACATCAAGCCGCTTTTCCTGAGCGAGGAATGAGTCGACCGCCGGTTTGATGGTGGGGAAGTCGGACAAGTCGAGGTTCAGAAAGTGGATGTGGCCACTGCTTCCGCGCGATGACTCCTTGATGCTCGCTATGGCCTTTTGGGCCTTGGACTCTGAGCGGCCTGCGATCCATACTGTCGCATTGTGAGCATAGAGTATCTTGCACAGCTCAAAGCCCACGCCAGCGTAGCCTCCAGTCACGAGAAAGACCTGTGTTGGACACGAGCGCGTCAGTCATGGGAGATGCTGTGCAACGCGACAGCACTTACCCGTCCCGTCTGATCAGGGCAGTTCTTCTCCGTAATGGGCGCGGCTGGAATGAAAAAGAACTGGCTCAGAACATTACCCATGATTCTGATTTGATAGCCGCTGTTAATTGGAATGATTACTCTAGTATTGAATTGGTCGCTAATGTTATCACTAGAGTTGAAGCAATTTGAGAGGAACGTCATCGGCATATATTCTAGTGGACGTGTTGGAGCAGATTATACTTCCGGCAATAAAAGCATCCCTTACCGGAGTTTAGCGCCAACCAGTAGCCCTACCTGTAGCAAACTCCGGGGCCAACTGCAGAACTGCATTAGCGCCACCAGCCTCAACCTTGAAAGATCGCGTGCTGACGCTCAGCATTTACAATTTTTTTTTTGCAATTATAGTCCTGCTCCTCGTCTTACTGGTGGGTTATTCCCGTTTGCTGACGCCATCACAGACATTGAATCTCTTGTTGACTTCTTTATTGTCTGACTCACCAAGAGACTACTCATCTGGCTGATACCTACCTGCCTGCCCGTTCAGAAGAAAAGGATCGTCTGCATTCATGAGATCGCGCTCTCCAAGAAGGCAGCATAATGTGGCATTCGTCCATTGAGACCGGTGTTGCGAATAAAAAATGTCTCAAGAATTGCCTGTAGATTCTGCCCAAGGCAATTCTGAATGGTCAAATGCTGTATCGGACGCTTTGCGAAGGATTTGAGGGATGAGTTATACACCTCCTCTCATTCTCTGATGGAAAAGCAGAAGCCGGGAGACACTGTTTGCAATTTCTTGAATAGAGAGGCTCGCGATGGAGCAATGAAACTAGTTGATTGTATACCTACTCAAATTTGCTCTTTTTTACAGATAATTCTTCGCAATCAGTGACTTTACTTGCTTATCTTGACTCGCATCTGCGCTGACAAATAAACAGTACGTCACAGTCAGATCATGGGCCGAATTTAGACCCCCCTCATTGCTGTATTCACATGTTCTGCGACTCAAGCAGCACTGTGTCTAGAAATTCTTTCCTCCAAGTCACGTTCTCAATTCATAAAGAGCATATGTTTCGGAAACACAGATCATGGACTTGGGAAGCTCTAGGAAAGGCTCATGCCTCTGCGGAAACATCACCTTAAACCTGGACGGCGAGCCGTCAATGAAAGTGCTATGCCATTGCGACTCATGCAAGAAAGCATCCGGGGTCATTTTCCAGTCAAACATCTTTTACCCTCAAGAGGTGAGTGAAGCAAAAATCATTCTGGAGAGGAAACCAGTGGCTGATAACATAAGAACGTTCACCTGTCGGACCCGAAAGGCCTTGCAACAGTATGAAGACACATCGAGCGACTCCAAGCGCGTCCTACATCGCTGCTTCTGCCGCAATTGTGGATCTTCCATCCTTACCAAGAATCCTACACACCCAGACATCTCAAGGATGGTAATCATCCCAATTGGTATCCTGGATGGCGAGAAGGAGTCACTTGAGCCGGACCGTGAGTTCTACGTGAAGCGAAGGATTGACTGGCAGCCAAGACTTGCACATACGTCCGAGTACCAGGTGGAATGATAGGTACGTAGGTATGGCGCCGGAATGCACAATATGGCGTCAACGCACCGGGGATTTGGATTAATACACTCCTTTCCAAATTTGGTGGTATGAGCGAGACGCGCAATGGAATTGTACTCTAGAAGCCACACGCCTGTTCCTGTGAGTTGTGTAACATACTGATATATTTTACCTCATTTATGAATATATCTTTCATTTAAAGGCCTATGGTATTGCAGCCTGTCAGCTACAATGAGTGCGGGGTACCTAGCGCCCACCACCAGCAGCAAATGGTGGGTGTCACCCATTCTTTCTCTCTCCATCTTCCAATCATACTTGCATCTGGGCTGTATCCGATTCAATAACAGGCATCTCAAGTCTTTGAAATCATATAATCGATGCCAGAAAGGCGAATTTCATGGCAACCAGGCTTTACCCTCTCGAGGAAGCCGGCGAAACGACCGACGCGTCCCAGAAACAGGCAACAGCAGTTCGAGATTGTCGTAGAGCAACCAGAGACCTTTCATCGCCGCGCGAAAGGACAGCCCGCGACCACTACCTCCCAGTACCAGGAGCTATTTCTTGGCGACTCTTCAAAGAGGCGTTCTGACCCTGAGACCCCGAATAGGGCCTCCTCCAACGGTGTCGTTGAGCATGACGGGCCTCCAGTCGACAATGCACCCCCACACTCTTCCTGCGCTGTTGCTACGGATAGCGCAGGGGATGCTACCCGTCCAGGGCCAAGCACCACGCTAACAGCCCTATCGGGCATTATACCGCCTACTGTAGAATATAGCGGCCTTGTGGAACGGTTCAGGCCCATACTCACCAGATGTATGTGTCGCATCGGAATACTCTCCTCGACAATCGAGGACATGGCTCACATCTCTCAGATAACTCGGAATTCTGTACAATTCCTCTGACATTCAAACTGCGCATCAATCCATTCCGCTATCGCATGGACCTGGACCCGGAACCTCTGTTTCTAGTCCACGCAGTGTGTGCCTTGGCAGGTCACCACGTCCAGAGCACGTCCATGTTGACGCATCGCCATGCAGCCCTTCAGCTACTTCGCCACAGTCTGGATACCTTGAGCGACATTGAAGCCATGTATTCTGTGCTGGATACCATTGTGATCTTATTCTCACTAGATGTAAGTGAGGTCAAACCGCTAAACCGAAATTCGAGCCAAGTGTTGACATAACAGGAAACTCAATCTCTCTTGGGAACTTGGAGTATACATCTTCAGGGCGCGTATCGTATCGTCGAATCCTGTGGTGGTATCCAGAGAATACCTCTGTCATCCAGGCTTGAAACTCAGATTGCAATATTAACTTGGTACACGGGGTTACACTCCTCTTCTGAGCCATACTTCGGCTAATTCTGAAATCAGGTGGGACGCGATCATTGCTCTCCTATCCAGAGAGGAATGCATATTTCCTTACAATTACTTTGAATCCGTATTGTCCAACCTGCACAAAAGAGAGTGGGACTTTTTTGGCCTGTGTGGCTGTCCGACAGCTATCGTCAAGATTGTGATGCGCCTTGCACGCCTCAGCACAACCAACCATCGAATATCTGTTGGACTGGATTCCCCACCTGACGATGACACGGTCAACGAGATCATTCATTCCCTAGAGTCTTGGAGTCATGTTTCCAACTTGACAAGTCTCCACGACGAAGAAAGCATGCACGAAGATATCGACGCAATGCATTGTTCAGAAGCCTGGAGGGGTGGGTTGCTCCTATATATATTCAGAGTCTTTCAGTGGACGCCCGGCTCGACCGTTCCTATGCATATCATATATCGCGCAAGGACAGTAGTAGATCATGTCATCGCATGTCGCGATACAGCAATGTTATCTCGACAAGCATTGCTGCCGCTCGTCTTTGCAGGTTGCGAGCTACAGGATAAGTCTACACGGACCGGCATTGTAAGACTAATATCCGATTGGGATCAGAGGACCAGGTATCACATGTTTCGTGGCGCGATTCCTATCCTCGAAGAAGTTTGGGCTGAATCAGACGAGAAGGGATTAGAAAATGTTTGGTGGGGTCAAATCATTGACAGACAACAAAGTTCCGAGGCGGATACATTGAAATTGAGGATCTGTTTTGGCTAAGAAAGGCTACGTCTATGAAGATATGATAGTCTTCGGGGGCAAATATCACTTCACAACGTCCAGTACGTGTTGTGGAATAATGGACCCTCTATTTCTCGACCAGGCTCTATTCCTTTCCGGTATAACCCTCTGGAAAGCGCTCAACCAACTCCCGGACTAGGTCGATTAGACTGTTACACGGTATGTCAGTAGAATCAAGAAGTGGCTGGGAGATCCTGCTTACATCTTTCGAAAATTCTCCTTGTCTTTATATAATGCGGAATCCACAACAACGACTCGGCTGATTGTATCTATTAGTCAGGTGCCCATAACCAAAATACAAAGTCTGACTTACGTAGCGTAAAGCGCATGTCGAGCCTCCCAGTCACCCTGGGGTTCAGACCTTGGTATGAGTTTGTGGTACGACTCAATGTACTTTTCAGCCCATCCACCCGATTCCTGTGCCATGGGGCGCATATAGCTCAGTTCATCTACTCTCGAGTCAGATCCGTGGTGTCGCACGCCCAAATGGACAGCAATATGTTGATTGGAAAGAGATAGTCCCTGACTTACACTCGTTGTGTCCCCAGAAAGCCGAAGAGTCAAACATCAAAGGATCTTCCGAGCCAGCTTGTGTACCCATGTTTCCAATCCACAAGTCGCCATGAATCAGCACCGGCTGGATACTGCGCCCACGCGTCTCGAGTGGACGCAGGAGTCTAGGACACACTTTCTCAAAGTAAGCAGGCAAGAGCTGATCCAGCTCGTCGCTGGGTCCTCTGGCGCCCCTCTCATGGGCGAACAGTTGTCGCATTGCACGTATCCAGTTCTCCTCCCAAGTATTGGTCCAAGTATTGTCCTGCGGTATTGGTCCGTTGTAAGTGGTCATGTGGAATCCCCACTTGCCGGATGTGTTGTGCTCGACACTACGAGTGTGTAGCTGCGCGACAACATTGCTCATTCGGTGAGGATCGGGCAGTCCTTTCTTGAGCTCGTGGAATTCAAAGAGGAGATAATGAATGTTGGAATCGGTGCATTTCCCCCAGCTGAGAGGCTTTGGAGAAAAGGCCGGAATGACGGCGTGGATCATGCGCATCGACTCGAATTCCCCGTGTAGCATGGGTCCGCCGACCTGTCCCTTGGTCCGCTGCAAGCTTTCGGATTAGTATGGGTGGCTATCTTGTAATGAATACTCACCTTGAGGAAGTATGACTTCTGGTCCCCGTCAAGCTCTATGTCGATCCGAGCGGTCTCGTTCCAATTGCTGGCTCCGTGTCCACGACTGCTCGTGACTACAGCTCCCTTTGGAAACTCTGCATGTCCTTCTCAGCTGTCACGGTTTCGTGGATATCAGAGCAAGACACTCACGGGCAATAATATTGTCGTCCAGGTCGACCTCTCCATCATGGACCTTGGCATTGAGTTGATTGGCCAGGTAATCCTTGGCCATTGTGGTTGGTTAGGTCTGCGTTGGAAAAAAAGCTGACGACCCAATGGATGGGATTTGCAGCAATGAAAGATTGCACAACCTTGGAGAAGAAATGCAATGGCAAAAGCAGCGGGGGTATAAACATTTAAAAAGATGAAAACATCTGGCAAATAATATGCCAAAGCCGCCCTGCGAAGCTGCACCGTTTTATAAGGTGCCTCAGTGGAATCGCTCACTGGAGATATCTAATCTTGAAAGGGCAATTGACTCTTTTCGGTAATTGGCTGCTTTTGGTTTAGCGCCGATTGTGCATTCAGTTGTTCATGAAGCAGTGAGGAAGAAAGAATCTCGAGACTACACAACATCCTGAATTTTTAAATTTTCTTCTTGGGCTCGCAGACTTTTGAACGTGTTCAAGTATCTGACCTTTATTAGACAGATCTTATTAGGAGGGAAGGAAGGAGGAGGCAGTTCACACTTGGGAAGGCTGTCACTTGAGTACTAGGTAGTAGTCTAGCAATTGCATGTCAGTAGGTGGACAATATTCAAGGCTTATTACAGACACACACAAGCATTTGCTTTGCTTGTCAGGTCGAAAGGGGTATCATAGCCACCCAATGCAGAAAGTCTCATGTATGCATATCTACATAGGTACTCATGGCTGTCCTTGCATAACAAGACAAGACCAGGCTGCGTTGCTGATAGATATCATGAGGGTGTGCCAGAACCTCCAACAATGAGCTTCCTCGAGTTGGACAAGGCTGCCTCGACCAGCTGGCAGCAAAGTATTGGTCGATAAATTCAATCTGACACTATCATGCATAACCCTCTCCCGTGGCTGAGTAGCAATTTCCAAGGTAAAAGAAGTCAGTATTTTCGCCCCGATGACCTGACGCAATTCCTCCTTCATGGTTCTAGATGAAAAGTATATGCCTGATTGCGAACGCTGAATTCGACCCCGTCTCAGATCCAGCATATCATGGCTTATATTTTTGCAGCAAAAATAGAAACGATATTGGCATTGGGAAATGCCAACATTGATCGTTCTTCATGGCGACCTATGACGCCAAAGACTGGTCGCGCGCCCTTGAATTCCATGGTCATGTAACCAGTCAGCCAGTCTCTGAACAGTCAAGCATTTGGATGACTTGGATTAAAGATATTGTATTCTGAAAGTAAGGTTGTATTGCTGAAAGTGTGGTTTCTTTGGTCTGGATTTAGTATTTCTTAGTCGCAGGAATTGTTTGATCATGATCCTCAGGCTCACGATTTGGACAATAAGTGACCAACACTCACCGAATCGCCCACTAATCATATCAAGTGTATTTATTACTTGGCTGCTTCAATACTGGAACGGGAAGCTTTAGGTTGGGCCTTGAGCAGTCGAGGTGCTCAGATGTCTGACTCCTTGCACCTGAGTAATATCGCTGCCCATGATAGAAACGAAATGATTTCGGCAGGCGGCTGTATCTTCTCGGCACTTGGTCTTTTAGTATTTGCAGATCATTCCCTCTCCGCGATCATAAAACTGGTGGAGCTGCTCGGCTCTCGCGATGTGTCAAGCGTTGATATGTTATGACATGCCCTCCTTCTAGTGCAGAGACATATAACCATCAATATGTCCAGCGGCTGGGGCCGAACCGAATCCACTTGGTGCTAACAGGGACGGTCCTCGCGCCATGGCAGCCATTTCGTAACCTTTAATTAAGATTAAGTTTTATCTCATGACGCTAAAGAAGATGGGCCTACTACTGTAAAGGACTTTTTGACCATGGCGCCAAAAGAGATCTACGCTACGTCCGGGTCGCAAAGCCGGTCCAAATTCCTCCCTACTGATGCTGAACTACTGTCAACGCGCCACGTGGTAAGGCTGCAAATTTGAGTGTCTACGGAGTTTTCGGACCGTATCTCGTCGGACCATGTCACCCGATGGGAGTGGTCATGGCTCTTGTCATCTTTGTTCATACATACGAGTTTGGTGAGAGAGTATGATTGCTTGGATCTTTGACTGGAGAGGATTTTCCTATTGAGTCATGGAAGACCATGTCTTTTTAAATTCATGACTTGATGTTGATCAAATAGATTTCATTTGGTGATTCATGAATTAAGTTTGCTAGAAGCATATGGTTCGGCAGACTCGAGCCGAGAATTTTGCTGGAAACACTCGCCAAGACTCTATCTATTTCCTGTTCCTGAAAGTGATGGGGGGATGTCCACCTACATCCAAGAGTTCTTCGGGTGATGGTCGGACATACAATTATGCTACCGAATGCATAAAGGATATGGAAGAATAGAGTTCGATGGTGCGGGTCCATCATAATGGGTTTTAGGTACTGTACGTTGTCATAGAACTAGAGTCTTATAGCGCTGCATTACCCCTGACATCACCTGACCGGTCGCTTGCACTAAGACAGTCGGCAGCTCTGTTTGTGTCCTTTTTCAGTCAACCCACGCCTGAAACCCATCATAGTAGTTTCAATCCACCAACAAAGTGTTTCGTAGTTGTCGAACTTGTTCAGCCAGACCGTCTACTAGTATAGCTGTGATATCTAGACGTGATCGTGAAATACTTAGATCCGATCCGGAGCAACGGAATGGCTCCCAAAGGAAATGATTCCGCCCAAGTCTGTGAGCTTAGTTGGGCTCATACAGTCAAAGATCCCATCGTTGGTTGCCAAGCGACACCGTCCCGTCTGAAGTTCCCCTAGCTAAGGGACTTCAGAGGAAGAGTGAATGGGGCCAACACACGCACCAACTGGACGCTAAATTGCTTGCATTGATGATTGCTAGGGCTGAGGCCTTCTTCCAAAGGATTCCCCAGGAGTTCCCTTTTGGTTTTGCTGCCATCAAAGAAAAGTACTGCCGAAATAGGTTTCTGGCCAAACAGGATCTGCGAAAACGTCCCAAAAAGGATCCGGCAATGGAGTTCGGCCGCACCTGTCACCTCTTAGTCTTGCAATGGCGCAAGTGGACGTGACTCGACAATCCCGGCACTTTGTGTTCTTGTTATCAACGATAGCCTCATTTAATACCTACTATCTCCCCTGTCCCCTGGTCAGATGGCTCTTGATGTTCTTTTGTTCTGTCTGTTGATCTTGCGAATCGACCAGATCTACCACATGTCGTCTGCCCTGCGTGAACTGGATTTGCAATTTTAGGGTGGCAGATTTCCCAGATCGACAACAGGAGTTGCTTCACCCTCTTTTCTCTCTATTTTCATTCGTTTTATTCTCGATTTGGGACATCTCACGAAGACACTCTTTCCCCCACGATATATATAGCCCCAGAGATGCGATTTCCTCCGCCAGAGGTGATTGCCTCATGGCCAAAGCCCAACTATAAGGATCCGGAGAACCGAGGACCGGCACTTTTGATTGTGGAATTGGTCGCGCTGCCGCTCGCAATCATTTGCGTGGCTCTGCGATTATATGTTCGAATTCACTTGATCAAGAGAAGCGGCTGGGATGACTGGTTAATGGTGGCGGCTGTGTTCTTTTGCTGCGGCGTAACGGTTTCTGTCATTCTCGGTAAGTACACTATCTGGATCAAGGCAAACGAGCCGGGCCTTCATTATGCCATGTCAAAAATGCTAACGACTTACAAAACTGACAGCTACGCAATTATATGGCTGGAATATCCATGTCTGGGACTTGACATTTCGGGAGATGATCCAGGGTCGCAAGGTCTCAATAGCAGGGCAAACAATCTTTGTTTTCGCGTCGGGTCTGGCAAAGCTCTCAATCTTGACGAGCTACTTGCGCATTGCGGTGCCCGGATCCTGGTTCAGGCGTTTGACTTGGGCTACTATTGGGATAGTAGCCGCTGCGATACCTGCATTCCTACTGCTACTATGGCTGCAATGCATGTAAGTCACAACCTTTCCTAGACTTTGAGGGGAAGCACAACTCACATCTAATCAACAGACCCGCCGCTTCGTATTGGAACCTGTTTTCAGTTGAACGAGACTGTATTCCCGAGGCGCCACCGTTGATGGGCCAAACAATCGTCACAGTCATTACCGATTTCATCGTCTACATCCTGCCGATGCCGACGCTGTGGGCGCTTAAACTGCCTCTGTTCCAACGGATAGGTTTAATGACGGTCTTTGGTTTTGGTTGTGTTGTCGTGGTTGCCGGCTGCATGCGGTCTTACTGGATCTACCACGTCGAGGTGCAAACATACGATGTCACTTGGGAAGGTTTCTACCTCTGGATCTGGGCTGCCGTCGAGGTGAACCTGGGCGTAATCTGCGGCTGCGCCCCCGTGCTCAAGCCTCTTCTGTTTGGTGTGGCGCAGGGCAAGGGTTCGCAGTACGCCTCCAACGCCGAGAACACCAGTTTTGGCTTTTCCAAGCTGTCCAAGATTTCAAAGGCCAAGATGGGCATGACCTCAACGAGGAGGGACGACGATAATAATGGTTATATCACGCTCGAGAGTCTCGAGGCTGGAAAGGGCGATTTCGATTCAAGTGTTTCCGTGTCCAGACCACCAAAAGCAGCCGTACCAGGTATCGTGGTCAGCGATGAATCCCATTGGGCTACCAAGGGAGGGTATAAGGATTCATTCTAGGAGCAATTCCACCCTTGCAATTACGGCTAGGCCTATTTGACTTCTGGCGTTTGGAAAAGGCGTCACACTTTACGTTCTACGTGGACTTGAACGAATTTCATTATTCACATCCTGTACATATATCACAGAAATTGCCTCGCATTTTTATATGTCAGCTCACTATTAATTTCTAGTAAATAATCGAGAGAGAATCATGAACCACTGCCCCCAATAAGATATGATTTGCAACACTCGAGGATAATGATTATTTAGGGAAAGTGTATTATGCACAAGTCGAAACGGCTAAATGATTCTCATCTGCTATACTGCGTAGTATTGATAAATAGACCTAAGACTCGAGCACGGATGACCAGTCTTCGCTTCGAATATACTCCTCCATTGTCGTCAAGGTTTTAGTAATGCCGAGCTAAGACATGGAGATGATTAGATTTGTCCAATCAAATAATGGTATCAGAATCAAGATTATGCTTACCTGTTCCGGCGTCACAACCTTTGGATCACCGCCAGTATGTCCAAACTTTTCAAAGTACGCATGCGAATCCCACAGCTCAGTGGAAAACGGCTCTGGGACAGACTGGAAAAAGTCTGCCTGGGGTACTTGCTTGAAACTTGCCTTTACACCATTGATGCGGCCCCAGAGCTCCAACCATTTCGGCCACGTCATGATCTCCGAGGCGCCCAACAGATCCGTTCCCGCCGGCGCGTCCACGAGCGCCTTGACAAAGGCGCCCGTGTCCCGACGGGCCACGACAAAGGGAATATCGACGTTGGGCGCATGCGGCCGGAGCACGGCAAACGACCCATCGTCCTGCCGCTGGGGCGCCATGAGGGCCAGGGCCCGCCAGTTCTCGACATAGTGGCCAATCTGCACCGTGGACATGCGCGCGGCCAGGTCGGGGAAGCGCTCGCGAATGACGCGTTCGACCTCGGCCTTGGAGTCGTAGTGCCAGAGGGACGTGATTTCTCCCTTGCTCCAGCGGGACGCGTGGCTCAGCGACGAGAGCACAAAGCGCTCCAGTGTCGCCATGACGGACGGAGACGTGGCGGCCGCCTCGGCCACGGCCACGTTCTGCGCCACCTCGACGTGGTAGGCGTGCTCGTTGACGCTGCGGCAGCCCGCGGGCAAGGGGGCCGCTCCCGGCTTGAGCGCGTCCAGCATGTTGACGAAGAAGTCCGTGTTGCAGAAGATCACGGCCGCGCCCTCGAGGGCCGGCGCCAGCGTCGCTTGGTTGTTGAAGTCGGCCTGGACCACCTCGACGCCCTTGGCCGCCATGGCCTGGGCGGTTTCGCTTTGTGGGTTTCGTGAGGTGCCGCGAACGCGCCAGCCGGGAAGCCTCAGGAATGTTTCGGCTACAGACGATCCCTATATCATGGAATTAATCACAATGTTACCTGAAGCGCGGAAGAGTCATGCACATACCTGTGTGCCTGTGACACCAAAAACAACAATTAGCTTCGACATTGTGTAAATGGTCTAGAGGATGTTTGGTAAAAGTTAAATTGTTGGAGTGCCTGTTGTTAGTGATGGAACTTGATGGGGTCTTGTTCGATTCGACTGCTTATATATGCAATATTTGTATGAGGCCAACTACCTGGCTATAGACTCGACTGGTCTATATTGCCTTCCTACATACCTAAAACGGATTTGCTTAGGCAATGTGATTGGATGAGGCGTCGACCCATGATCGGCCGAATAGTCTATCCGCTTTATGACCAATCATCATTTGTGGGGCAGTAACTTGATGGCACAGCTGGATTGAATCGATGAGTAGAAGTCGAATGTCTCTCAATGAGATGTGTAGGCTTGTGTTGGAATGGGCTCACAGATTGCTAGGATCGTACCTTTTTGGTACCCAGAGTCTACTCAGATAGACGATCATGGTGGTCATAGCTGATTTATTCAGTGCAATCTTGTACAACATTCTATAATGAGTTTCTTGCGTAGGTATGGAATCATGGTACTCGAAATACAATACTAGCCTTGATCCTCGATCCTGGGGGCAAGTTTCAATGATAACAATAACAATGATACCAACTGTCACTGACTCGTCCTTCCTAGGTAGCTGAGTAGTCTCTGAATGTGTATCTGCTTTCATCCACACACAACTCAACCGCCAGCGCTAGCGAGCTCCCCCAAAGTCGCATTCTTGATGGTGATCTCACATTGGCGCATGAGCACTGTGCATCAGATCAGTCGTACATCCCGTCATCGGATTACACCATTATCTTCAGTGCCGCAAATACCAGGGCAACTTTTGATTGTCAATCAAGATCATAACAATCAGGGGGAGAAAAGAAATGTCCAGCTTTCTCATCCATTTTCTTCTCCATCATTAGTCAACCTGGCAGTGAGAGACGGATAGATGCGCTAGTGAAATGTCCGTCAAATGTCCGAGCTGAGAGAAAAGTCCGACCTGTTAGCGGCTAGCCAGTGGCACTCAGTCCAACTTTATAGGGAGTATTCTTCTTTTCTATGCCGACTTGGAGAAAATCGGTGCCGTATCATCTCACAGGCAAAACTTTACCATGCACAATAGTAGGGAGGAATTTGTTGAGCGATAACGGCCATGCTCTATGATCAACCACTAGAGACAATCGCTGATATCGTACCTAGGCACACAACCTCATGCGCCATCTACAACTGAGTTCATCTTCTATCGAATTAAATAGACACGTGCAGGCGTAATGTCGCAGAAACCTGTGGTAACAATATGTTCCGATCAAGATACGCTGCATGCTTTTGTTTTGCCCTCTTATGAGTTTCCTATCCTACACTACCTGTGCAAAGTTACAACTATCGACCCGGCTTGGATAGATTCTGGACAGCAGTGGCCCACTTCTGTTCGTCATTCCTATCTCACTGTTAGCTGAAAGTAACGACTGTTAATCGTGAACATCATGGTCAATCCTTACCGGTCAAAGCGGAGCAGTTTACCGAGCACGGGCACGAGCTGACTCCTGACCTTGTCATCCTTGACCTCCAAAAATTGAAGCAAGATGGTTTTCAAGTATAGAGTGTCAACTGGTGGCTGTGCACCGCCAGTATTCACGGGTGTGCCTGATCGTGAACTGTCGATGCTGCTTCTGCTGCTATTCGCGGGTCCGGCACCGGCAAGCCTTCCTTGGGCAGTCTTGAGCTCCTTGTTCAGCTTTTCATATCGTGATCGTGCATCGTCAAGCAGCTTCCTGAGATCTGCCTTTTGCTTTTCGGCTTCTCTGACCTGTGTTTCCGAGTTGTCCAGTGCAGACCGTAGATTTGATACCGCAGAACGCATATCCTCCACCTCGGCACTGGCCTTTTGCTCGACCTCCTCAAGCTCTTCTCGGCGTCGCCGCCACTCGTTCTCTCGCGTTTCGAGCTGTTCTTTTTCGGAAGCCAAAGTCTTGACATCTCTCTCCAGCTCGCGAACCTTTGATTTGAGCTCCTCGGCCTCCCTTGCTCTACGGCGTGCCAAAGTAGATGACTCATCCTCAATGCGGTCTCGCTCTTCGACTGCAGCCTCCATTCGGGACCGCATTTCGCGGACCTTGGCGTCTGCGCGGGAGTCGACCTCATTGATCATGCGGCGCATCGTTTCGCCCTCTCGTGTACGTTCTTGCAGATGTTTCTGCACCTCTGCAAGCTCCTCCTCGAGACTCTCGGCTTGACTTCTCGATTCCTTGAGCTGTGTGCTGAGCTCAGATGTTTGATCACGCATCGTTCCGAGCAAGCCCTGGACCGAGTTGTATTGTGCTGCCTTCAGCTCCGCTTGTTCTTTGAGGCTGTCACGTTCCTTGCTCAGCTTCTCCAGTTGATCCTCTAGAGCCTTGATCTTTGGCTTGACGTTGTTGAGTTCAGACTGCAAGGATTCGAGCTCTCGAGCCGTCTTTTCAGCTTTGGCTGAGATTTCTATCTTTTCGGCCTCGCTGCGTCTAAAGTCCCTGCCAGCAACACGTTTTTCGTCCTCCAACTTGGCTCGGGTCTTTGCCTCGATAGATAGGCGGTCATTGAGGTTGCGCATTTCGCCTTCTCTCTCGGATGCCACGCGCTGTAGGCGAGTGACTTCTGCCTTCAGCTCCTTTTCCCTCTTCTCCAAGTTTCGAATCTCTGTCTGCTTAGATGCAAGCTCCTCTTTGGTCGTCTTCAGCGTGGCTGAGTCCTGACGCAATGACTTGAGTTCAGGCTGTGCCTTTTGAAGGACCTCACGGAGGTCAGTCAGATCCTTATACCGGGTTTGGGCCAGCTGCTGTGCAGCACCGAGATCGGAGGTCAGAGTTTGAGACTTTGTCTTGAGTTCATCATACTCGTTCTTGAGGGCATCCAACTCGGACTGCACCTTTGAACTTGACTCGGCATTGGACGTGAATGAGGCGACCTCGACTTCCAGCTCCTTGATGCGTTCTTTGAGCGTAGCCTTTTCAGACTCAAGCTCCTTGATCTTCTGCATGGCATCAGTGTGATTGCCGCCAATCTCAAGAAGCGAATCTTGCACGGTCTCAAGCTCTTCGCGGAGGTCCTCTTCCGTCTTTCGCTGCACCGATAATTTCTCAATCCGAGTGTCCTTCTCGGCAATCTCAGCCTTGAGCTTTGTAATTTCCTCGCGCAGTTCAGAGGCTTCAGGTATTTCTGTAGTTGCTACCGTCGGCGTGGCCGGTGCTGTCTCGGTAGCGGCAGGTTCGCCCGTCGCAGCAGTAGCGGTAGCGGCGGCCCCCTTCTTCTTCTTTTTGTTGTTTTTCTTCTTAGAACCACCTGTTGCTGTAGCGGCTGCCGGGGCGTCTGTCTTATCTGACGGCGCAGGCGGAACAAGACTTGGAGAAGGAGGCACGTCCTGGAGCTGCTTGTTTAGTTTCTCAATCTTGTCCAGATCTTCAGTCTTTGACTTCTTCAAAGAGTCAATCTCGGAAGTCAGGTCCTCAATCTTCTTCTGTAACTCTCGCAGTTGAGACGCGGCCTTGGTCTTGTCGTCTTTGGCTGCCTTTAGTGCGTTTTGGTGCTCTTTCGCTGTATCAGCCGTGGAAGTTTTTTCTTTCTCCAAGCTGCTCTCGACCTCACGCAACTGAGACTGTGCTTGCTCCAGTTTCTGGGTCAAACTCTCAATCTCACTCACTCGGGCGTCCAGTTGGGTCTGCAACGAAGTCTGAACAGCAGATGTATCCTTGGCCTCGTTTAACTCACGGGTCGCCTTCTCCAGGCTCTCGACAAGGCCAGCACTGTTCTCTTTGGCGACTGCGAGCTCATCCTTCAAGTTGCCAATTTCGGATTTAAGCTTTGCCATCTCCTCGGACTTGGAGGTAAGCTCGGCTTGTAGTTGGGGAATTTCATCCTCGTAGGAGAACATGTCCTCGCCCACATCCGCATTCTCGTTCGACTGAACAGGTGGTTTGACTGCTGGTGACGGAACTTCTTTGGACCCTGCCTCATCTTTGGCTTTAGTGGCGCTGTCGGTCTGCAGAGTTTCTTCCGGTTTGGTGGCCTTGAGCGCAGCCAACTGCTCCTTGAGCGCTAAGAGTTCCTTATCCGCATCTTCTGCGTTTTTCTTAAAACTATCCCTTTCGGCCGAAACTCGCTTGAATTCGTCCCTAACCATATCGCGTTGCAAGTTCTGGTTATTAATGTATTCAATAAGGGCAGCAGGGTCCTTGATGGTTGTAAGTGGCGTGTTCTCACGGAGGGCCCGCTCGAATGGCTCTATTGAAGTGGCACGTCCATGCGCAATACGGTAGGAACGTAAAAGCTCTGTCGCACAATGGATTAGTTTCGAGTTTTCTCCAGCAAGCAAAGGCACATGTCATTGTATGGACATGACATACCAGGGTAGGTCTTCTCCAGCTTCTCCAGCTTTCGTAGCCTTGTCTTGACCTCCAACGGCAGCTCGGCAGGAGCAGGGGCAGCCTCCTGTTTGCCGTCTTTCTCATTGGGTGCGGCAGACGCATCTTCCGTCTTTTCCCTGACCTGACTGTCGCCCTCCGTGCTCTTCTTCTCTGCGCTCAAGCCTTCGGTCGAGCCGTTCTTTTCGGAATCACCTAGTGGCTGCTCGACAAGAGTTTTGGCCTCTGCTTCCTCCTCGTCCAAGGCAAAGGCAGCCTCAAAGACGGCAGGATCCGTGTTAGGCAGACTGTCGCCGTTGGCGGCATCTTGTCCAGGCTTCTTGGCCCTCCGCTTCGCTGGTGAGTCCTTGGCGCTGTTGGACCTCGAAAGAGAGCGCTGGCGATTACCAGAGGGGGATACAGTCCGCTGTTCGCTTTGGCGAGCCTGCTCCTCGGCAATCGTCCTATCAATTGCGCTCTTGAACCTTTGGAACATGGTGGGCGAGTAATGTATCGAATTTGCTAGCCAGAGCGGTAAGAAATGTGTCCCGTAGCCATGCGCACTCCAGGCGATCAAAGGTGGCTCTCGGTGTCGGGGATTGTGGATGCTCTCTGTCTCGCTCGAGTTCGAACCGGTGAGATTCGCGCAATGGTGGCAGCGGCGGCGGCGCAAATGCAAGTGCAACGAAGAATAGCAATGCGGTAACAAAGCGAAGCTGGAATCGACCGAGGACACTGCTGCCAAAAAGAAAACTATAATATTGTTTACTACTAAGTAGAAGAGAAAATAATGCCAACGTTGCCCTTCAGCTCGGCTTGCTTGTCCTGGTCAATGTTCAAAGTCGGAGCCAACGATTGGAGCTCCCGCCAAGACCAGCCAGGTGTTCGCTCTGTTTTAGTTGGGCCTTGCACTTTTGAACGGCACCGACGGCTACCAGACCCCTGCCAAAGTCACCTACTGGTATGTACTCTGTAGCATCCCCACAGCCGTGCGGCTCGTGGATTGCCAAGGGTCTTCTGGTGCCCTGGTTCAAGGTACCTACAAGCTGGCAATTCATTTTGTATTCAAGGGCAACATTCGTACAGGTGCGGGTATAAAATCTATATTTTTTAACATATATTTTCGATACAGTGGGAAAGAATTGCCGAGCTCGAAGTTTGTACACTTACAGCCTTCTCTTGCTCATGAATCAGTAGACCTCGTATGAAGCCTAAAAGCAAAGTCGTATGCATCCATTGCAACGAGTTGTTGGCAAGATCTTGTGTGTCTCAAGGTACTCATATCTTTTGGTGAGGAATATCAAGGTAAAATTTAGGTTCAGCAGAAAATTCTCAATTGTCTGAGAATATTGTTTTGCAGTCTGGCCGCTCGCTCAGCATTGTAAGAAGATCAGACGCTGTCGTCTTCAGGCTGGGGCCCGTGCATCAACGCCGCTGGTCGGGACGCCATGTGAAATGGAGCAAGCGTCGTCTTGTCTTTGGTTGCGAACCCAGCCAGGTAATAAAGCTACGAGATGGCCCTTGCCGAAAATGAAACCCAAGGTGACCTTACCAGACCACTAATAAGGAGCCTAGGCTCAGCGATGCCTGCAGGCTAGGTACCCTCAGGCTTCAGCTACAGGTCCGCTAGCTGTCCTTTTATCGACAAGGTCTTCTGCCAGCTGCGTTACCATGTCGTCACTGCTTTTCCCACCCGTGCCCTGGCGATGGGGACACACGACATTACGTTTGATTGACTTGCACCTGCGTAGCTAAAAACCCCCTAACAGCTTCAACATTGACCACAAGGACGAGAGCGACTTGCTTGCACTGCTATCGCTCGTCTACATTTGCGCGATCCCTTTGAGCATTTCCTTGATCAATTTTGCCCGACGCCCAACACATCGCGAATCATGCGCTCGTAGCACAAATACGTATTTTGTTTCCCTCATCATGGTCTCTTTCTGGCCCTTCAAGGCAAGTCGCACGTCTTTTCCCACGTCTGTCACTGTTGGCGCAAGGCTTGCTTCCAGCTTCTAAAAGATACCGTCGTCTGACTCATATGCTGTACCAGGGCGACGACTCTTCGCCGGCCTCGTTCGAGAAATCTCTTTCCACGCTTTCCAAGAAGATCGGGGCGACGCAACTGCAACTAGACAAGCAGCGCTCCAGCTCCCGACGGGTCAAGTTTCTAGGTACCCTGTATCTGAGTATCGCCTACCTCATCTACGCGATCGTCTTGCTACTGGTGGTTGGCCAGAAGAATCTGGGTCCTTGGGACTGGACTGGGTTGGCTGGTGGCCCCGTGGTCCTATATGTCTACCGAACATTGAGCGATGCCTACTTCACTTTCCGCGTCGACAAGCTTGAGGAGAAACTCAAGTATCAGCAAACTGAACGAGCCAAAATCATTCAGAAGCTGAAGGATGCCACCAAATATGACACTACGCTCGAGCTATTGGAGAAGTATGGCGGCGAGAAGCCCAAGCCCAAACGCACCAAGTCGCAACAACTCGGCGATGGTGACGAGCCTGGACAGAAGGGACAGCAAAAGAACAAAATGGGAGGGCCGCAGGGCATGAGTCCAGGCGGTAGACTAAACATCCCTCCCCCACCCACGGCCAACATTCAACGACCACCGTCCGCTGCTGGCCCGCCGCAAACTCAACAGCTTCAAGGTCCATATCCTCCGCCGTCGCGCCCGCAATCTTCTTCGAACGGCCCTCACGACTTCTCTGCCAGCTTTGCTCCCAACGCTGAAGAAATGCCTCCGTCTTACCACCAATACGACTTCAACACTGGCCCGCCAACGTGGTATGATCGCGTACTCGACCTGATGATGGGTGAAGATGAGACAGCCCCCAAGAACCGCATTGTGCTTATCTGCCAAAGATGTCGCCTTGTGAATGGCCAGGCTCCTCCAGGCACCAAGAGCTTAGCCGACGTGGGCCAGTGGAAGTGCATGGGCTGCGGCACTATGAATGGCGAGATGGATGAGGGAAAGAAGATTATTCAAGACGTGCTTGGTCAAAGTCAGGGAGATCACGTGGATGAGCAGAGCAGTGCAGCCAGCGAAATCGATGTCGAGTCAGACACGGCCGAATCAAATGAAAGGGATGCTGCCAAGGAGGTCAAGGCAGTTCGGAGGTCTGGCAGAAATAAGTCGCAAATGGTTCCGTAAGCGTAAACAGTTACTATGGAGCTCTTGCCGTAATTTCTGCTGCTTCAGGAAATACACACGCGTTCTCGTTCGACGGCTGATATTGTGTAGAACTTTCTCATGTTCATGCATACTGTTGGTAGCCAGTCTTCAGCCGCCTCAGGAAATTTCGAAATTCACAGATGCTTGGCGAACCTTGCATGTTTCCTAGAGCCGGCGGTAAGGTAGCATAGCAGGCTGAATGGTTCCATGTTCCTGGGATTTCTGTCAGATGGGTAGAAGGAACGGGAAGACTCTGCGGGCGGTCAGCCGCTTTGCAAGCGGCCTCTATATGATTGGTCATGGGTTTGATAAACATGGCACAGCCATCCGGCAAAATGAGGCAGAATACAAAGGATCGCCGAGAAGAGGATTTAGGCCGATCGATCGGGCCGTTTGGATACAAAATTCTGTCATGGGGTATCGTGATAGGATTTGCAAATTACGAGATGAGCTGGTTATACTAGGAATAGAAAACCTGACCAAGTAGCCTCGCTGGGATCTGACCTCCACATCTCGTCTCTTCCTTGTCGTCTCCGCTACTTTACGATGGTCTGTTATGAAGTTCATTCAGGTCATAGTCTAGCGGATAGGCTTTGCTGTACTGGACAATGTTATCAATTGAGTTTCTAAATGGACGTCCAAAAAGCGAGTGATGACTGTAAATGTGCTACCGACTGGACGCATATATCTAGCTAGCGATGGTCTACTGTGGATCGAGCTCAAATGCTCTTTTCTCTTGGGTCTTCCCCATTCGAGAATATTTGAGCGTCAGGTTTTCTTCTTTTCTATTCCTCATATTTATTACATTTACGAGAACAGAGAGACAATCCTCTTGTTGTTAAAGTCCCAGGCTGTGACGTCCTCATATTTGCATGGCCTGGCCTCGCTGACAAACTCCTTGAGTGGGAGGAGCGACGCCGCCCTATTGGGCTTGCCAAAATAGGCAATAGAATACCGCTCTGGAATGACCTTGTCGCCATCCCCGGCCTGGACGGAGGGCGGGTAAGTGACGCGGTGGCAGGCCGCCCGGAAGGTATCGTTAGTAAGGCGCTGGAGCGAGTCGCCGATATTGATAATAATATCAGTCGGCGCCGACGAAATCACGTCGTGAAAGGTGCCGTACTGGTCCTGGTTCTCGACCTGCAGCCCTCCCGTCGAGTCCTGGAACAGCAGCGTTATGGTGCCAAAGTCGGTGTGCTCGGCGATGCGGGTCGAGGTGCCGTCGGCCAGCGTCGATGCCGGGATCGCCGGGTAGTGCAAGAGCCGGAACTCGTTTTCTGCCCGATTGTGTAGCGTTCGCATGTGCTCCTCGGACACGCCGAGCGCCAGGGAAATGGCCGAGATGATGTCCAACTCTGCCTTGAATGCCTCGTCGTAGAAGCTTTCCATGAAGGATCGGAATCCGGGAAGACACTCTTCTGGCACCCACTACAACAACAACAACATATGTTAACAATTGCCTACTTGGATAGATAAATGAGTTTGAAGCAGCTCTTTTGAGCAGTTTGTCTGAGTCTGCTCTTTTGCAGCACCACTATGGGCAATGCTTGCTCATGAGACAACCTAGAAAAGGAGAGAAATAACATCGGAAGTTGCTTACTACATTGTCCACCAGCGGATCGTTTGCGGCTCCCATGTCATATGTTTCCTGGATAGACCATGTCAGAACACACAAGCCCAATAGAGGAAGAAATACACTCAAACATACCTTGACGTCCTTTGTCGTTCCTGGGCCATAGCCATCGCCCTTTCCGAACCCGCTAATTGCGGCAATATTTTCCTGCCCAACATAACTGTAGCCACGATTCGGGTTGGCTTGTGGCGGATGCTTTGCCTTCATTTTATCTTCGAGCGACAGGTTGAAAAACTGGCGCGTCTAGAATCTCAGAAGTTAGTACAAAGAACACCAGACGAGCGAGGCAAGAAAAAGCTGCTCACCATGGCAAAACACTTGTGGATCATGTCGGCGGGTATTCTGTGGTTTTGAATCTTGATGCACCCCTTTTGCTTGAGTAGAGTGACGAGAGTGTCGCAGAAAGACTGCTTCTCCTCTGGTGTGCCATAGAATAGCGCCATGTTGACGGTGTCTGCATCTACTTGGGCAGCCATTTTGATATATAGATTTTGTGTAGGTAAAGTGTATGAATGGTCGGCAAAGCCAGATGAAATATTCCGATCTTTCTTTTGTGGTTTTTGTTTTCTTTGTCGATAATGTTTTGTTTGAGCCATATCCATTGCGAGAGAGGTCGGATTTTATATCTGATGAATCTACGTAATCTTGGAGATCTTACGATTGCCATCACTCAGCAAGATGAAGTTATACACACATCTTTTGCCGCGCATATCCGATGAAGCCAGACTTCAAACACTATACTATATCCACAGCATCACAGCAATCGTATGTCTATACTCAGGATACTGGGATTATCGGGCGGCAATATTCGGCACAAGCTGTAATGCCTTTGCTAAACATGTGGATCGAGCCGATGTTATCAAGCCGAGCATGGCCTTGACGATAGGATGTCTGCGGCTTTGTTGGAAACCTGGGGTAAGATACTAATAGCAATGCAAAACGATTCGATAGTATCCATATCTATCTTCTAGCAGGTGTCCGCGATAGGTCGTCGTCGAGAGCCAATGCGAACGTATTGGAGGAATCGTAACAGGAACCAACACGCTTGATAATTGTGCAAACAGCTCTTTTTTGTATATAAATCTTAATGAGTGTTTACTATGATTTCATATTTATAATTCATCTAGAGGTTTACAATCCAGTGAATATGATAAAACGCCGTAAAGAAAATCATCTCCTCGACATCGTGACTTATTGTGGGTCATGGCTCAAACAAGTAAGGCACCAAGCCGCGGATGATTGCCTTTTCGAAGAGGGATCTGATAACCGACACCACAGCCGCTGTAGTTTATGACGTCCAGAACCATTACTCTATCTTTTTCATTTCCACGATAACATGCCAAAGTTCCCACATCAAAAAGTTAAGCATCGCTTTGACTCGGGATATCCTCACGCGGCTGCCACCCTCGGCCCAGTTGCTCAAACCGAAGCCGTTATACAGCTATTGGGGCAACACTCGGCATCGCCAATCGCTATTACTGGTCTTTATATGTGAGATTTCAGTTCAAAGTTTTCTAGTCATATGTGGCATTGGCTTGCGTGGAGCATTTGGACTCATATCACGCATCTGAGCTCACTGCAGTTGTTGCAAGACCATGCTTCCCCGCCAAGCCCTTTCTTCTGTGGACTGTGGTACATTGATGGAACTCAAGGTCTTTTTACAAGATACGGTGTGCAGCCTTTATCATACCAATAGGAGGCCACTAATGGTGTAATGAACGAATAAGATGATAGAACCTTAGATTAGACAATAGCAGGCAATGTTTTGAGTCTGGAAAAGAGCAGTGCCGCTTTACCCCAGATTGATCATATTCCATGCCCAGTATTTTTACCCCAGGATTTCTACGGTCAATCCACTATAGATGCACTATCATAAAACTTCCGATTGGACTATTCTGGTTTGTTCAACGACAACAGATCATAATCTTCTTGACATTGATGCATCCATACTCTTCTTGTCGAGCTTCAGTTTCGTATCATTGATGCTCTCTTTAGCAATACTGTGGCTCCGCTTCACTACTTGCCAGGACCCCTCGATCAATTGGGTTTCTCACTATCGACAACACTGCTTTCAGGACGTGTAGCTCCAAGTACATACGACAGATATCTGTTTTCTCGAATGATGTCTCTCTTTCAAGCCCGGCTTCCGTTTCCTCCGATCAAAACCATGTGTCTGGAATCATTGGAACCACCTACCTGTCAAGTCGAGAAACGGACCCTTCGTGCATGTCCATCTACATGCGCTTATGTCCGGACAATAGGCGATGCGTTAAATGTCAAAAGTCCCTTGCTTGTGCGTTTTCCCGTCTGTGCCCTCGATTGCTTCTTGCACCACATATACGAATCGCACTTCCCTCTTTCGCGGATAAATAGGGAAAAATCCATCGACTGCGGGGGAGATCTCCGCGGTTCGCCGTCTCCAATATCCGTCTTGGCAGTAATCAAGGGCCAGGGGCCAGGACAATAACCACTCCTTCTCACCACTACACCATTGGCTCATTGCGGCCGAGGGTTGGACCGTCCTCCCGTGACTCCGGACGCAATTGATTAATTTGGGGAGAAGAGCGATACCACCCCACAAAGCTCTCATTCAGCTAGGGGGAGATCCTCCATTTTCCCCCAGACCAGCAGCATGGGTCCCCCAATGAGCTTTTGTCCATGATCTACAACCACGTGTATTATACGGCCGGCTATGGGGTGAATATGTGCATACGAGTCGGACAGAGCAAGCTTTTGGGGGACTTATCTATGCACCAAGCCCACATCATTTCCCAAGGGCTTGGATATCTCTTTCCTTGTGCTGGTAGAGGAGAGGAGTACATTGTTGAATTGATCCTCACTACACAAACCAGTGTCTACCATTACTTCTCAATAGGAGTTCTTTGAGCAATGGCTCGAATCAAAGCAGATCAACTGCACAAAAAGTCCGACCCGTCGACGCAGGGCAACACTGGCGCATCGGCCGACCCCATCGTTACCCGCCTCGCCAACGCCGACAAGGTCCCGTGGTACAGGAAACCACATCTGCGCACCTTGTACCTTTTGCTGTTCCCGACATGTATGGGTATTGAATTGACGTCTGGGTTCGACTCCCAGATGATTAATGCTCTTCAGATCGTGCCGTCATGGGTTCACTGTGAGTCGAATTGGCTGAGACAGCGGAATTTTGGGCACGGTGGGCTAATCTTGTCGTGGCAAAGTCTTTGGTAACCCCCAAGGTATGTACACTACGAGTTTATTCAGTAGATACTATTCAGGCTGACGCTTCCAAAATAGGGTCATTGAAAGGAATCATTAGTGCCGCCTACTCGTTGGGCGCCATTCTTTCGCTACCGCTGGTTCCTATTGTCAATGACCGTCTCGGTAGAAGATGGTCGATATTCATCGGCTCTTTCATCATGATAATCGGCTCAGTGATTCAAGGATGCGCTGTCAATGGTGAGTCATAACCAACTGTGCTTGGGATGTCGAATGAGAGCACATCTCACCTTCCTGGTATTCCTCTTAGTGAGTCGCTGCTAAGTTTGTGGTGTTGTAGTTGGCATGTATATTGCTGCTCGATTGATTCTTGGCTTCGGCATTCCTACATGTATCGTCAGCGGATCTGCCTTGATTGGTGAATTGGGATACCCAAAAGAACGTCCAGTCCTTACCTCTCTGTTCAATGTGTCATACTTTCCAGGTCAGATCGTAGCTGCTGGCATTTGTTTCGGAACCAACAATATCCCAAATAATTGGGGTTGGAGAATTCCTAGTCTTTTGCAGATGTGTCCATCTGTACTCCAGATTGCATTCATCTTGTATCTCTCCCTTCCTTGAAAGTTTATCTGGTTGAAACTAACGAGAAATCAAGCTTCATCCCTGAAAGTCCCCGTTGGCTTATTACCAAGGACCGCAGCGAGGAGGCCTACGAGATTTTGTACAAATACCACGCCGAGGGCAACCATGAATCCGAAATCGTGAAAGCCGAGATCGCCCAGATCCAAGCCACGATGCAGATTGAGCTCGAGGCATCCAAGAAGTCTTGGAAGGACCTTGTGGCCACCAAGGGCATGCGACGTCGTCTTTTCGTCACCAGTATGTTGGGCCTCTTTACACAGTGGAGCGGCAATACCCTCATTTCGTACTACTTGAGCGACCTGCTGTCAATGGTTGGTCAGACATCGAGTGTTTTCAAGGCAAAGCTCAACGTCGGCCTCGCCTGCTGGAGTCTGGTCTGCGCCGTGGTTTGCGCCTCCGTCGTGACCCGGTTCAAGAGGCGTTCCATGTTCCTTGCCTGCGCCATTAGCTCGCTGGTCGTGTACATTTGCTGGACGGTGAGCATGGAGCGGGCCATCGCGGCTTTGGACGCGGGCACGACCAACCCCGCGGCGGGCGCGGCGACCATCTTTTTCATCTTTGCCTACGTATGCGAACCTGGTGGATCCACGATTACAGACTTGAGTGGCTGACAATTGGCATACAGAACCCATGCTACAATATCGGCTACAATGCCCTGACATATAGTAAGATATTTCCCCGCTGCTTAGATCTCATTTGGGACTATATGACTGACTTATGTGCAGCTTTCATGGTTGAAATCTGGCCATTCATGGAGCGATCAATGGGTATTGCAGCCTTCCAATTCTGGGGGCGGGGTGCCAACTTCTTTACCACCTTTGTCAACCCGATCGGCCTCGAAAATGCCAGTTGGAAGTATCTCATCTCCTACTGCGTCTTCTTGGCCTTTGAAGTCGTTCTCATCTACTTCTTCTTCCCCGAGACGCATGGCAGAACTCTTGAAGAGTTGGCTTTCTGTAAGTATCCGCATATATCACAGAACTCCGCCAAGATAATAATGTCGTATACTAATTGATGCTTTTACCTTGGCAGTATTCGAAGACAAGGCTCTCGCCGATGAGGCTGTCCGCGCCGTCGAAAAATCAATTGCACATCATGACGAGGGGACAGTCCATGAGGACAAGGCAGCGCAAGAAATTCAGACTCAAACTAAAGAGGTTTAAGGTCATGATCTTATTGGTTGTTGATTGTACTCTCGCCAAGGACATTGCGGTATCGCCATGTTTCAGTATCCGTGGACTTTTCAATCAGTCATATGTTGTTGGGATGCATTACAAGCTGCCAGGCTGCAACAACGACCAATATACCGTCTTCGCCCCCTCCTACTTCTCCTGATAGTCGAGCGGCATCTACTGGATTATTCATGTTATCTATCGACGTTGAAAATATCAATCAATACAGTGACTTCGTGACTGGGAGCGGTGGCTGCCACGACTCGTCCCGCCTTGGAGCGAAACTCTGTGCGACTTGGTAACTTTGCCGAAACCATTATTCCGTTGTTTGTAACCATTCCTCAGCCTGGATAAGTCCTGCAACGTCGCACTCTTCTGGCGCCTCATGCTCGCATGCATCGCGGTGAATTCCCATCTTGCTTCTCCAAGTCAACAACAGCGATATGGGGGCCAGGTTCGCTCTCAAGATGGAAGCATACATGTACTTTGATCTTGAAGTTTCCGTAATAATTAGAATAACATGGTTTCGTTGCCATATTTATTTGTCATTCTTTCATGGTCTTTCTTGACCTCTCAGTGGATCATGTACAAGTTCAAGTTTATTGTGAGTATTACCTACTACGGAGTAGGTAGGTAGGTCCTAGATTATGCGAGATACCAGCCTAGCGCAAGATCCGCCGATGGCTGCACAAAATGCCGGCAGATAATGCACCGATTGACTTTCGCAGAGAGGGCTCATATCAATGGATTTGTGACTTGCAACAATATCAAGGCGATACCAGTAGATATTTATTCAATTGTCGGCATTTTGGTCAACGCCCTTGGTCTTGGTCCCACAGATCCGTGCCTATCAGCCTGTCTCGGCTTCAGCTTCATCTGTGTGCTGCCCCGCTCAGTCTATTCGCTACCACTTACTCATCTCCATCAGCTTGGACAAACAAGATAACATGGCTTTGGTATTCCACGGCACGGTCATTCACTCACTCGGCCCCACGGAGCTCGAGATACTGGAAGATGCCCTGTTGATCGTCAGAGCCGACGGAACCGTCCAAAGTCTTGACGCCGGGGTCGCCAAGTCCTCGGTGCCGAACCTGCTGGCGGCACGCGGCCTCGACGACGAGGTCCGATACCTGAGCAGGGGCGAGTTCCTGATCCCGGGGTTTGTGGACACGCACAACCACGCGCCTCAGTATGCTCAGCGGGGACTAGGGCAGAGCATGCACATTCTCGACTGGCTGGATAATGTCACGTTTCCCAATGAAGCGCGGTTCGCCGATGTCGCCTATGCTGAGCGCATATACGGGGCATGCGTAGATGGGTTTCTGAGGCAGGGTATTACCACGGCGTCATACTATGGCTCAATGCATGCCGATGCCACAAACATACTGGCCGACTTGTGTCTCAAAAAAGGACAGCGGGCGTTTGTCGGAAAGTGCAATAGTGAGTAAATTATTGCTCGAGTCCTTCACTGAACCTGGTGTCTAGTCTTTATCTCTGTATCATGGATAGGTTGGGGGGGGGGGGGGGGGGGGGGCGAACCAGCCAGTACGTCCTTGTGGCTAATGATCTTCTGTAGTGAACCGGAACGCACCAGACTTTTATAGAGATGCCACAGTCGAGTCGTCACTAGGGGACACAGAGAAATGCATCGAGCACATTCGCAAGATTGACCCAGAGAGTAAGCTTTTGAAGCATGTACTCACGCCGCGCTTTGCCATTACTTGCGATCCGGAGCTGCTGCAAGGTTTGGGTCAGATTGCTGCGAATAACCCCGACCTGCCGATCCAGACGCATTTCAATGAAGCCGAGCAGGAAATGAATTTCACCAAGACCCTGTTCCCGCAATTCGACAACGAGGTTGACTTGTACAATTCATATGGGCTTCTGAATCAGCGATCGATCCTGGCGCATTGCTGCTTCGTGAGCGAGTACGAGCTGACCCAGCTAAAGGAGCTCGGCTGTGGCGTGGCCCACTGTCCAATCTCCAACATGACGGTCGGAGGTGGCTTCATGGCGGCCCCGATCCGCGAGTTCTTGCGCAGAGGCATAAAGGTCGGGCTGGGCACCGACAGCGGCGGCGGCTTCTCGGCGAGCATCCTCGACGCCATGCGCCAGGCCCTGGTGGCGTCCAACGCGCGCGAGGTCATGAGCCAGGGCCGCGACAAGGGCCTCGACCTGGCCGAGATCTTTTTCCTGGCCACGCTCGGCGGCGCCCAAGTCTGCTGTCTCGAGGACAAGGTTGGCAACTTTCGCGTGGGCAAGCACTTTGACGCCTTGCTCATCAATAGCAGCCGGCCTGGCGTCATGACCATGCTGGAGGATTGGGATTCGACTCGGACGATTTTTGACAAGTTCATCATGACGGGCGATGATAGGAACATCGAGTTGGTCTTTGTAAATGGTCGACGGGTGAAGCCTTAGCAGCAAATATTTCAGGGACATCTGCAATCAAAATAATGTAGGTCATCTACTGACAATTCATATGCTTCAGAGCCACCAATCTAGGTCCAACGGGCAACATATGAAGAAAGTCATGGACGATTGTTGCTTGAAGTTTTTGATATATGATTACCATTTTTGCCAATCTATTGCGCGATCGCGCCTGTTTTTGTTCCTTTTTTTGTTTCTCATATTACCCAGATCTCGCAAGAAAATCCAAAACAACTCCGAACCATCCAGCGCATTACCAATGTCATCACATTGTCATTCAACCCAAAAACATTATCCCGTCCCTTTCATGAACAAAACCTCCCAACTCATCAAAAGTCCAACAACAATCATTACTACTTCCTTCTCAAACTCTTACCCCTATCCAAAAGATTGAGATCCCACCAACCCTCAATCATGCCCCAGACCGTCTTGCGCTTTGGCTTCTCCCGAGCTTGGACCGGCACCGGAAGACCGTCGGCATTGCGCACTACCGAGGGGCTCAGGGGCTCGAGGTCGTCGGCATCGACGGGGCTCACCCTGCCCACGGACCGCGCGGCAAAGGACTTGATCTTGGAAATGGGGATGCCCAGGGCGTCGCGGGGGCTAGGCAGAGACGGTATCTTTGTCTTGAGCCGCGGCGAAAAGGCCGACGACAGGGCATTGGCGGGCGTGTTGACGGGCGTGTACCCGTCGTCGCTGGTGGGTGTCAAGGGCGGGACCTCGAGGTTCTGCGTCCGGATCTTTTCCGGTATGCGCTTGTGCTTGGCCGGGATGGAGTCCTCATGCGCTGCTGTGGTCAGCGGTGACTCGGGGATTGCCGGCATCATGATGGATTTGCGCTGCGCTGTGAGCGACCGGCCCCTCGAGGCAGGACGGTTCACGTAAATCATGGGCGGCGGGGGTGGCACAGCCGTTATGTCCTCGTCGATGCCGCGAAAGTTGAGGATGGGCGCAGCCTGAGGCGCTGGGATGGGCGCGCTGGGGGATGGCACAAAGGTAGGGTGAGCAGCAGCCGGGCCGTGGTTCAATACACCGGTTCCGAGACTGCGAGAAGAAAGGGCCAGAGGCCCCGAGATGCCACCGTCGCCGGCTTGGTGCGGAGGCGGAGGAATGACCTGGAAGCATGCACCTTTCTCCTCGTACGTCCCCATTGGCGGTGCTGCTGCTGCTGCTGCTACTCTACATGTTCTGGCATGTGAAACCCCGCGCGCGCCCGCGTGCCCCTAACCCTCAATGTCCTTGGGAGCGTTGGCGGCGGCGGCGCCCTTGATGCGACGCCAGAGGCCAACACAGACAATGGCACTAAAGGCAAACAGCACACACAGCGAGATAGAGAGGCCCCATACAGCCTTGATCTCGTAGCAGTGCGGCTGGTCGACCGCGACGTAGGTGAAGTAGTCGACAGTCTTCTTCAGGACGCTGCGGTAGGTGACGCCAGAGCTGCTGGCAACAAAGACCTGAGATCCAGAGGCAATGGTCGATGTGCCCGCTGCAGGAAGCGTCTCACATGTGAGCTTGGACAGCGGCTTTCCAATCGTGGCAGCCACGACAATGGTTGCAATCAACAGGAGAAAGTCGCAACCTCCAGCAACAAGAAGAGGAAGCAGACCATCATAATACAGAATGTAACTGATGGCAATGTATAGGGATGCCGTGCTCGCCTGTTCATCTTAGTTCTCATGTTGCCAGAAAGTGGCAATGAGGAGGAGGTAGGTACTCACCACAACCAGAGTGCCAATGAGCACGTCTGGAGCATCCCGCTGAGCCGACACAATCTCATTGATAAAGTTTGCCATGAGGCCAATGATGGTCAGCAGCGAAAGAAGTTGTGCGGCACGCAGAGCCGTAAAGGTGACGCCTAGAGCGCCGAGCTGAGGAGCCTGGAAGCGCATCTTGAGCGGAATCGGCTTCTCAAAGTCGGTGATGAGTGAGAGACTTGGACGAGACTTGTAAGCGGTACGCAAGGGGAATTGCGGCCGCGGCTGTGGGATGGAAGCCGTTGGAAGTAGTGGAGAGGGAATGTTGAAAGATTGGGCGGTACTGGACCGTGGTTATCTTTTGAGAAAAAGAAAAGGAATTGTCGATTTCAGTGTCTCTTGACTGGAATAACAAGTGAATGAAATGTTTTTCTGGAACCCAAAGAACGTGAACCGGGAAAAACTAAGCAGGTCGACTGCTGTGATAGACGAAGTAGATATCGCTGATGTCTTGACGGAACTGATTTCAAGGAGACCGTGAGGAATATGAGATTCGTAAAGGCCAAAGATGACGTTGAAAGATCAGAAAACCGTTTATAGTAGGAAATCCCAAGGAAAGAGACAGAGAGAAAAAGGAAAAAGATGAAATAGGAAAAGACCTAAGAAAAGACCAAGGAAAAGTCGTAAAGTAAGTTGTAAATTGTTTGATGAGAATGGAGTTCTACCTCGAGCTTGGGGGAAGTGATGGCATCTTATGTATTCATTCTCGTCCTTGCAAGCAGAGTTACATCAGCCAGGTCCAAAGGTTGCTGCTCTGCAAGACCAGAGTCTAGACCAGATGCATCGCGGTAAACCCCTGACCCGATGGACATATCGGAATCGAGTGTTTGATTTCCACAGCAAGCTTTTCTTTTTTTTCTCTCTTCTCCCTTGCGTTGCTATTTTCATCATAGCACTTGTGTGTACAACACGACTTATGTCGACGTCGTTACTTGAGGCAGATGGCGTATTCAGCAGCCGCCGACATGACCAATGAGAGCCTTCAATTGGCCCTGTGTCGATCGCCTGCAGGGGTTCAAGCCAACCACAGCCAAGTGAGAAGATCCACTCACTGCAGCCAGGTCTTATTGCCCGCGCTCCCCAATCAAGCCGTTGTCGCTTAATGTCGTCTGAACAACCGCGATGGATGTCGAAGCCGGTGGCTTGTGGTTGGCTGATATCCCAGTAGGACTTCATCTCGCCTTGAGTCTCCCAGGTAGTGGAGGTCCAGGGTCTTAAGCGCGGTCCGCGGTTACCCTGGCTCCAGCGATCTATCATCTAGTATCGCGTCGGCGCCTCATGGCCGGCAGAAACGCGACCTGCATATTCACTTAATAGGCGAGATTGGAACGGGGGAGGCGATGCTTGTTCCGCTGCTCTAGAAGTGCAAGCAAGCTGTTCGTGTTCCTGGTGTCTGTAGTTGAGTCGATCATCGTCAGCCAGTCAAGCTATGGTGGATCCGGGCAGCTTCTGGTCTCGATGACTGCAGCCTGAGCATCGGATGGTCCTGAAACGATGGACATCCGGGATGCTGTGTTTACAATCTGATGTTTGTTTAGATAAAGGAGCCGCAGCGTCTCATTGGCATCTAATGGTAGGCTCATGCATCATGCCATGTAGACGTGCGAGTTATTGTCTTTCCAGCCTCGAAAAGGCCATCAAGGATCACGTCATGGCAGTGATCATATGTAAATCAAGAAAATGTTGTCATTTTATGCGCCCTGACGCCTCTAAACAATGCGCAATCGCATCTCACATTATTGCCTAGGTTGTCCGTTTCAAAAGTTTCATATCTAGATAATTCGTCAATTCGACACAATAGACCGACGCATATGTCAAGATTCCTTTCAGTAACCTAGTAATCGGGTGTGATACGCTGGATGTCTCGGTCATATTCCGACCAATTAGTATAGCCCATCACAGGCTCATCCCAACAAATCGTCAAGTCCACTGCTTCCAGAAGTGGACTGAGCAGGCTTAGGGGTGCTCGTATTAGCGGCAGGGGCTCCCCATAGAGAGGCGCTCGTCTTCTCCTTTGCAAGCTGGCCCAGTTTAGGGCCTGAACCAATGCTGGTGGTCTTCTTTGCACCACCACCAGCTGCGGCGAAAAGGTTGGCAAAAGGGTCACCACCGGCAGCAGCAGACTTGGCGGCTGGAGCACCGGCCGGCTTGTTGAATGCAGACATTCCAGAGGCAGCAGATCCACTGGAGAAGCCAGTGTTCGTCTTTTGAACCTGCTGAGCAGGCTGGGACGACTGAACGGATTGGAAATAATTAGGCTGCGCTGGTTGATATCCTGTGGGCTTGGATGCTTGAGGAGACATGAGATTGGTCGGAGCGCTGAAGGCAGAGTAGTTTGCAGCAGGTGTAGCGTTGGCACTTGCTGGTGGCGAGATTGCCGACATCATGCTGCTGATATTGGCATTCTGAGGTCCAGAGACTGGCTGTGGAGCAGCGAACTGCGCCGTGCCCTGCGCACTCGAGGTTACCATGGGAGGGGCAATAGAAAAGGCGTTTGAAGGAGCCGACGTCTGAGTAGCAGGCGTGGCAGATTGGAAGTCGTCGAAATCGTCGTCATCATTGCTGGATAAGGCAGCAAGTCCTGAGGAAGCGCCCGAGGTAGCTGCAGCGGGTGCGACAGGCGCGCTTTGGGCAGGCGCGGGATCATCAAAGGAGAACAGGTCAACTTCTGGCTCCTTGGCTTTCTTGGGTGGCGCCGAGGGAATGGTCTTCTTCACACCAGCCCTTTCCGTTCTCTCTGGCCTCCTGGTTCGCGATGAGCTGCCACCCGCATCGGCCTCATCATATTCGTCGTACTCTTCAAATCGGTCATTACCTCTGGTGGTCTCCCTGTACTCGTTAGACTCCTGACCACCAAAGCCGCCGCCGTCACCGAACACGCCGCCGCCAGTGTAGCCGCCATATCCCGCGGAAGAGCTGCCACCGTAGCCAGCAGACTCGCTTCCAAAGCCACCATAACGACCTCCGCTACTGCTGGAGAAGCCGCCCATGTTACCACCTTCGACTCCAGTGTACTTGGCCTTGTTGGCTCTGGCCTTCTTTCTCTCTGATCGAATGCGCTCGACATCACCCAAGAGCTCTGCGAGTTCTTTGGCGCGGTTGCGCACGTTGATGCCCTGGTCTTTGCCATTCTGGTCGATAAAGTGGAATTGTCGGAGCATCTTGAGGAGGGTGACATGGCCGCGCGCATCATCAATTACTCTCTCGGAACCATGCTTGATCAGAAACTCGAGCAGCTGCAATGCTTTGTAGATCTGCCGCCATTCCTCGGCGGCTTTTTCCGTGAATCGCCGATAGATCATGGGCATAATCTCGTTGAGTGTTTGGCTTTATATTTGTCAATACGGGATTCGGAAGGGTTCGTCGGTCTCGCATGAGAGAGTCTTACTAGTGGAAAGTACCATTGGCAATCTCCTGCATCAAGGTCGAGGACGCCCCCCATGGCTCGTTGTTTGTAGCCTCTCGGACCTGTTTCGCTGCGTGTCAGTAATGTGACCAGCATGGCAAATGGGTTGCCGGTTCATGTTGCTCACCTTGGCTTCCATCTCGGTATAATTCATGACGGCTATTCATACTGGTTAGGACTGTGATCTGCGCGACCCATTTCAATGCGTGCATCGCTCACCATTCTGGACCTTGCGCACACCAGCCTTGACATCATAGAGTGTCAGGTTGGACACAGTGTCCTTCAAGCTGTTGAAGTCCATGGCGCCAGATTCTCGCGGGGCTTCGCGCTGCGCTTCGTTTTGCGGAACAAGAAAGAGTTGCGGATGCTGTAGGATGTCGCTGGACTTTGGGATATACAGGAGGTGAGATGTCTTCTGGCTGATGTTCAATGTGCCCAAGTGTCCAAGTCGGAGAGCCCCTGGTCCAATGCCCAGCCAAGGTTTAGTTAGAGCCGCTGACAGCTGAAGCGGCTTGGTCCCGCTTCTCCAGGCAAGTCAAGGTTGCGTCTGGTTCCTGCCGGGCAGTTTAGGTACCTACGAGCTAGTACTACTACTGTTTACGTGCTAGAAATGCGTATCAAGATCCACGTGATTGTCTAGGAAACAGTGAGCCCAAGTATTCAGCAAATACCGGTCTCTAAATGTATGTCAATTTCAATATCAATCTTCAGGTTCCGTACGAACATTTTATTATTGAACAATTACATTGGCTTTTCGTTCCACAGGGTAGGTTTTCAAAAAACTTTCATGGTAATTTGTTTTCAGTGCTCGTTTCGCATTCCCAACCGCTCAGATTTCTTGCACAGTTTCATGTGCACTTGGCAGCACGCACTGTCCTTGTTGCATTCATGTTCCAGATACGGCGCGCTGTCCTACGTTACCTAAGCCTGATGGGCACACTTGAAAGTGATTATGCTTTGGATGCCCACAAATTCGTTACAAATAAAGTCGAATCTTGAGCAAGAGGAGAGCATCACTCAACGTTAGCTGGGCATTAATATTTAGAAACCTGCCTCGCATACCTCTGAATAAGTACGAGGCATAGATTACTGGGAGCCAATATGGCACTTGCATCAGATGTGGACGTAATGATGGGAAGCTTAACCCAGCTCCAATCTAGCGCGTGTCCTATTTCGGACGGCAAAATTTCTAAGTGAACTCCAACGAGCACTTCAGCTTCATCGAAAACAAAAGCTTTGCAAGAGTTGTCCATCCATCACTCCACGTTGTACTATATCTCCAATTCAATTCAACTTGCTTGATATCTCGATCCGAGTATCAAGATTGTATTTGTTTGTATACATAAATCATTTCACTCAGTGAATCTGTAACGTGAGTAGCACTCTCTCAAAGCTCTCTGGTCTTTTTTTCTTCTTCCCCCTTTGCACTCTCCTTCGGGTCCAAAACAAGTGTCAATGAAGCTCTGGGACGTCTTCCAAATCATCTCTCATATATGCGAGTTCGACGTTGTCTACTTGGAGCCTTCCGCGGTAGTCTCGGGGAAGCTCCAAGAGTGAGTGCTTGTGTGAGCTCCAGATCCAGGAGCCACCAAAAGCCCGCGTCGACAGACCAGGAGATGGGAGCAGAAGTAGGCACAATGTTGTGCCAGATCCGGCAGACCGATGGACGAACTGGTACTGCTGCATATTGCCACTCTACTGGCTCGATCTCTCACCTCCAATGTTTGGATTCACACATCTTCTGGCTGCTGCTTGCCATCCGAAGCTTACCGACGCTACTTGAACACGAGTGGGGGCGCCCGTGTCATTTTCCACGCACGATGATCATGATAGCATGGCATTGCAATGAGCAATGACGGTGGCTCATGAATGCGTCAATCTTTTGCCCACTGATTTATACCATAGCATTCCTATTATTAAGCAAGACATTCTTCAAATATGAGAAAGTTCTCAATATGTACCCTCGTTGCTCTTGGCAAGTCGTCTTTGAGTATTCACATCACCTCCCGAGACATGGCAGGCATATCTCGAGCTTGTTCACTCTACAGGCATTTGGCAGTCAAGACAATTGCTATAGATCGGGTGTAGAGAATTGCGTTGAACGAGTGTCAGATTTCGGGCTTTGTCGCAATCGAAATTCCGAAAGCAACTCGACAACCTGCGGTCGGGATATCGCCCAATCAAGATGTCCAAGCATGGCACACAGCCAGAGCAGCCGATCCTCCTCGGAAGTGGAGCTTTGGTTGTCTTGGCTGCTAGAGCAAGCAGTTTCTCCTGACGAAGGGGGAGGCGGGGCAAGCGCCAGTGCAGCTGCTGTTATTAGAGCTGGTGACGCAAGAAGAAGAAGAAGAACCCCTCTGGCGGCACTCAAGCAATCAAGTACTGCGCGCGCACGCGGGAGAGCGAACTGCTAGCTCGGGCTTTTTCTATGCTAGTAGGATTGCAGAGAAAAATGCCTGTTGCGTGCCATGTTACTATCTTGCATCTGTTCGTTGTGCTGGGTGGGCTATGTTAGCAATTGGATGAAGGACACGGAATAGTTTTCGTTTCCGGCCAGCCCGTTGCCTCCCGATGGATGTTGTCATCGTCTCCTTCCTTGCCTTTGGAGCGAACTGCCTGCCCTGCTGCCCTGCGGATCGAATTCCTCGACTCGACCTTGGTGCCTTTTGGAACCTCCTTGGCTGGCTGCGGGCCGGCGAAAGACCCCTCAAAACTCTTTGAGAGGCGGGGCAAAGAGCTGCACCGTTGCCATCCCTGATTGGACTGTGAACCTGAAGCTGACCTTAGTTGCCCCGCCCAGATTTTTGTCAACATGAGCTCGACCTTTCGACCCCTCCTCAACTTCTCTCCCCGCCTCTGCTCGAGAGTTTCATCTTCATCTTCTACCCTTCGACCCAATCTCTTCACGAAGTCTGCTTTCGTGTCCTCTTCCATTCCATCCATCAGATACTTTTCTGCAACAACCGCCAACATGACTAAGGCCTGGTAAGTCCAAACTCCCCAATGATCGAGCATCAGCTACCAGCACAATTTTACGTGCCGCGGAATTTGATCTTTGCTCCTATTTCCCTCGCCCTGACCCCCACCACCTTTCGTGTCTGTCTGAGCTCTTTGCTGACCCCAATTGCCTTCAGGTTCAAGGTTGAGTGGGAGGGTCCCTCCGTCGACGCCAACGGTCGCCCTACCGGCCCTGCCAAGTGTAAGTCTGGCAATAATTAGATGACCATTATCGTCCTCGAGCTGACGAAATGGACCACAGTGCAAACCGGCACCATCAACTTCAACCTCTTCAGCGACGTTGTTCCCAAGACCGCCGAGAACTTCCGTGCTCTTTGCACTGGTGAGAAGGGCTTCGGCTACAAGGGCTCTTCCTTCCACCGCATCATCCCTGAGTTCATGCTCCAGGGTGGTGACTTCACCCGTGGCAACGTACGGCCTCCTAGACCTCTTGCATGAATTTTCTCATAGCTAACCCATCTGTAGGGCACTGGTGGCAAGTCCATCTACGGCGAGAAGTTCGCCGACGAGAACTTCCAGCTGAAGCACACCAAGCCCGGTCTGCTTTCCATGGCCAACGCTGGCCCCAACACGTACGTTGATCTGATTTCTTGGACGACATTGATCCAATTTAGAGGCTTCTTTAAGATCTAGTATCTAACGCTCTTTGTAGCAACGGCTCGCAGTTCTTCGTCACCACCGTCGTCACTCAGTGGCTCGACGGCCGCCACGTCGTCTTTGGCGAGGTTGCTGATGCCGAGTCCTTGAACGTTGTCAAGGCTCTTGAGGCTACCGGCTCCCAGAGCGGTGCTGTCAAGTACAGCAAGCGCCCTACCATCGTTGACAGCGGTGCCGAATAAGCAGTTGTCTAGATTTGTCTCTTCTGCGTGTAACAATTGACTGAGCCTGGAATCGGGAAGAATTTCACGATGCTTTGAGGGGCTACGCATATACTTGGACAGATCTAACGATCATCCAGCGTGTCCCTATATTTTCAGCGTAGTTAGATATGGAGCAAAAAGAAACAAAAGTTCTGCCACAAATTCTGCCAAAAATTCCTCGATGTTGTACCTTCTCAACTTGTAATACTGCTTCAGAGATGGTTTCGCTCGCGGATCGCACATTACTGCCTTCCTACATCCAGCGTCATTTGACCGTCACCATTCTATTATTATAATTCAACAAATTGAAGTACTGCACTAATTGTTTAGTATTTACTGCTTCTCCATCAGTCGTCTGCGCTGGGTAGAAAGAAGTCTGCCAATGGCCATTGTTTGATGCACCACGTCTTGCCTACAGTCAGTAGTAGTATTTAGATCGTACCCGCGTCACCCGACACACATCATGGCTAACAGGGAGAGATGTTCACAAGCAAGGACTATGAAAAGCTCGGGTTGAGAGAACCAGAAAAAAAAACATTATGGACGCTATGCTACACTGGCAGCGGCTGCAATGCCGTGACCATTCCAGTTCTTTTTAGAGCTGGTTGTTGTGAACAGGCGCAAGTCTCTCCAGGAAAATAGAGTAAAAAGTCTTGCCGCGGAGCCCAAGTCAATGATACTGCCAGCCGGGGAGACTGGCTCAAGCAGACAAAAGACCGTGAGTCTGTTTTGTGCCTCCTATATGAACGCCTATGCCATGCAATGCAATATGAGATGTGCCCCCCAATGGGTATGTCTCTAGGATTTATACAATATGACCATTATCCAGATCATAAAACCCCTCCGTCACCACATATTTGTGTGATGTTTTATTATCGAATATTTCGGCCAGAACCTCACACCAGCCACTGGTCAAAATACTCACACCCACCCGCCCAAACAGGTCCGCCTTCCTCGCAAAGCTCAAACACGGGGCAGCGCCCACACGGTGCGGTAGTTAGTCCGTTACTCGGTGGCTCTAAACAGTCGTCTTCCAATGTCATGGCGTTTGCGGTGGTGTTCAGCTTTGACGACCGAATGGTCCGGTACCCGAGTCTCTTTCCCACTTTGACCTCTTCGATCCGGTTTTCATACATCAAAACATCCACGAGCTGCTGTATGTCGGATTCCTTGAGAGGCATACCCTTTGTGACGCCTGATTTGGCAAGTTGTTGAGTAATCTCGGTCAAGGTGAGGTAGTTCTTGTAGCCAGCAGGCATGGGGATGCGAACAGGATGGCTCGACTTCTTTCGTGACTTGGTAGGAGAGTCGCCAAAGGGATCATCGTCAGCCGCCATGTCATCAGCGGCTCGCTTCTTGCCTCGTGCGGCCAGCGCTGCTTCGCTCTGGCTGCCGTTGATAACCTTTTTGGGCAGAACCGGGCTGGAGCTAGCACTCCGGGTAGCCTCGCCTCGCAAGCTGAGGTACGTGCCTGACGTTTTGATGAGGTTGTGCGTGACGGCGAGCAACATCTCGATAAAGGACTCGTCCAAATCTCCATCGGCGAACCAGGGGCCGCCGGTGGCCTTGTCGCTGGGCTTGATGCTGGCTTTGATATAACAACGATGGCTTGCCGCCTGAACCGATGTGAAACTAACAATCAACTTCTGGGATTCAAGCTCCTTAAGCACCTTCCTAAGAATAGCGTCTCGCATGTTTGTCCGTTTTCGCATATCCTGCTGCCATATGCCCTCAGCCCCGGCATTATCGATCAGGGAGTAGATGACGTTCTGATCCTGGGTGAGGCCATGGTATTTAATGGCTTCGGATTCAGGTCGTAGTCGCCATGCCGCACCATATGTAGTACTGATGGTGATGAAGAGAAACTCGTCCGTCAATTCCTTGATGACGAGGGCCAGGGTCTTGAGGTCCTTTGGAGGAATGACATCCATATTCTGGAGGTCCTCCTGGGAAAAGACCTTTTGCCAAGCCTTGTCGTCATCTCCGTCGAGCTTCTGAACGCAGGCATCGTACAATTGGTTCTTCAGGATGGAGAGCTTGTCAGGGTCCATCGTCGCAACGTTCGGGCGGCCGAAGCCTTGTGGTAGTGGGGTGAGTCAGGGTTCGATGGGCGCAGATGAGGAAGAGAAACTGCCGGTAGAAGCGAAACTCGAAGGGTGGAAGAGCGAGAGATTGAGTAATGATGCCGATTGGCGTTAAGGACATGCGCAATCGTTCTGTAGGGGTTTTTTAGGTTGCAAAGAGCTAATCCGGAGAAAGGGCAAGGATGAGTCGCACGGGCGAGGCTATTGAAAGATTGCGCAGCTCTCTCATACTTTCGCGTTCTCCAAAATTTCTGGACGATCTGCAAAAGGCGCCGCCTGCCCCGCGATTTTGGAGCTTATCAAGGCCTTATCGTTCCAGGTGGGTGACGACCAAGTGTCTACCAGCTGGGACTAGTCCTATGCTGAATGAATAAGGTACCTACCTCCTAGATAAATTCTCATGTCTTGCGCATGTAAACGGATGTGGAAATAGAAAGGGAAAAAAAGTTGCTAGCAAGTTTTAGTTACTATTTATCATTACTATGTATATAATTTTTCCATCAAGTCTTTACTTTTGTGTAAACCATGAACCGTATTCCGGCCCCATGAATGACAGAGTGATTGACTGACATGCAGACAGAAGAACATTGGAGCAGGCTGCAATTGACTGGACCCTGACAACATTGAACTTTGTCCATCCGATCGTTGCTAGAACCAACCACGCCCCATCCGGTTCTAGCGCAGCGCAGCTACTCACAGGCGGGTCAGGTACTTGGAGCTGCTCATTCGACCAATCAACTTCCCTGTCCCTCTTCTCTTGGGCGGTGGAATTGCATCGAAGCTCTCGACGACAGACCCAAGAATCCGAATTCAAAAGCGGGCGCAAAGAGGTGGTTTGTCTCTGCCTTGCCAGTAATAATTTGTTCCTATTCCTCCTCAAAACCCAATTCACCAACAGACAAGAGACACAACTCTTATCCAAATTCTGCTACTTGGCAAAATCTTGTTCTTTTTTCTTTCTTTCTTCTGTTTACTGATACCCAAACCTGTTCCATTTCCTGCAAATTGAAAACTAGCACTCAAAATGTCCACCGCAGACGAGCTCAAAGCTCTCGGCAACAAGGCCATTGCTGAGAAGAAGTTTGACGAGGCTGTGTAAGTCATGACCCATTCATGCCCAAAAATTGTGTTCAAACTGGCACAAGGAAACATTTTGACACAAGTCTATTTTTACTGACTCAACTCGCCAGTGATGCTTTCACCAAGGCAATCGAGATTGACGGATCCAACCACGTCTTGTACAGCAACCGATCTGCTGCTTATGCCTCCAAGAAAGACTGGGCCAACGCCCTCAAAGATGCCGAGAAGACGACCGAGATCAAGCCCGACTGGCCAAGAGGTTGGGGCCGCAAGGGCGCTGCCCTGCACGGTTCTGGCGACCTACTAGGCGCACACGATGCCTACGAAGAGGGCTTGAAGCATGATCCCAGCAACGCCGGTTTGAAGAGCTCTCTGGCTTCGGTCAAGTCTGCCATGGAGCGTGACGCTGGCGGTGACCCCCTTGGTGGCATGGGCAACATGTTCAAGGATCCCAACTTGATGCAGAAGCTCATGAACAACCCCAAGACCAGCGGATATTTCTCCGATCCTTCCTTTATCGCCAAGGTTCAACAGCTGCAGCAGAACCCCCAGATGACGCCCGACTTGTTCAGCGACCCGAGAATGATGCAGGTTCTTGGTGTTGCCATGGGCGTTGATCTCGACATGAGAGCTCCTGGAGACATGCCTCCCGGAGCTGGTGCATCGCCCTCTGGCGCCAAGGAGGCTGAGGAGGATGTCGAGATGCCCGACGCCAGACCTGCCTCGAACCCCCAACCAAAGAAGGAGCCCGAGCCCGAGCCTGAGCCTGAACCCGAAGCCGACGAGGAGGAGCTAGCCAAGAAGAAGGCCAAGGAGGAGGCCGACAAGGAAAAGGCTCTCGGCACTGAGAACTATAAGAAGCGCAACTTTGACGAGGCTATCAAGCACTACAGCGCCGCATGGGATCTGTACAAGGATATCACCTACCTGAACAACCTGGGTGCTGCATACTTTGAGAAGGGCGACTACCAAGCCTGTATCGATGCCTGCACCAAGGCTATCGAGGAGGGACGCGCCATCTACGCCGACTTCAAGATGATTGCCAAGTCCTACGCCCGCATTGGCAGTGCCTACGAGAAGCAGGGCGATCTCGATGCTGCCATTGACAACTACAAGAAGTCATTGACTGAGCACCGTACTCCCGACGTCAACACCAAGCTTCGCGCGGCCGAGCGCAACAAGATCGATACCGCCAAGAAGGCTTACGTCGACCCTGCCAAGGCCGAGGAGGCCCGTGAGGAGGGCAACAAGAAGTTCAAGGAGCTTGATTTCCCTGGTGCCGTTGCGGCTTACAGCGAGATGATCAAGCGTGCTCCTGAGGACCCGCGTGGATACAGCAACCGTGCGGCTGCTTTCGTCAAGCTCTTTGAGTTCCCCAGTGCCCTTGAGGATTGCGACATGGCAATCAAGAAAGACCCCAAGTTCATTCGTGCCTACATCCGCAAGGCGCAAGTCTACCACGGCATGCGCGAGTACTCCAAGTGCTTGGATCAGTGCAATGAGGCCTCGGCTGTGGACAACGAGCACCACAATGGCGCCAACGCTCGCGAAATTCAGCAGCAGCAGGAGAAGGCTCTTCAAGCCATGTATGCTGCCCGGGAGAACGAGACTGAAGAGCAGACCAGAGAGCGATTGCAAAAGGATCCCGAAGTAAGTTTCAAATTGTCATGAGAAAGAAAAGAGTTTTTTACTAACTGACTTTTTGTAGATCATGTCTATTATGCAGGACCCCATCATGCAGTCCATTCTTCAGCAGGCCCAGTCCGACCCTGCTGCCCTTCAGGAGCACATGAAGAACCCCGGTGTCCGATCCAACATCCAGAAGCTGGTTGCTGCCGGTGTCATTCGCATGGGTCGATAAATGGAGTGTTGCACCAGAGGCACTCACTTGACAGCAACGAGATTCTCGGCGAACTGAAAGTGCTTTGATGAATGATCATGGAATGATTGAAAAGAGGTCCGGTTGGCAAAATCATGGGCTGGTACGCAGACTTTGGTGGCATGAATAGTTACGACAAGGTGTATTCTTAGTAGTACGGTCATTCGGCGGCGTTGCTCAATTGCATTGGCTAGGAGTAATTTAATGATTGCACGATTTCTACATGATATTCTTACGTTTCATGCAACCGTCTCTAAGAACAGCCAGGTTGGCAGTCGGTGATGAGAGTAAATTGGGGTTCAAAGACTACATTAGAGATCACTATAGCAGACATGGTCATGTTGAGTAGCCAAGTTCACGGATAAGTCCACGAAACTCAAAACACAAGCTTGGCATGTCCCCCTTCCGTGGTTTCATTCAGAAAGGCGGCTATCGGATCCTCACCCTGGATAATGACGAGACAAACAATTTTGGCAACTATTCCGTACAGGATGGACATCTTCTCCACCAGACCCCGACACTACCGAATTAGGCGACCGGTTGACCGCCCAAAATTCTCCGATCTCATTTCGGCATGTTTCCGGGGTCAAGTATACTCGACTCCACCAATCACCGAAAACGTCACGAAAGTGAGGCGTGGAGCGGAACGAGCTTGTACGAAATTTGTGGCCAGGATTGGCGTCAGGTATACCAGGATAAGAGACGAGCAGAGTAGTCAAGACAGATGAGTATATATACAAAGAGCAAGGTTTCAAGTATAGCCAAGGCCCACTTATCCGTATTATACAATTGTGATCTTTCGCACGTCTCTTGGATTATCCTCTCCGAGTAGAAAATACCAATTCAATATCTAGTCAATAGACGAAATACAACTCGTCTCTTGGCAGCAAGGGCAAATATTCATCACCTAGAAACCACCTTTCCATTATTATCACCATGTTGTTACATTGGCTGTCTTTTGCATGCGTGACGGCTGTTATCACGGCCTCGGCGATCCCTGCCCGAGACCCCCCTACCAGGGTCATTCATGAACGCGCTGAGACATGCACTCCGAAGGCGGGAGGCAGCGCGTCCACCGACGACGTACCGGCGCTGCAGTCGGCCATCACTAGCTGTCCGTCCGGGACTATTCTGATCCCGGCGTCGACGACGTATCATGTCAACTCGGTTTTCGACGTCAAGGGATGCTCGGGTTGTACGATTCAGCTCGAGGGCACGCTGCAGATGGCTTCCAGCACGGATACATGGAACGGGCAGGACGCACAGATTTTAGTCGACGACATTACCGGCCTCAACATTGTGTCGTCGAGCGGCTCCGGCGTCATTGACGGCAATGGACAGGCCTCGTGGGATCGCTTCGCCGAGGACTCGTCCTACGACCGGCCCACCATGCTGTACATTGCCGGGTCGTCGAGCGACGTGGTCGTGCGCAACGTCAAAATGACCAACGCGCCCAACGTCTTTGTGTCGGCCACGAGCGGCACCAGCAAGATCCAGCTCTCGAGCCTGGCGCTGAGCGCCGTGTCCACCAGCGACAACCTGCCCAAGAACACGGACGGCTTCGACATTAGCGGTTCCTACGTCACCCTGGACGACATCTCCATAGTCAATGACGACGACTGCATCGCCTTCAAGCCGGGCGCCAACTATGTGACGGCGACCGACATCACCTGCACGGGCGGCCACGGCATCAGCGTCGGCAGTCTGGGCAGCAAGAGCGGCGCCACCGACACCGTGTCCAACGTCTACGTCGACGGCGTCACCATGGTGGACACGACCAAGGCCGCGGGCATCAAGCTGTACCCGGGCGGGACCGCCCACGGCACCGCCGTCGTGCGCAACGTGACGTTTGCCAACTTTGTCGTCGACGGCGCCGACTATGCCTTTCAGGTGCAGTCGTGTTATAACGAGGACGCCGACTACTGCGCCGCGTCGCCCAGCACGGCCACGCTGACGGATATCGTCGTCTCGGGCTTCTCGGGGACTACGAGCGATAAATATGAGCCGACGGTGGCCAATATTGATTGCCCGGCAGACGGCACGTGTGATATTACCATGTCTGGCATGACTGTCAAGGCGCCCTCGGGAACGGGACGGTATCTATGTGCAAACACTCCTAGCAATCTCGGCGTTACATGCACATCTGGCGCAAGTGGTTAGGTATACATGTACCAAGTTTGATTTCCCGAGTAAAGTAGCATTTTGCACAAAAGCCCTGCCTACCTATTCATCTACCATCTTATATATAGCAGACATGCTCGGGCAAACTTCGACCATCATTGTACAAACCTATTATCCATACTGTCGTCTGTACCTTTGCACTTCCGCGTCGAGACCATGCTGAAAACGGGCCATTGAATTCTCGATTTCCATTTCAGCACTTGCCACTGCAAACTGTGCTTCTTCTGGGGACAGTACCGAATCCGCGTAGAAGCTACTTCTAGGTCTCGGAGTACTGGAAGCCCCATAAGTTCTGTGGGATGTGTGGGAATTCGACGCATTTTGAGTACTGGCCACTCGCTGACCATGGTCCATCTCGAAGGAGCGCATGATATTAGCATATCCCCATGACGGATCAGGCGGCTGCTGCATTGTTATGACGAACCGCCGCGCGTGGTCAGGCTGCAAACAATGCGAAAGGTCCCGGGCGCCCGCGAGAGATTGCCAGAACCATTGAATAGGCTGTTCTGTCCGGTGGCTTGCCGAAAAGCGACTACCGATAGACGGCAAGTCCCATTCTACCCAAGCCCAATCAAGATATCGTTGACAAAAGGCATCGTAGGCTGACCATCTAGAGTGTTGGTTGTCTTGCAGCTCGTGAGCCAGAACGCGCATGGCGTTCCATTCGGCCCAGTTTCGTAGCCAGAGGGCCATGAAGACGGTGTCATCGTCCATGACTCCATACTCGTCTCTACATAGGCAATGCTGCCCATGGTTAATGTCTGGGCCGAGAGGAAAGTAAGGATATGATGGTTGTGATGGCCCCCAAACCTTGAAGCTGCAGCCACCAGGCAAAATGATTTCAGTAGTACCACGCATGCTAGTAAAAGGAGTTATCTGTTTTCGGTGAACGGGATGAGCTGGATTTTCTGAGCGTCGTCTGCCGAAACGACTTTTTATAAAGGACCGCCATTTTTCACCCATAAAAGCTCGTCTTTTGTCGCCAGAGTCATCTTTACTCATACCTTGACCAAATTGTGACAGACGGACTCGTGAACAGAGTCATGAACGACTTTTCTTATATTCTTCTGACTGTAACCGTGACAAGAAACACATCCTTCATGGTGGTGTTGTCCGGAGGAGAAAGCCTTGTGGACCAGATAGTCCAAAGTCATAGTGACGGACGCAATTCATTTTGGTCTCATTATCCATGAAAGGTCGAGTCAACATTTGCACAAAGTTGGACTCGTCTTGTTCCACATAGGACATGCCAGTTCTGTGAATACTAGATTATTGTTAGACGCTTCAATGCCTGCCTTCGATCAACTGTTGGCTGCTGTAGCATGAAGTTGAAAAGCTGGAGGAGCCATGTTTGTGTAATTGGTGGTACACATGCCACAGTCCCAGGTCTCGATAGTCTTGCCCGCCATGATTGGCAGGTTGTAATACAAGGTTTCCTTTGCAGACAATTTCCGCCAACTGATTGGGCGTGCTCTGCCGTTTGTTGGGCTGCTGTCAAACAATGAACCCCCAGTTCCGTCACGGCATGTCGTGATAGCTCAGTGACGGGGCAAGGACGTTAATGGCAATCGCTCGCGTGCTTCAACTGGGCGACTGGCTTTCAAAACAAATCCTCAAGTTGGTTGCTGCGATTCTTGTCGATTGAGTAGTCCACGATTACAGACAAAAAGACCCATGTAAACGCACCGGGCAAAAGCAATTAGATATTTGCTAACTGGGAGCTGATTGTCGGAGATTGGGCATTCAATGTTGCGTGTTAAGGTTGATGAATGGAAGAAATGGTTGGGCGGCAAAAAGCGCCCGGTAGCTGAGTGCTTCTCTTCAGGTTCAGGGGGGTTTCAATCACTAAGATTAGTGCGGTGTAAGAGGCCCCCGGGAACGCCCCACTCACCTTTTTTTACACCGACGTTTGAGCCCATCTGCTTTGCGTTACATGCTCTGTGTATCCAGAGAGGTTGAACTTCTTAAAGGGACAATTGGGACAAAGAACGTGTCCTCTTTTCAAGTCACTATCTTAGACTGTCACGAGTAGCTAAGGAAGGTCTCTCCCACACTTGAAGCCTCTCCATCCAGACTGTCCAAGCCCCGAAATCCATATATATTGTCTCCGGGTACAATAATGGGATCCATGGTTGGGCAAACACTCGAGGCCACGATCCTGGCAGAGTTCGACCGCCGCCGCAAAGAGGGAGTCATATTCTATGATGACAACCCAGAGATACAAACTTACAACTTTAATGGCTTTCAGGTAAATAATTTCGTCCTTCAAGTTAAAGGACAAAGTGGCTAATCAGAGATATACAAAAAAGTTTGAATTTGCAGTAACCGCTGCTATAAGTAAGAAGCCATATATAAAGGACAATGGTGACGAACCAGCACCCAATGGGACAACAGCGGCCAAGAGGCCTCCAGGCTATGCACCAGGTAGCGATATTGATATCTCGGGCTACGAGATTGGCGACGTGAGCCCAACTCACCTTTGGGCTTTCAACAAATTCTGCATGTACCGGCCGCATCTGCTCTTGTTGACCAAGGACGGCTACCGGCGCCAATATGAGCCGCTGGACCTCGACGACATCCAGTCAGCCTGGGGCGCCCTTGAATCGCTGGGCTGGAACTACTTCATGTTCTTCAACTGCGGCAAGGAGGGCGGGTGCTCCCGGCTGCACAAACACATGCAGTTGACGCCGTATCTCAAGGACCGGCTCGCCCCGTGGCCGGAGAAGGTGGTCACAGCGGCATCGGCAAAGAAGCCGGCGGGCGTGCCGTACGAGTACATTCTCCGCCGCTTCGATGCCGATCTAGGGCCGAAGCAGATCACGGACATGTACGAGGGCATGATGAACGAGGCGGCTCGAATTCTTGGACTGGACCCGACTGCTCATATACCGCATAATTTCATGCTGGCGAGAAACTGGATGCTGGTCATTCCACGAACCAAGGCGGGATACGGTGGCGCCTATTCAAATACGCTTGGAATGCTCGGCATGGTGTCCGTGGCAAATCGTGATGAGTTGAAGTGCTGGATGAGTCAAGGGCCGCACAAGATTATCCAGGAGCTTGGTGTTGCAACGTCACATACAAATGGGGCTTAAAGGGGGCAATTGCTTTTGAGGAAAGGCAGCCATTTTCTATTATTTGGTTCAATTGGGTACTAGAGCGGCATGCAAGGCGTCTGGACACAAAAGTCAATATATGATAGAGGATAAATTTGTCAGTGTAAAAGGATACATTCAGAGGGACGATAAGGTCTTTTTTATTTGCTTGATTCTAGATACTGCTATTCAGTAAGAGAACACGATTCCACAAATATCCCACGGTCCTAGTCAAGGCATCAACACACTTATGGAAGTGTCTTGATGTTATCTAAGAACCCAGCATTCAAGATTGGATTGTGCAACTCGGCAATGGTTGACATGCAAGCCTGCGCCGGGTCACCGCTCGCCGACAAGCTGCCGCCCCAGTACTCGTTGCCCGGGAAAGAGTTGCCGTCCCATGCATACGATACTATAAGAAGCTCGTTCTGCTTGTGAGCCGGGAGCAAGGCACCAGGTGATCGCATAGAGAATATGGCATCCATGTCCGCCTTGGCAGCCACGGCCTGCATGTCGTTGCGAACCGACTGCGGGACCGTAATGTACGAAAAGTCAATCGTGCCAATGTTGGCGTACTTGTCGTCATCATTCTCGTCATCCTCGATAACGTCCATGAAGCCTTCAATGTACGCCTCTGGAACCTTCTTGACGCCGGGGGGAGACCAGACCCCGAGACCCAGCCCGACGACGTGCACGTAGGCCTTTTTGCCCGCCGCCTTGGCGCGGTCGTTGGCCTCGCACAGCAGCAGCTCGATGGTGATCTTCATGCGCGCCTTGTACATGCTGAGGTTGAACGGGCGGCTGGGGTTCGGGCGCTTGCCGAAAAAGTCGGTAAACACGCGCGTCAGATCCGGGTGCTGCTTCGGGGAGCGGACGGCCGGCTTGCAAAAGACGCTGTCCATGCGGTCGTCGCGCTCGTAGCGCGCGCCCACGAGACCTACCACGATGCCCCGGGGGATAAAGGTGCCCTCCCTCATGGGCTGCCCATTGTTGTAGCGGTTGCCGTCATTGATAAAGTAGCTCGGCCCGCTGACGCCCAGCAGGCTGCCCAGCATGATCTCGTCGTACGACAGGTAGTCCTTGAGCTTGAGCCACCTGCTCGAGACCTCGGCGTCGGTGCCCACGCGGTCCCACTCCCTGAACAGAGAGCCGACGCTGGTGCCATCGCGGAGGATCGTCATGTCACGGCCGCCCATGAACATGAGTGGCCGCTTCTCGACAAGCCGGCGCACCTGCTGCTGCCAGGTCCACGATGCATCGTCCTTATACAAGTGCCTTTCTATGTCGCTGCCATGCTCGCGCTTGTGATCCAAGAAGTTCTTGACCAGGTCTGGATACCTGTGATGGACAATGATGCGTGTGTCTGCGGCATCCTTTTGGATCTGAGCCTCGTCAAATCTGGTAATTTTGTTGGCTTCTACAGGGAGCAGGTCGGCCACTGTTTGCATCTCAGCGTCGCCGCTGCTGGGTCCTGGAAGACGCCTGTATTGCATAATGTTTGACATCTTGTAATAAAGGGACTTTGAGGAAAGAAGTCTTTTTGAAGTAAATATTGGACGGCAGTAGTGTTTTAGCATCTATGATGATGTGTTTGTGAGGTGGTTGGTTTGAATTGTGGTTTTTGATTTGGACTTACATATTTGTAGGAAGCTGGATCTTATATATATACATTGTAGGCAGCAGCGCTGAATGATGTCTCTAGGCTGTGTGGCTTGCACCTTGTATCATCACATCATGACTTGTTCATTACTTTATTCATTATTTGTCGCAGTAAGCCAAGAATGAATTATAAGAAAATTGATCTGGGCGACAAAGGAACCCTAGCACAATTTATTGTGTACAATGACAAAGATTTTGTTTCATGACTCCTCGCCGTTCACATTGATGCAAGTGGAGTTTCATATGTACCTACTCGCACTTGACTAGCGTGGATGTTCAGAACAGAGGCTAGATCCATGGGAATATACTCTGCACATATACTTGCAGCTCCAACTTGAACGATGCTCACGTTTCTGTTTGTATCTTTTGGTGAACATTTCGAAAATATGAAAAAACTTATACGCACATTCACGGATAATGAATTATCTGAGGAGCCCCCGGATCATCCACAAGAACCATACAATCTATAAAACCTTCCTCATATCACTCGATCATTTCGCACCGACTTTTCTGCTGGAGAAGGGGAAAGACGGCGGTCCACTGAGTAGCCCGAATGGTCTACAGTCTCATCTCTTCTTTATAACATCAGCTCTCGCTCTCTTACAGTATCTTGATCTTTGGGCCTTGATCCGTTTGGGCGAAGAGCTATTCCAATATCCGGCCAGTAGCTGAAGACGTCCACCACGTCGGTGAGTCTGGCATAGCTCCCAGTACCGGGTGGCGTGCGGCTATAATTGAGAGCTTGGAACTGATATCTAGTGTCATATCGAGCGCGGCCACTTGCACGCCCCAATGAAGCGCCTTTCGAAGAGATGGAGAACAATGTACACACTAGGGAGGACACCAAAAGGATCACGATGGAGAAGCAGCATCAAGTTGAACAATAAAAAGGTCCTCTCTATTTGCGGCACTGTCGTCTAGTAGCTCTGTCGCTATCGGATGAACACCTTGGGCACTCATCCCAGAATAAGGGTATCATCATGTCTAAAACCGATGGCTGGCCTTCGCCCTCCGCAAAAAAACCATGCAATATCTCACAACAAGCGCTATCCAATGGCATCAATTTTTTTGATGCAGCGCCTCGCTTATCCCATCGTCGCATAAGCTGTCATCCATCTTGCTCCATGCCTCATGCAATAAGTATACCGGAACGCCGGGGCTTTTGTGTCTGATGCGAGAACTCCACCCTTCTCGTCTGCCCAATGTCCCAACCCAAGTGAAAGCAGATGAAAAATGTATAAAAAGTACAGGTATGAAAATGCTTGCCTCTGACAAGAGGATACGCAATACGCCGCCGTTTTCCCAAGACATTGAGTCCATCGGAAGAAGTTGTGTGTAGTTTTTCTTCTTGCGTAATATGAGAAAAGAAAATGTTGACATATGAGATATGCGTTGGCTTTCCAGTTCGAAGTAATAGTTAAGATACATGTCGGAAGCTGTTGTGATGCTGATAGTTGTCGTGGATTAGACACAAAGGAATTATATGTGAAGTGTGTGATATTTTCAAGTCGATTGCGACTTAGAAGCCTCGCCGCGAAGGATCCTGGGGATCCTGGAACTGCTGGTTCCTGCGGCCATTCTCGCCACGAGCGGCCACCCATTCGGCGTTGCCGCTCTGTCTTCCAGGTTGCTCGACCGGTAGCTTGTGGTCGTCGCTCGAAGGCACTTGGTTTGGCGGTGGGCGGGTGGGAGGAACCGGCAGTGCCGCTTGCACTCTTGGGAAAGGTCCTGGGACCATGTTTGTTACGGCTTGCGTGATCGAGGCCAAGACATAGCCGCGGAGTTCTCGATCCTCCCTCGAGTCCTCCTTCTCGAGAGCAAAGCGTTGGTCCTTGCTCAAGTTGGCTCTCCGCAATTGCTTGATCTCCTGCATTATATAAAGCATAACCTCTTCTGGGCATCTTTTGCGCTCGGCAGCGTGTTCGCTCTTTCGCACATAGCGGCGAGTGACATCAGTAGCACCTTCGATGCTAAAGGCGATGCAGTAGGACATTTGCTTGCCCCATCCTTCAGTGTAGAGTCTCGGGTTATCCCAGGCCTCTTCGCAGGCGTCGACGTGTATCCAACGCTGCTGATGATCCGAGTATACTTCAGTCCAGATATGGTCCTCGGCGTTCCAAACCCATCTTACTCTGCCACCGACTGCTCGGCACAGCATGGAAAAGGCATTGGCCCACTCGCCGCAACGACCTCTCCTCGTCTGCAGTAGCTGCCAGACATCGCTGTATCGTGGGAACCGTTCAAATGCCCTGCAGACCTGGTTGGAGCACTCGTACAGCTCGACACGCATTGCACCACGAGCACTTTCCTCGGGGGTTGGTTGGGTCATGCCTCTAGCGATAGTCGGCGCCAGACAGACGGGACATGGCGGGTTGTTGACCCATGTGAAGAACGTCCGCTTAAACCACCTCAGCAATGCGCGAATGACGCAGTCTTGGTGGCCCCATTCAGGTTTCCGGCCATCGCCCATGCTTTCTGCTTGAGCTTGTAATACCTGGCTCTCCTCTTCGGCCTCGCTGTAGATCCTGTCTAGCGGGATAACCTGCAGAGCCTCGTCTAGCAGTCCGGGGTTCTCGTACTTGGTAGGTGTTGCTGATAGTGCAATCATAAGATTGCGGAACTTTTGTGACTCGCGATCATGAGCTGCGGGCTGCGTTGGAATCAAAGGCAAGTGGCGCAACGATGAGTACGATGGTGGCATCGGAGGAGCGGCCGAGTGGCCCTGCGATTGGCCGTGTGATGTGGTTGGCCTGCTGTGGTCTGGCGAGAAGGGTGAGCCCAGGTTAGAATGCGAAGACGATTCCCTGAGAGCCGGCGACTCTGCCCGCAACCTGTCGGCACGCGCTTGTCGCAAGTCATTCATACGTCTTGTGCTCATGAGTTGCTCAAACTGAGCAGTAAGTCCGCGGGCCCAGTCATCACCATAGTCGCCCTGGTTCTGGGGGGTCTGGCTGCCCTGACCGTCCATCGTGATGGTATTGGTTAGGTGTGTATAAATAGTAGTGTAAGAATTGGTCTCAGTAACGACTGTCGAGGTTTGAAAAGTTGGCAAGTGATACGCCGCAGCAGACGATTACCAAATGGCAACAATTACCACAGCGTTCGAAGCCGGGAGAGACAGTCGAGACCAGTCGTGTAGGGTGGTCGATAAAAATGGCTGCGCGGCGATCAAAAGTCAGGCTCGTTTGGCCTAGCCGGTCCTTGTTATCTCCCCACGGATTGCATTCGTCGTATTTGCCAGCCGAGGTCTTCTTGGTGAGATGGAAGAGAGTCAATTATCCGAATCCTGGTCCTCCACGAAAGAACAACAGTCGAATCGTCGTCGTTGGTCGTCGTCAATGAGATCGGGGGGTTGACGAAGTAAAAAGGAGCGACAGAACAGGTCGGTTGGTTCGGCGAGGATGGATGGATTGTCGTCGATGGTTGATATTTGGTATGAATTGGGATGTAGAGGTGTGAAGAGGGAGAAAAAGAGAGGTTTCTAGGCAGGCCACGACAACCTCAACGGGGGCAGGGGACCGTTACGTAGCAAAGGAAAAGAGCACGGTAAATGGGGGAGGGGGGGTCCTGTCCTTTACAGCAAGCAGGGTTTCAAGGAGGAAAACGATTATTAGATGATAGAGTCTGTGGACACGAGTGGATGGCGAGGTTGCGTGGACCTGTCCGGCTTGGGAGATGGGGAGATGGGGGGTGACGGGGGTGGTCGTGGTCGCAGTGCGTAAGGTAGTTTAGTTGGAGGTGCGAGGATCACTGGGGACCAGCGGCGACGAGGACGAGGGCGAGGACGTGGAACCCCCATTAGGACTGGGACGAGGTACGTGGCGCTACATCACTTCAGACAGGTCCATGGAGCGGCAGAACGGCAGCCTAAATCCACTGCACTGTGGTAATCTGGTTGATGCAGTGGTCCGGTAGCAGTGGTCAGCTCTACTGGAAAGGTACACCAAATACATTCATATCCCCTGCCGCAGGGATTCAATTGATTTGCCCGGAGCTACCAACCCAAGTTAGATATGCCGACTAAGAATTTCTCTACTGCTACACAGTGAGCAGAAATATTTGTAATTAGATCTCTGTGAAAATACCACTGAAATGCAACTGACTGCGAGGGTTCCATTCTGCTATCTAGGCGGTGCGAAACATGGAAGGCGACAGACACTCAGCACAGCCGGCCCAACTTGTCCCATATGTCAGGCCAGGCAGAAAGAGAGAGAGAGAGAGAGAGCATCCAAGCAGAAAGAAGAAGAAAAAAAATTAATCAAACAATGCTGCTGCAGAGACTCGACAGACGAACAGCAACATTAATGGCCCCAGACAGATCCCAGGGTGGACTCCCTTAGAATTTGGAGGGAACGCGCGTCTTCTGGCACGGGCTGTCCAATCAGCAAAGACAAATGTTGTAGTGTGCCTGAGGCCGGCACAGTATCTACTACCAAAGCAGCCAGAGGACCGGGATTTGGCACAAGGCGCACGCTGCTGCTTGGCTGCTGGCTGCTGGGCTTTCTTGGATGGGGTGGGTCAAAGCTGGATGGGACAATGGCAAGCATGGGGATTGGGGCTGGGCTTGGCTTGGCTTTCATGTCGTCCGTCTCTCATTGCCATTCGAGTCAATGAGCTCCAGCTTAGGCTGTTCCAGCTCAGGACTTGCCTCTCAAGTCGCCGCTAGGTGCATTGGGGGTTTAGGTGCAAAGATTAGCATAGAGGCGAGATACCTGTCCATCCTTTGAGCAGCACCTGGGCAGTAGTGTGGTACTGCGCTAAATGTAAGTAAACTTATTATAGCTGCCGTGGTGGTAGGAGTATTAAATGTAGTTTAGCAGCGAGCAGCAACTAAAGATATCTGGTAAGTGGGCCGGCCGTCGCCTCTGTTTTTAGTGGCATCGTCCGCGTCTTGTCCTCCCGTCCTTGCCCAGACCCCCGGCTGTCCTATTTCCCAAGACCCTCAACCTCCCAAAAAAGATACACACATTGCTACACTACTCACACTCTCATGTATGCGTGCAGGCATTACTAGAGCCTGGGTAGCCAGCAACACAGTATACTACAGTATACGCGCACATGTCTATTGATCAGCAGCCAACTTCAATTTTAGGGACACACAAGCACACTGCTGCTGACAATCTTTGTCAGCTGGGTTTGCGCAAGCCTGATGGACGTTTGCGACCAGGTTGACGACTACTCTTCCGCCAATCTGACCTAATTCGGACAATTAGGTTCTTGGCGGAAGAAAAAGGTATACGCATGCTGGCACATTAGATACTACTATGTACTGAACGTCCACGAATAGAGAGAGAGTGTGTGTGAACAGAAAAGAGGGAGACGCCAAAGATCAAGGTAGGAGACAAACATCTCATTGTCCTTCGGCGCATTCACCACTAGAGCGCACGACATACCTACTGGAGTAAGAGTGTGTTTCTTTGTTGGTGTGATTGTAAAGCGGACTCGGCTATGTAGGGGCAAGTCCCGAGCGCCGCAGCAGCAGCAGCAGCAGCAGCACTGCAAAAGTCCATGTACAGCACGAGCAGCGCTCTGTAGAAAAAGAGAAGCCAGACAACGATGTTTTGCAGCAGAAAATGTATGTAGACATACCGGGGTACCCACCTCAATCAACCCATACCCTGTAGACGAAACGCCAACTCGGGGGTTTGGCTGCTGCAGGGAGAGGCGATGACGAGGCGCGGCCCTGGATCGACCGCGGGCAAGTGGCTGAGAGCCTGAGACTTGCCTGTCTGGGTTTAGTTTCTCCAGTGGCCCTCGGCGGCTCAGTGACCCTCTGTGGCCCTGAAGAGGTGGGAAAGCACCACGAACGTCTGGGCAGAAGCGGTGCTTGGCGTGAGGCTGCTCCTCCATGGTGATAGTACACGCCTAAGCCTCTGACGAATTGAAGTGGTTCGCTTCCACTTGGCCAGGCTCCACATGTTGCGCCCTCTCTCTCGCTCTCTCCATTTCGAGATGGCTTTCCATTCCCTCCGAAGAAATTTTTGTATGGATTCGTCATGCATTTGCAATGCTCCATAGTCGTGTCAGTGGCTTCTAGTATTGTCTGTCTCTGCGTACAGTATTATTATTCTCTGTTCTTTCGTTACGTTGGTGTTGCGTCGCCTGCCACTACCGCTATTACATACACAGTACGTATGCACGCTGTGATCCAATTTCATTACTGGCACTATTGCTGTACGCATCACATCACCGAGATATGCCGACACCGCTCAACCAATCGTATTGATTCCTTTTCCAATATTCTCAAGTCTACCCTTGTATTCACGTACGATTTCTTTTCAACTCAAATTTGCTCTACATATTGTGCAAAACCCCCGAGCAGTTTTCCGCTCCGCAGGTGCACTCGTCCGGGAATCCGGAACCAACTACCTCCCACATCGCGAACCATGGAATCGTGGAGTGGGCTCTTCAACGGTCGAGCCTTGAGACGGGGCGGACAATAGAAAGTTTGTAGTCGACGGTAGAAACCGTTGCCGTACTTGATGAAAATAAACAGCCCAGGCCCTCTTTTTGAGGCTCGTCTACGAAACCGTATACGAGATTCCCGAGTGTTACGAACATCTCGGCAATCGTAGGTATCAATGCTTAGGTAATACCTCAGAGCTGACGACTATTGGCTAACCAGGCCATTCGATCGGAGGGAGGGAAACCCAACTTACACCATAGTAGATAATTATCCATGCCTGTAGAATTGTCTTGACTGGTTCCGCTGCCATGACTGTTCGATTGCGTTCAACTACGCCATATAATCACTTCTCGCGAATACAAATGTCAGACATGTCCAACAATTTGTTCATCAATCCACTAGCAGTAGTAGTAGCACACCAGGTAACTCAGAAACGCTGTTGTTTCAACTTGTTCGGTACAGCAGACGAAACGTGAATTGCAGATCGCTAGCTTTCCATCCTTGCTCGCACGCAACTCGGCTCCTTACCGACCCGACTCCTTACAGCGGACAGCCCTCGATAGACTTACGTTTGCTGTTGGACGATCATCATGGCTGCCAAACATGATAATCTTCGTGTCTGTACACAGTATAACTGTCTGTCCGTGCGTTTTATAACACACGCACAAAAAATAGTGAGGGATACATGGTCTGGGTCGTGGTCTGATAAGCTTAATCCGTCAAGGTCTCGTGTACTCCGAATAGCTCTGGCAGCATGACGCGGCAACTCAGACACTGGGGCCAGCCAAACGGACAATCCTCATTTCAAGGTGCCAAGATCACCTTTCACGTTTACGTTGCTATTGTTCATGATGAACGATGGGACCGAGTCCATTATTCTCTGGATTCAATTCAATTAATTGACAATTCGTGCAACATGTTTCTCGCAAGTGCCTACGTACGCTGAGGCCATGACAAATGGTGACAAATGCTTGGGAACTTCATCTAATGATACGAGGCAATATCAACCTTGATTGAGAGATGGAGCCTCAAAAGTCAAATACATGGTTTTGTACTCCACGTCAATTGAACAATTGGATATTGCCTTGAGGATACCTATTGTCGAAGAAATCTCCCTACCAACACTTACACATCAAGCTTCATGATTAGGTGTGCCTACTGCTACCATCAATGATTCTCGAAGGGCCATACCCGTCGCGCCGGCACTCGCCCAGACTCATAGTTCCTTTCAAAGTTCCGGTCGCAAGGGACGTCGATCACGTGGGATGGGCTGAGTATTTTAGTGTTTTAGGGCCCGTTTTGCTTGCGCGTCCACCACCCCTTCATATGCATCGCCCGGGGCCGACCAATTATAATACGCCGATCACAAAAGCTAGGTACATCGTACCTACCAATGCACGACTTTCAAGATCCGTGGTTCCGGTGCTGCACAATGGATTGATGATATGATGCCTGTAGGTTAGTGTAGGTAGATGGATTTGCGCTTCAGATCAACAAATACTGCCGACCAAGATGCAGAAGACCATGAAGAGTCTCTTGACTATGCCCCTATTCTGACAATT